TATGAAAAAAGACAAGTGTCACAGTTCATGGCTTCTAAATGGCAAGTGGCCTAATGCTTTGGCAAGAACAAAATATAGATTTCTTTTCAAAGTAATCAGTATCAACAAACCCCGCAGGTTAATAATAGTAGTTAAAGTATCTTGTTATTGAGAAAATACATGGTAATAATTTTAATTTTACTCTCCTTGGATTGAGAGAACACTTAATGTCACAAAACCATCATAAATTCAGTGTTTTAAATTAATTTACATTTTTTGTTGACATTTAATTATCAAATCTTCAAAAACTTAAAATCATGACTGTCATACAAATATATAATGTATCAAAGATTTATTAACTCATATTGATAACCCGAATGGTGAGCCGAGGTGTTTTCCCGGGGTCGTGTCTCCCAACACCGAAGAATGAGCTCCGTGGGTCAGAAGATTTAAGCAAAAGTGTGGAAAATTTATTACAAGCAGATTCAGACTCCCGCAGAGGAGAGGGACCCAATAGTGAGCTGCCCCTTAAAGCCTTGTAGTCCAGGGGTATATATTTGATACAAGCCTGCTCTATGTCTACCTGTGTCATCACTTGATTGATTCCTTCAGTTGTTTTTGCCAAGCAGTGGACCTGGACTTTCCCTGTTCTATGTGTTCTTTCTCTGTTCCTGTGCTGAACGTTTTCTATTTCTGTGTGTTCGTACATCTTGTTACTACAGGCCCTCCCTTGTTTTTCCATGCCTCCGGCTTTGAGTCCAGGAACATTTATTATTTCTGCTTGGTTGGTTCCAATGGTTAGGCTGGCTCAAACTACCATGTCTGCCCCTGCCTATGTTCCGCCTGCCTTTGTTTCCTACTGGACCCTTCCCTTATCTGCCTGTGTTTCAAGTTAACCCTCTCAATATTAATGTAAGAACCAACAAGACAGGGTACAAAGCTATTCACTAAGCCCTTGCTGGGTAGCTCAGTTGGTTAGAGCATTGTCCTGGTACCCCAAGGTTGTGGGTGTCCTGGTATACCAATCCCTAATCAGGGCACATACAAGAATCAACCAATGAATGAACCAATAAGTATAACAACAAAGTGATGTTTCTCTCTCTATGTCTCACTCCCTCTCTCTAAAATCAATACATTAAAAAATTTTTTAACTCATTATTATAACAAATAAATATGTTGCACATGTTCATTACATATTTATAGGAGAGACTTGTTTTTAATTGTTTTAAAATTATACATTTGAAGTATGGTAGCAATCATCTCAGGTAGAAACTATAGTTTAACTCTGCTGTTTGGTTTCTGTACTTATTTGTTTGCTAAAATAATAGAAAAGTTATTTTGATTTTCTGAATTATATAAATTATCCCATTCGATTAAATACCCTATTGATTGTAATGTGAATATCCCAGGGGTTGTGGTCATACTGGTCTTAGAAAGCGCATTTTCCTTTACCTGGGAAGGACAGCACAATTATCCCAAGGTCAGAGGACTCCAGTTAATGTGTCCCTGTTGACTCAGTGTTCCGGAGACCCAAAACTATAATTTAGATATCATGCTGCTTTGCTTCTGTAAACTGCTTTTTGCAAATCAGGTTCCTCATTCCAGACCCTGGGATGTAATCAATACCTTTGTGATCTTTGACTATATAAATCTAGTATTGCGGCCATCTTATCACTATGAGATTTGGGAGAGCCAAAATGCCCCCTCAAAGTCCCAGATTGCAATAAATGTGACTCTTTAATTCGACTTCTTGAGGTGTCCTTCTGTGATTCGCGGGGTACATTACAACACATTGCCAAAATATATATTTGTGCTAAAACTTGGGATGAGAGAGTGAATAGTGTGAAGGTGGATAGGTCAGAGCTTTTACTGAACAGTCTGTGCTGAAGCTGGCTTATACCAGCTCATGAGAACCAACTGTGTGCATTTCTTCCTGACTCTGTGTTTGGTGTTTGATGACTTCAGGATAGCTTGTAAATATCCATTGTGATGGTGTTTGTTCAGCACACAGTGATAAACACTGCAAATCAGGATTTCATTTTCTGAAGATCTGGTTGTTCAACATTTACTAGCATACACACTGTAAGATGGGTTGAAGGATGATGAGATTGCAAATGCATGCACATTATTACATAGGCAATGTCAAGCCATGGAAGACTTCTACAGAGATTGAATTTGGGGAAGAGGATTGGATTTCTGTTTTAGAAAACACTTGCTGATAACTATGCTGGCAGTACAGAGGATAGAACATGATGATAAGAGAATGGAGGGGGGAAGAGCATTGAAGATGCAGAGGCATTATTTCAGGTGAGAGATAAGGCAATATTAGTAGAGATGAAAGAAGGCCAAGAACAGATTCCAGAGATTAAAACAAAGATTGGAGTTGAAAATAGTTGAAATTTCTAACTTGGAGCACACCAATCTATATATATAAAAGGCTAATATGCAAAGTGTCCCCTCAGGAATTCGACCAGAAGACTGGGAGTTTGATCACTCCCTATGATGTGCACTGACCACCAGGGGGCGGCGTGGAACGAAAGAAGGCCTCAATCAGCCCTGATTCACAGCCAGGCCTGGGGACCCTACCCATGCACAAATTTTGTGCACTGGGTCTCTAGTAATTGAGATAAAGTAATGTAGGTGGGATAGGCATTTTGGAGATAAGATTCCATTTTGGTTTTGTTGCCTTTAAGATTATTTTAAGGATATGTAGGTAGAAACATTCAGGTTACAGTTGGGGGTGAAACTCAGCTTTCGGATAACATTCAGATTACAGTTGGGGTGAAATTCAGCTTTCAGATTTATCAGTCTTTATTGCTGAAGCCAAAAACAAAAATGATCCTGATCAAGGAGCATGCAAAGGAAAGCAAAAAGAGTAGCTTAAATGTGAAAGGGCTTATAATCAAGAGAGACTGGAGTAAAAGAATATATTTTAAAAGGTAAGAGATAAATAGGAATGATGGCTGCTATATGAGGTAAGATTTTTATTTATTTATTTATTTATTTTTATGAGGTAAGATTTATAAAATATTCTTTACATGGATGTAGTAAGGAATCTTATCAATTTAATATCAGAGAAAATAGAAGGACTAAAATTTGACATAATTAATTTTGTACATACAATGATTTTTTTTTAATACAAAGGGATATAGACATCCATGGAAAGAGTCCTGGACTTCATGGAGTATGCCATCTATGCAAGCTAACAGAGACTGATCATAAGCTAAAAGGAAGAAAGAGAACAATAATAATAATAATAATGTTGTTAGAGGAAAAAAGAATATTGGGGATTAATTATGGTATTGGGAAATATTACACTGTTAACCATGATTGCCTTGTTCTGGTTAAAGAAAGGACATTCTAACCTGGGAGTTGTATGCCCCCAGGACCCGGGAGTCAACCTTGGACAGTCAACCTTGGAATGTGGTCCATTCTCATTCAAGAACTGCCTATTATCATGGAAAGATTAACAACCTTGTTGCCCAAACAATGGAGTCCCACACCAGCTTGCATTTCCTATTTCCCCATGCCTGTAATCCCTACTTCCCCATGTAATCCTTGTCTTACCCTATATAAGCAGCTGGTTTGTGGGGGTGAGGAGGCTGCAGAGCAGATTTTTGTGGATGACTTGTTGCTTTCCCATACTGCTGGCATTATTGGAATAAACGATTCAACCCTGTCTCTGCTTAATTGGTGCAAGTAGTGACTAGCAGCACAGGCCCATTGACTGTCCAGTTACAATGTGGTGATAACTACTACTAGGTACTTGACCTTTATAATTTATTTTTCATAAACAATTCTGCAAGGGGGTGTTATTACTTTATTATACAGATGAGGAAACTAAGGCGTAGAGACATTAACTAACCTGTCTCAGCCATCTAGTGGCAGAGCCAGAATTTGAGTAGGAGTTTGAATTCAGAGACTGCACTCTTAACCATCTCTTTGATTTCAATAATAGTACCTCATTCAGAAATTTTAAAGATTAAATTAGCTAACACATGTAAAGCTTAGAACAGTTTACCTATGCACATTAAGCGATGTGTATTAATCATCATCTTCATTGCCCACGGTCACACAGCTATTTTATGGCAGAGTCTGAATTCCAATTCAAAATTCGTTCTCTTAGCCAGTATGATATACAGGAGTTAGCTGAGAACATTACAGGAACACACAGGAGGAGCACCTCAGTTTAAGAAGGAGGATGGAGAGGAGGTATGTCAAATGTCAGGAAGGTTTTTTTATTTTTTTAAAATATATTTTATTGATTTTTTTACAGAGAGGTAGGAAGAGGGATAGAGAGTTAGAAACGTCCATGAGAGAGAAACACCGATCAGCTGCCTCCTACACACCCGCTAACTGGTGATGTGCCTGCAACCAACGTACATGCCCTTGACCAGAATCGAACCCGGTACACTTCAGTTCGCAGGCTGATGCTCTATCCACTGAGCCAAACCAGTTAGGGCCGGGAAGGTTTTTTAGATAAAGATACAGAGCTCTGTCCTGAAGAACAAGTAGACAGGGGAAGTGTGTGAATGTGGGTAAGAAAGCAAGGCCATTGGGGAACAGCATATTTCTAATTCAGGGTAGTTGTATCCTACAGTAGGATGGGCAATTGAGGGGAATGAGACTGAAGAGACCTCATACCTAATACCATGCTGAGTATGGTTCTGCACTTTATTCTACATAATTGTCACTGTCTGAACACTATCCGAACACACACACACACACACACACACACACACACACACACACACACACACAGCTGGTTTGCAACAGGGATTAGAAGAAGGTTGCAGTAGCGAGTCAAACTTTGAAGTAAAGGACAAATTCGAAGTGGGCGAAAAGCCTTTAGCAGCTTCCACTCTCGGATCTCGCGATGACTTTCCTAGATTTTAATTTTGGGCTGTTAGGCTGGAACGGCCAGTACTGACTGGCTGAAGAGCGGGTGGCTAGGTTGTCTCCCGCTTCCGGCGTCCTCCGTTGCTAAGGGATACAGGAAGCGCGCCCTTAAGCGCCGCCCATGCGGACGGTAGAGTGCCGGAAGAAAATGTGAGAAGGGTCGGAAAGAGAAAGGAGGGGCATTGTGTTTCGTGCTGAAATGACGACGTTAGTGTTGGATAACGGAGCCTACAACGCCAAAATCGGTTACAGCCATGAGAATGTCTCGTAAGTGTTGGTTTTTACCGAGGAACAAGGCACGTAGTTTCACACACTGCGCTTCGCCTTTGGGACGTCGGTACAGGGCGCCCGCCCCGCGCGGCCTTAAGCTGAGCCCCGGGGATGCTCGCATGGGAGCTAGGTGGTTGGGAAGCTTTGAACTGGAGTTCAGATTTTGATTTTGGGCTGTGCGGCCCCGGAAGTGGGACGTGTGTTTTGTTTTGTAGCCGGAAATTGCTCTGTAAAGAAAGGTTCCAGAGAAGCGGTTCCTAATTGGATTTTCTTGGAGACGCGATTATATAGCTTTCTTCAGATCCTCAGAGGGTTTTATGACCCCCAAAATGTAAAAACCACGGTTTTAGTAGCTGGAGAATTCGAAAGCTTTTGTCTAAGTGCAAACTTCGAAGTGCTCATTGGCTGACCTGCTCCATTATACTCAAATAAACAAATACTGCCATAGCATTTATCAAATATATGTGTTGGCATAAAGAATAAACAGATTTGAAGACACGCTTTTCTTCTGTCATTCACAGAAGGGTGTGTTTTTCTTTTCCTCTCTGTTTTCTTTTGAAAGAGGACAATTGAACTGCTCAGGAATGTGAATTGTTAGTCTTCTGGAAAATGTTGAGACTTGTGTATCGTTGGTTTTTATTCTCTTACTCAGCAGTTCTGTTACCAGCTACCTAAGGAATCAATTAGAGGTGCTTGAGAAGCGTAAAATACAGGACGCTCTGAATTATTTATAGCCACTGTGTGTGGTAGCAAAAATTAAGGAAGGATGCTAAATAATCAAGAATACCAGATGTATTAAAATTGTAATACAACCATACGATTGATTACGATGCAGCTTTAAAAAAATCGTGTATTTCAACATAAAGACCTGTACTGATAATGGACCTAGTTTGTCTTCCTAAACAGATTGTAAGCTCATGGTGGACACAACCACATTTAAAAGTACTACTTCCCACTTCTGTACCCAAAGCATCTCACTGATGGGAAATTTTGACTTTATGGTAACTTGATTTTATGGCCAGAATTTTGAACTTGTAAACCTTTTACCAGAATTTTATTAAAAATTTATGAATTAAAGCCAGAAAGACCAGGAACTTTACCTAGATCTCCTGTTAGCTGTGTGATGGTAGGACCAATACCCACCTGTAAGGCTCTCTTGAGGAGTATTTGAGAAAGAAAAAGGGTCCAGTACATAACCTGGTATGTACTAGAGCCCTTTGGGGGGGGGGGGGGGGGGGGAGGCACTTTTTATTATGTGAAGACAATGAGAAACACTGGTTTTGGATATTTTTCTGGCATCCAGGGTGGTGGTGAAGTAAAAGTATTTATAGCAACTAAGTATTTAGGGAATAATTTTATTATTTGATTCTTTGTTTATAGGGTTATTCCTAACTGTCAGTTCAGGTCAAAAACAGCACGTCTTAAAACTTTTACTGCTAACCAGATAGAAGAAATAAAGGACCCTTCTGGACTCTTCTACATCCTTCCTTTTCAGAAGGTAATTCAATTATATGCCATTTCTAGCATTATAGACCCAAATTTAAAGATAACTTTAAATGTATATCTAAGATTTTATTTTATTTTTTATTTTTTTATATATATCTAAGATTTTAAATGTACATATAAGAAAATGTATGGAAATATTTTTAGATTTCTAAAAGATGTCATTTAGGTGCTCTCCCTCCTGGGGCACGCCGAGGCCTTCCCTGTCCCCTTCCTATTTCTGGTCTAGGCATGTTACCATTAGCTTCCTCACTTCCAAGCTCCGAGGGCCCTTCCTTTACTTCCATAACTTGTTTCCTAAGCCATTACTTCTAGGAATTACTTTTTCTACCTTTGTAATTTACTTAGTAAATGTTCTATTACAAAAATAAAGTTTAAAAATGCCATTTAAATTTTCTTTTTAAAAAAATGTTTTTATTGATTTTTTTAGAAAGAGAGGAAGGGAGAGGGAAAGAAACTTCAATGTGAGAGCAAAACCTGATCTGCTGCCTTCTGCACGCCCCCTACTGGGATTGAGCCTGTAACCAGCCATGTGCCATGACCAGGAATGAGCTGGCAGCCTTTTTTTTGTGTGTGCACTGGCTGTTGCCCAACCAACTGAGCTACACCAGCCAGGGCTAAATTTTAAATAAGATCTTATTAAAGCCAAAACTTGAAATTCAAGTGTACTGTTAAAAATAAATGACCGCCTTGGCCGGTGTGTCTAAGTGGTTAGAGCATCGGCCCTCACATTGAAGGGTCTCGGGTTCGATTCTCAGTCAAGAGCATGTACCTGGATTTCAGATTCTGTCCCCTCCTACCCCAGTTGAGGTGTGGGCAGGAGGCAGCTAATCAATGTCTCTCTCACTCTCCCCCTCCTTCCCTTGCACTCTCTAAAAATCAATGGAAAAAATATCCTGGGCTGAGGATTAACAAAATAAAAATAAAATAAATGACAGTGCCCTGGCTGGGTAGCTCAGTTTGTTCATGTTGTCTCAATATGCCAATGTGGTAGGTTTGATCCCCGGTGAGGGCACATGCAAGAATCAACCAATGAATGCATAAATAAATGGAACAGCAAATCACTGTTTCCTTTTCCCTCTCTCATCTCTCCCCCCCCCAACCCCCCCCCCAAAAAAGAATAAATAACCAACCATAATTTAGTTACTGAATGTGGGTATGGGTACTGAATTTTACTTGTTTGTGTTAAAGATAAATGAGATGAACACATTAAAGAAAAGCACAGAGAGAAGCATCTGTACTTATTGTTACACCTTTTGAACCCTTGACACTTTGGTTAGTGTTAACTTGTAGTTTTTTGAACTTCTAAAAGGAGAAAAACATAATTAGTTTGAAATTCAAACATCATTAGACTGGTGAAGGTAACCATAAAGAGAGAGAAATCAGCAATTTAGAATATATTAATCTGACTTTTTTTAATTGTTCAAATATTTTTGATGATTAAATTTATTTAAAATATTTTTAGGGCTACTTGGTGAATTGGGATGTTCAAAGACAAGTTTGGGATTACCTTTTTGGAAAAGAAATGTATCAGGTAACAAACTGGAGTATGTATTCAGATTTATTTCCAAGTCTTATTCAAATGAAAAATTAGTATTTATATTTTAAGGTTTATAAACTTTTGAATATGCTTCAGATACGTGTTTAAGTCACTTAATATTCTGTGCGTGGCTTTGATTTTCTAAATAATAAGTAAGTGCAAGTGAACAGAAATTCTGTATTGAAGTGAAATATGAGGTTGATAAGAGATAGTCTGTATGAAACTCAAGATTAAAAGTTTACTTCAGATTTCTACTATTATTAGGCCAATTCAGTATCTTATTTTCACAATAAAATATTTTTGCCTAAATATTTGAATGTGTGAATATTACAATATGAGAAATTTGTGCTTGTAATGTCTATAGTGTGACTTTAAGTATACAGAAAAATGTTCAAATGTTAATGCTACTTAAGAATGGGTGGTAGAGAATTATGTACGTATTAAATATCCTCAAGCTTCTCGCCTCTTAACATTTAAAAGCAAAATAACAATAGCCCCCATGCTTATAGTTATTCATTACTTTTGCATAATTATATTTAAACAATTTGATAGGACCATTTTGTTAATGCTACTATTAAGACAGCTAAAATTGAATAATAGTTAAAGAGCATGAATTCTGTTACCAGACTTCCTGTATTCAAAACCTAGGTCACTAACTAGTTATATGAACCTTGGTAATTTATTCAACTCTCTCAGATGTCTGGGTTTACTCACCTATTAACTGGGTATAATAAGACCTGTCTCCTAAGATTATTGTGAGTTTAAAGTAAGTCTGATTATACATGTGAAATATGTTTATAATTATAACACAAAGTTATGAAACTTTTGGGATGTTTTTTCTCTTTTAGGTTGATTTTTTAGATACTAATATTATTATCACAGAACCATATTTTAACTTTACTTCTATTCAAGAATCAATGAATGAGATCCTATTTGAAGAATACCAGTTCCAAGCAGTATTAAGAGTAAATGGTGAGTTAATGTTTTGGTTGGAATTGAGTTATGTGACTATGGATATGAATAGGGTAAATGAACACTTAAAATCCAAGAATTTGCTCTGGCCGGTTTGGCTCAGTAAATAGAGCGTCGGCCTATTGGATGAAGATGCGTGTCAAACTCAAAAACAGCTTGCAGTGCCCTAACCAATTTGGCTCAGTGGATAGAGTGTCGGCCTGCAGACTGAAGGGTCCCAGGTTCGGTTCTGGTCAAAGGTATGTACCTTGGTTGCGAGCACATCCCCTGTGGCGGGTGTGCAGGAGGCAGCTGATCAATGTTTCTCTCTCATCGATGTTTCTAACTCTCTATCCCTCTCCCTTCCTCTCTGTAAAAAAAAATAAATAAAATATATTTTTTAAAAATCCAAGAATATTATTTTAGATTTGAAAGAAATAAAACACGGAATTTAAAAACTAGATGGACCCTTAGAGGTTAGTTAGTCAGACTTCTCTCATTTTATCTTTTTACTCATATAATATTTCACCCTATTGAAGTTACTACCCACATATATCTAATCTCTGAAAGATTATTATTTCTGAGGTAGTTATCTTTTCTATTACAGATATGCTTGCTATTATAATTGATTGAAAAATGTTAATAGTCAGACTGCCAACATAGAATCTATCAATATCATCCAGGAGTAAATTTATTAAAAGTTAGAATTACATTACATGGCTGTATAATGAATGTACTAAGATATTTAGCTTTCAGAATTAAAGTCTGTATAAAGCAACAATCTATATATATAAAAGCCTAAACGACCGAATGACGGGTCGGCCAGTTGCTATGATGCGCACTGACCACCAAGGGGCAGATGCTTCACGCAGGAGCTGCCCCCTGGTGGTCAGTGTGCTCCCATAGCGGGAGCACTGCTCAACTGACCAACCAGTCCTGGCGGCCCACCAGCCCGGCGGCAGCCACTCACTCCCTCAGTAGTCCTGGAGGTCCAATCTCCGGAGAATGGGCCAGGCACAATCCTGACAGCGCCACTGGCCTCCTGGAAGTCAGCCTCAGGCACCGCGGCCACTTCCCCTCCCTAGGCGCTCTACAAGGAAGAAACAATGTAAAAGCGGCTGCCAGGTGGCTTCCAGCAACCAGTGCAAACATCATGGGATGGATCTGGATCCTGGGCTGGCAAGGGTGTCCCACCACTTCCTGGTCCCCCCAACACCCCCTCAGGCTGGGCGCTAGACACAGGATTCACGGCTGGTCAGTGCTGCTGTGGTGGCGGCAGCCTCTCCTGATTGGGACTGATTGGGCGTGAGCCCATGGCTGGCGCAACGGGGGCCAGGATGAATGGGAGTGGCAGGCAGGAGAAGCAGGCCGCATTGTTCTGCGGTTTTGGCCTGATCCCTGCAGGCTACCCTGAGGGACCCCACCCATGCAAGAATTTGTGCACCGGGCCTCTAGTATCTATCTATCTATCTATCTATCTATCTATCTATCTATCTATCTATCTATATCTCTCTTACCTAATAATAGACAAACATGTAAATTGACCGTGCCTTCGCTACGCTAACCAAGGCCAATCAGGGGAGTATACAAATTAACCTAACAGATGTTAATTTGCATACATAGGCTCCAAGTGGTGGAGCGAAGCCTGACGGCCCCAGGACTGGAGCAGCGACGGCCAGCCGGCAGCGCAGTGAAGCCTCACGGCCCCGGGGCCGGCTCCAGCCGGAGCCCGGCCAGAGCGAAGGCCTGTGTGCCAGGTGCCGGAGGAAAACTGGTGCCAGCAGCCAGGGGAAAGGAAGGCCTACTGCACGAATCTCTTCATGCAACAGGCCTCTAGTATATATATATAAAAACCTTAGCAACCGTTATAACTGAACGATGGAAATGACCAGTCGACCAGTCGCCATGATGTGCATTGACCACCAGGGGGCAGGCACTCAGTGCAGGAGCTGCCCTCTGGTGGTCAGTGTTCTCCCATAGGGAGCTGGGCTCACAGCTGGTGAGCGCAGCTGCAGCAGCAGGAGCCTCTCCCAACTGCGTGGTAATGCTACCAAGTGGCAGCGGCGGCAGGTGCAGCCGGCCTGGATGAGCACAAGCAGTGCAGCATCCGGCCCTGGCTCAGGCTCCGCCTTGGCTGCCTGCTGCTTGGTGCACTGCTACATCCCCCGAGGGATCCCAGATTGCAAGAGGGTGCAAGCCAGGGTGAGGGACTCCCCCCCCCCCCCCACCCCATGCACAAATCCATGCACCCGGCCTCTAGTACTAAGAGCAGAATTCTGGTTAAGAGCAGGATCTCTAGAACAGTGTTCTCAACAAAGGTGATTTTGCTACTCGGGACTTTTGGCAGTGTCTGGAGACATTTTTGGTTGTCAAAACTGGGAGAATGCTACGAGCATCTAGTGGGTAAAGGATACAGATGCTGCTAAACATCTTACAATGCACAGGACAGCCCTAACAGCAAGGAATTACCTGGCCCCAAATGTCAGTATTTTCAAGGTTGAGAAGCTCTGCTTTAAAGTCACACTGCGCAGGTTTGCATCCTGGCTCTGGTTGGTTCTAACTGTATGACTCTGGGCCATTATTTAGCTTCTGTGTGCTGCAGTTTCTATAAAACGGGATTGTTGGGAGATTTAAAGCACACATACTCAATGGGGTTTAGTATAGTCTCCAACATGTAATGAATGCTCAGTAAAATTATCTGTTGTCAAAATAATATTTTAAGCTATGAAATGAAAATTGACCTTTAAAAATTGATCCCAAATTTATATTTACCACAAAAAAGTGATACTTGAAAGTGTAAACACTATAAGGAATTTTTGACAGAGTTATGAATATAGTAATAAATTAACATTTTCTTATAAACAAAAGAAAACATTTGTCTTTGCCTTACTTTCTACCTTTCTTTATTGCTTTAAAATAATTATAATGTTTCTTTTTCTCTCTACTTTTTTTTATAATAGCTGGGGCTCTCAGTGCACATAGGTATTTCCGAGATAACCCTTCCGAATTATGCTGTATCATTGTTGATAGTGGGTACTCCTTTACACATATAGTTCCTTATTGTAGAAGTAAAAAGAAAAAAGAAGCAATTATTCGGTGAGTTGCATTTCATTTTTATGTTATTTTTTAGAATAAAACTGAAAAATGTGTAGTAAACTGATCCAAATTTCCATTCTCCCTTTTTAGGATAAATGTGGGAGGGAAACTCCTAACCAATCATCTAAAGGAGATCATATCTTATAGGTAATGCTTAACTTTTATTCTTTGGGAGGATGGGATGCTATCAATGAAGTTTTTCAAGCAACTTAAAATTATTCTTTACCCGTAGTTGTAACTTCAGGTGGCATTTCTGTATGATTAGTGCTTAAAAAGCTATATCACATATATAATTACTAACGATGTTTAAATCGAAAAGCTTTCTAGCATTTAAAATGGTATTGTCCACTAAAAAAGACAATCCCAAATTCTACAGAATTTAATATATTAATATTTTAAAATGATAAATGTTATCCATGTGCATTGTAAAACAAATTTAAAATGTGTATAAAAAGACTGGCTGGCGTGGCTGAGTGGCTGATCATCGACCTATGAACCAGGAGGTCACAGTTCAATTCCTGGTCAGGGCACATGCTGCCTTGCGGGCTCGATCCCCAGTGTGGGGCCTGCGGGAGGCAGCCGAACAAGGATTCTCTCACATCATTGATGTTTCTATCTCTTCCTCTACCTTCCTCTCTGAAGTCAATAAAAATATACTTAAAAAAACAATAAAACTAAGATAAACATAAAACTGAAACAAATATGATAGGATTATTTTCTTTATTAATTATGGGCGCTTACTAACCCATAAGAAAGCTACCCTTAGTTAGGTAATTCTCAGAAAACAAATGGTCAGTGGCACAGATAGATGATCACTAGAGAGTTACATGCAAAGGATTTCTATGGATAATTCTCAGACATAAAAAAATGTTAAACTCCTGTAGAAATGAAAGATTTAATTCAAATCCTTATCAGTTATTTGTTGAGGAGCTGAGGATACATGAGTTAACAAAATAGACAAGAACTCCTCTTTCTCATGGCACTTCTTCGTAGAGAAAATGCACATTAAAATACCATTAAACAATGCACATTTATGGAACTTTTTCAAAAGATGATGTAGATTTGTGATATGGGCACTCTTCATTTGCTGCTGATCGGAGCACAACTTGAAATAACTTTTCTGGTAAATAATTTGGCAGTATACCAAGAGACTAAGTATTTTATATTCTGCATTTTAGAGTATGAATAAATAATCATAATAATCAGAGATATAGATAAAAGTACTATATTTCATTACTCCTGAGTTTATGTTTTTTTACATTTTAACTTTGAAATTGAGGTGAATCTTCCAATCATTGGTACCTTAGAATTGTCATAGTTTAATTAGCATTTTTTTCTTTTCATTGGTACATTTGTGCATCTTGGAGAAGGTGGAATATGGTGTATATGACTATTTTGTTAAAAGCAAAAAGATAGAAGCAATGATAATAATTATTATTTTTAAAATATATTTTTATTGATTTCAGAGGGGAAGGAAGAGGGAGCCAGAGATAGAAACATCAATGATGAGAATCATTGGTTGGCTGCCTCCTGCACATCTTCTACTGGGACTGGAATCGAACCTGGGACTGTTCAGTCCACTGGCTGACACTATATCCACTGAGTCAAACTGGCTGGGGCAGAAACAAAAATTATTTATTGAGTACAGGGACTATGCTAAACACTTTATATATATGATTAGAATAATAAACTTACAGCTATGTTAAATTGTCGATATTACCTTTTTAGAGTTGAAGAGTTGTAGTCCCAAAAAGATAAAGTAACTTGGCTACTAATTTGGGATTAAACCTAAGTCTCTGGCTTCCAAGTCCATGTTTATAAACACACAGGTATCTTTCCTCCCTGATCTAAACTTCCAACATTAGGAACATTGACAAATACATTTTAACAGATCCCTCTGACTGAATATTTTAGGGCAGTAAGAAATAATTTTTAAAGAGTATGTAATAGCATAAGAAAATGTTCATGAGATAATGTTTAATCTAAAACATAAAAAGTAAACATGTATATAATTTATGTACACCGAAAAATATTCAAAGGAAGTAAGCTTATATTTTTGTTTTTTGCAAATCTTTATACATTAAACCTGTGGGTTTTTTTTTATTTACTCATCAAATATTTATTAAGGATCCACTACATGCCAGGTACTGTGTGCTGACTCACAATACTTTTGTAATCAGAAAAGAAAGTGCAAAGAGTTAAAAGCAAGATTCTATTTAGAATGGTTGGAGGAAAAAGTTTGCTCTTTAATTGGGTAAACCTTACCCCTTAACACGTTTTCAGTTTCCTTCTTTAAACTGGACTTACATTTGCCTTTGGAGGGATAATGTGGAGATAAAATGAAATAATGGAAATAGGATGGGGCTGGGTGGAGGTGGGCAAAGGAGGGGAAAATGGGGGACATCAGCAAGTGTCAACAATAAAAGTTTTTTGTGTGTTTTTTTTAAATATATATATTTTATTGATTTTTTTAATTGATATTTTACAGAGAGGAAGGGAGAGGGATAGAGAGAGTCAGAAACATCAATGAGAGAGAAACATCGATCAGCTGCCTCCTGCACACCCCCCACTGGGGATGTGCCTGCAACCAAGGTACATGCCCTTAACCGGAATCGAACCTGGGACCCTTGAGTCTGCAGGCCGACGCTCTATCCACTGAGCCAAACCGGTCAGGGCAACAATAAAAGTTTTAAATAAAAAATAATAATAATGGAAATAAGTATTTCATAAAGTTACAAATAATTTACACATTCAAGAATTTACTATTTTAAAAAACTAGTTACCTGAAAATTTAATTCCAGAAAAAAATATTTTAAATGTTCATTATAAGTTATATTTAAATCTTTTCCATATCATTTTTTAAATATGTTTTTGAGAGAGAAAGGAAGAGAGAGAAAGAGAACATCTATTGGCTGCTTCCTGCACCCCTCCCCCTGGGGATCTAGCCCACCCCCCTGGCATGTGCCCTGATCAGGGATGGAACCGCACCGATGACCTTTCGGTGCACAGGACATTGCTCAACCAACTGAGCCATACAGCCGGGGCTCTTTTCCATTTAAAATTTTTATTTCTTTTTAGGCAGTTACATGTTATGGATGAAACACACGTGATTAATCAAGTGAAAGAAGATGTATGCTATGTGTCTCAGGATTTTTATAGAGATATGGATATTGCCAAGTATGTATAATGGTAATCTAAGAATTGGGGAGTTGATTCTTGGGAATGTTATACATAGTTAAAATATTTCATAAGTCTCTATTTTGTTTTCCAGGTTGAAAGGAGAAGAAAATACAGTAATGATAGACTATGTTTTGCCTGACTTTAGTACAATTAAAAAGGGCTTTTGTAAGGTAATTTGAAAAATCCTCATTATATTTCTTCAAGTGACCACCTCAGTCAGATTTGAAAAGCATCCAGCTGGGATTAGTGGAGTCTTAACAGAATTGTTGATTGGCTGCCTTCCTGGTGGCCATTTTTCCAGTTACAAGTGCATAAATGATTAATAAATGTCTCACTAAAGTTATTTAGAAAAAGAACTGTCAGCTGAATGACAAATCTGGAGATAAACAGAAGTTGGTTATTTGCCTGTTGTGAATATTGATACAGTTGACCCAGGACTGAATTATTGATATTTCTTTTTATATATTTTAAGTATTTTTATACCTATATAAAGGATTAGGATATACTCTATTATGGGAGGAAAATTGCATATATGAGTCAAATGAAGTGAATGTCTATAACTGAATTTAAAAAAGCTGATGATTCTTAGTAAAATTGAGAGGGAATATTATTTTAATGATGTAGAATATTGTAGAAGGAGTTTTTTTTTTTTTCCTAGTCCCTCAGGAACAGAGCTCACAGATGGGTGGGTTAGCAGAAAATAACGAGAATTTCAGTGGTAATGCCCATATATTTGTTTAAGTCATTTGGAAACAGATTTTTAAATAAGATTGAATAAATAATAAATGTAAAGATGTAGGCTTTTTGCACAAGGGAAAGGGAATATCCTAATAGAATGAACCACAGTATTCAATAAGCAATAGGGGAGTGAAAGTAGATAACGGAAGAAACATAAGACAATAAGTGTTTTCTATCGAGAGTATGTTCTTTGTTCTCTGGAAATGGCAATCAGTCTGCTATCATAAGTACTTTATGAAGTTTCCTCTCATCTGTTCCTTTCTTTCTGTTTTAAAATGTGTGGAATAAAGCCAGATTATCTTTGGGGGAATAGCTATGTTAGGGTCACTAATTATTTATTTGTGTAGTTTAGGCAACAGGAGAGAAAACTACTAACTTTTGAGACCCTGAAACTTCCGAGGACATGTTAATATATTAGTATTACATATTACTAAATGTTATTCGTCGTGTGATCTAGATAATGTGGTAAACATTTTATCTTTTACTTTAAGCCAAGGGAAGAGATGGTGCTAAGTGGAAAATATAAATCTGGGGAACAAATTCTTCGTCTGGCCAATGAAAGATTTGCTGTACCAGAAATACTCTTTAATCCTTCTGATATAGGAATTCAAGAAATGGGAATTCCAGAAGCTATTGTCTACTCAATTCAGAACTTACCTGAAGGTACATAGTTAAAATACTGAGTAGTAATGATATTTTTACAAAACCTTATGTGAACTCGAGAAGTCATCTGTTTCTTCTGAATAATTTTAGGAAATAGCAAGTCTTTTATTTGTAGAGATTTCCAGATCCAATAACATACTTGAATAATTCTTTATTGGTCCCAGATTATACATCTCATATGGGAAAAAGTCATTATTGTACACTTAAACTTGAAGAAATTCTCCAGGAGTATTAAATTATCATATCTATTGTAGAAAAAGTTTTAATTTAACCCACCTTTGCACAGAACATGACTTTATAACTTTGCAACTTAATGGTTTTCAGCCGTTGGTAGGATTGGTTTATTCTTTCTGTTATATTTGGATTGATATAATTTTAATGAGATTGAAGTATACTTCGGAGTGAAGTCTGGGTTCTCCAGAAGCATGATTTAACTAATATTCTCGAGTGTTAAAGTACTTTTCTATCTTGAAGATGTCTTCTTAGTTCATAAGGAACACTAGGCATTGGAGAAAACCTAGCATATGCAACATCCTTTCCTTCCGATATATTAAAAAAAGGAAAAATGAAAAAGAAAGTCAATAATTCCAACACCTTAATATATTTTCATATTAATAACAACTATTTTCATATTAATATTTCATATTAATTCCATACTTTATATAAAGTTACAGTCATGAGGTATGCAACAGTTTATACTATACTCCTTTAATGTCATGCCAGGAGACTCAGTGTCAATATATACTCATTCCTTGTTTTGCGCTGGTACTCAGTATTGTAATTTTTAAAAAAATATATATTTTTATTGATTTCAGAGAGGAAGGGAGGGGGAGAGAGAGATAGAAACATCCATGATGAGAGAGAATCATTGATCGGCTGCCTCCTGCACGCCTCCCACTGGGGATCGAGCCCACAACCAGGGCATGTGCCCCTGACCGGAATCAAACCTGGGACCCTTCAGTCCGCAGGCTGACGCTCTATCCACTGAGCCAAACCGGCAAGGGTTCAGTATTGTAATTCTTGATAAATTTCCCTGGGGTGCTGCATAGGCTTTTAATACTGGCTGACCATATGGCACTTAATGTTTGCCATCATATAACTTTAATGAATGCGAAACAAAATCCTTTCTTTAAATATTATAGATTATGAGTATTTTTCACTATTAAGTATCGCACATACTTAAATACCCGTCTCAGTGAGATAGCATGAAGTTAAAATGTCATGAAGGACCTCCTTTTCATCTTTCACTAGCTCAGTCTCAACCTACACAAAGATTCCTTCCATTTTAGGGAAGAACAATTATAATTATCAAATGTCTGCTAGTAGAATGTTACTGATATATATATATATAATGTTACAGCTTATAGTAAGTAGCCCATAGTTCAGCCCCTTACCTTAGTCTTTGTTCAATATCTAGAGGTTATATTTCTGTTTAATATATCTATTTATCTGTAATATCATTATAAAATCTCAGAAATTATAATTTATATGGTTATAAAAATATTATATGGTTTCCCAACCAGTACCTATAATCCCTAATTGCTTTTACCTAAGCCCTCATCCTTATTATTCCATGAAGATAGGTAAACAGATTTTCTAATGTCTTTTTTTTTTCTCCATTCTCCCTTTTTTCCTTTTACAGAAATGCAGCCGCATTTTTTTAGAAACATTGTTTTGACAGGAGGAAATTCCCTTTTCCCAGGATTTAGGGATCGGGTTTACTCAGAAGTTCGATGTCTCACTCCAACCGATTATGATGTTTCTGTTGTGCTGCCTGAAAAGTAAGTCTTGGCTCATGTAGACACAAAACATGGCAGACTGTAGATGAAGTGGACTGTGGATAAAGCAGACTTGAGTTTAAAACCTGGTTCTTCCATGTTGGCAGGTTTATTTCACCTTTGGGATCCTCATTTTCCTTTACTCAAAAATTGAAGTGATAGCCCTGGCTGGTGCAGTGGTTAGAGCATTGGCCCACACACTGAAGGGTCTCGGGTTCAATTCCTGGTCAAGGGGACGTACCTGGGTTGCGGGTTCACTCCCCCCGACCCCCCACCGGTTGGAGCTCATTTGAGAGGCAACCAATCAATATGTTTCTCTCTTTCTCTCTCTCTCCCCTCTCTCCTTCTCCCTCGCCCTCTCCCCACCCCCTTTCTCCCATGCTCTTTGAGAAAAACAGTGAAAAACATATCCTCAGGTGAGGATTAACAACAACAACAACAACAAAATTGAAGTGACAAACCTTCCATTTTAGTAGATTCAGTCTTACGAAGTATTTTAAGTGCCCACCATAATGATTGGAACATGATGGGCACTTGGTTAATATGAGATCACTTCCCTATAGTAAGTCAGTCTTCTTTCCAAAGAGTTTTTATAGGCAAAGCAATTAGGTTATTATCTGCTTGAGTTATCTGAGGTGTGTCATTTCCTGAGAGTTTCTATCAAGTATAGAAATTTAAGACTTTACCCATTGAGATAAGTTATGTCCATTCATAAGTTGTTTTGGAATGTCTTAAGATAATTTAAAATATTTTAAATTAACTTTTAAATGTAATTAGTTTTTGTTAAATTCAAAACTGTTTTATATATATTTCCCTACCCTGTTTTATGAGAAAAAGCAGATATCATTTCTACTTTACTGGTAAAAAAATTAAGGCAGAATTTTAGAGCTGTAAGGAAGGCTTACACATCATCCTGTCCAATGTTCTTACTTTGTAAATAAAGAAGCAAGGACTCATAAGTTGGCAAAGGCTTTACAGTGAGTTGATAGCAGTGACCAAATCAAAACCCAGTTCTCTTCACCTTGAGGCAGGAGCTTTTACCAAATATACATCTACTAATTGCTCCCTCCCAAGTTTTAAGTGGCAGAGACCCCACATACCTGACTTAATTTTAGAGTTTTGTTTTAAAGCTAAAGTAGAAATTTTCAAAACCTATAGCAGGCCCTCATCTGATTACTTATTTCATAGCTATCAGGTTGAAGAATAAACTACCATTAGATATTGAAATGATTTTTATCATCATTGATGTTCATATACTCTTTTTAAAAAGAGTATGAAGCGTACTGGATTTTTATCCTGCATTTTATTTATTTGTTTGTTTTCATCCTCTCCCTAGAGTATGCATATTGATCTCAGAGGGGGAATGAGAGAGAGAGAAACATTGATGTGAGAGAGAACTTCACTTGGTTGCCTTTCATACGTGATCCGACCAGGGATTGAACTCACCATGTAGTTATGTGTCCTGACCGGGAATTGAACCCAAAACCTTTCGGTATATGGGACAACGCTCCAATCAACTGAGCCACACTGGCCAAGTTTTATCCTGCATTTTGTTTATTTTATATATTTTTATTGATTTCAGAGAGGAAGAGAGAGGTAGAGAGAGAGAGAAACAATGAGAGAGAATCATTGATTGGCTGTCTCCTGCATGCCCCCTGCTGGGGATTAAGCCTGCAACCTGGGCATGTGCCCTTGACCGGAATCGAACCCAGGACCCTTCAGTCCGCAGGCTATATCTGCTGAGCCAAACTGGCCAGGTCTTACCCTGCATTTTAAATGTAAGTTGTGTACACATTACAGGCTAAGGGATGCACAGAAGTAGTTTATTTCTTTATTCATCAAATCTTTATTGCACACCTACTCGTGTGTGTGTGTGTGTGTGTGTGTGTGTGCGCGTGTGCGCGTGCGTGTGCGCGTGCGTGTGCGCGTGCTCGCGTATTCCTCTCCCCCCAAGATTAAGAAATGCAATAAGGCCCTAGCCAGTTTGGCTCTGTGGATAGAGCATCAGCCTGCGGACTGAAGGGTCCCAGGTTCGATTCCGGTCAAGGGCATGTACCTTGGTTGCGGGCACATCCCTAGTAGGAGGTGTGCAGGAGGCAGCTGATTGATGTTTCTCTCTCATCGATGTTTCTAACTCTCTATCCCTCTCCCTTCCTATCTGTAAAAAAATCAATAAAATATATTTTTAAAAAAAGAAATGGCAATAAGTACAATAAGGAAAACATTAACTTTTTTCTTTCTCATTTTTTAGATTTGAAACTGAATTGGGGATAGCGAAACAGTAGAAATAGAATTGCATTATGACACAAAGTATATAATCTTGCTTGTAAATAAAGCCAAACTAAATGTTTAACATGCTTTAGTTTTACTTACTGTCCATGTCCTACCATGTAACCGTTTATCTTGCACTGTGTTTCCTAAATGTTTCATTTATTAGAGGCAACAGAGTATAGCAGCAAAAGCACAGACTGTGTGATAACAGTTCCAGTTAAATCTAGTTCCAGACTTAATCTCTCTGGCCCTTATTTTCCAGACTTACAAAATGGGCGTTGTCATAACTATATTGCTGTGTGATGACATATCTTTGCTGCATACTAGTACAGAAGTTAGACTCAGTTATGACAGTGTTTTTCATTTTATGTATTTTTAATCTTTTGCTTGTATTCTTGTTTTTTATTATAAGAACTAGAGACCCGATGCACGAAATACATGCAAGGGGCTCCGCCCTCACAGCCACGGCTTTGTCCGGAAGGCCTTTCGGCTGTCTAGTCTAATCAGCATATTACACTTTTTTTTTATTATTATAGATAGATTCAGGGCACAGGGGAAAAAGTCAAAAGAATAACTATTTGTAATGTTGATAAAGATTCCTTTCTTTCTGAGTTTGCTTTAGTCTTATGAAGTTTATGATTATTTTTACACTTTAAATGACTTTCTGCTACATTTTAGTGACTAATTAATGTTTTTGCCTTTTAGTTTTATAAGATCATCTGGATTCATTTATGTTACCTTTATTTTTAGCCCTATTACTTATGCCTGGGAAGGAGGAAAATTGATATCAGAGAATGATGATTTTGAAGATATGGTGGTAACAAGAGAAGATTATGAAGAAAATGGACATAGCGTCTGTGAAGAGAAATTTGATATTTAAGTAACATTTCAGAAAGTTTTGACTGGTTCTGACAAAGGTTTAATTTAAACGTTCTTTTTAAAGGTTAAAGATCTGTACTACCTTTTATCTTAAGAGAAAGACTTGAACTTATGTAAATACTTTGATGTAGGGGTAATTTTCAAAGGTTTCTCAGCTTGGTTACTAAGTGAACTGTAACTCAGCCCATATTTTCATTTAGGAGCTACATTACCATAAACAATGCTTATGCTGTTTCTGAGAGTATGCTATCTTTCATTAGAAGATGAAAGAGTGAATGCATTTTAGATTTAATTCTTTATAGTTGAAAGCAGAGACTTAACTGTCTCGCTGGTAGTTTCCTCAGGAGGTAGTTTTGTGTGACTGTGTCTAGGAATTGGCCAAAGTGTTTTCAGTCTGGTATGATTTCTCTTTTAGAACAAGTATTTTACTTTAAATTTGTCATTCTTATTTGTATATACTAAAGTTGTAAAGACCATTCTTCTGTGTGTTTAATGTTTATTTTTTACTTTGAGTAAGTTTGAAAATGTGGAGACTAAAGCCAATTTACTAAAGTGTTGTTGGTCACTACTGTGTTGGCAGAAGTGTATTCACTCAAAAATACTGCACCATTTTGGGGGATTAAAGTAAATTTGAAGTTAACTTAGGGTTGTTCACCTTGATACAAATATTAGTGCTTAGTTTTAAAATCTCATATAATCCACAGTAAGCATATTAAGATGTTAAAGGCCATAGCTTTCCAATTGAAGGGAACAGCTTACAGTGACATTAATGAATGGGTCAGGTAAGCTTCTTTGATGGCAAACAGCAGGAACTCACTAGAGTGATCCTATGTGAAACAACATTTATCAGCAGGACAGAGGACAGCTCAGAAAATCTAGGAAAAAGATTTTGGCTGGACCAACAGCCCTGAGAATAAAAACCAGATAACCTTAGGCATCTAGGTTATAGAAACTAAGAGACAATCCTTACAGAGCCTGGCCATCAAAATATCTCAGCTTCTGTATTTTCTGTCTTTGGCCTGTGCTCATCAATCAGATTCCTACCAGTCTCTTCTCCCAACTTGGGATCATGCGCCTACCCCATGGCTTTAGGGACTTTGACAGTCCCACTAAGACAGCCTAGAGCAGTGGTTGGCAAACTCATTAGTCAACAGAGCCAAATATCAACAGTACAGCGATTGAAATTTCTTTTGAGAGCCAAATTTTTTAAACTTAAACTATATAGGTAGGTACATTGTTATTAACTTAATTAGGGTATTCCTAAGGCTTAGGAAGAGCCACACTCAAGGGGCCAAAGAGCCGCATGTGGCTCGCGAGCTGCAGTTTGCCGACCACAGGCCTAGAGTAAACGAAGGAAGTCTCCCATAGGAAAATTAAGGTGAAGAGACCGAAGCTGGGCAGGGTGAAAGAGCTGTGTACTAACTACAATTATATATTGGATCGTATTGGGGTAAGGCCAGGTGAGTCCTTCCTAGACCTAGGCTGGTTATCATTATAGAGTTTGAAGATACCCAGTTACTAACATACAATTTGTGGACATTGTAGGAAAAAGATGCTGGTGGCATAAAACAAGTTTTTGCAACCATACAGTTGCACAGTGCTAGAATTTCAAGGTAATGTGGTTGGAGGTAAAAAGATAAGCCCCATTTAAAGGGCTTTTCTTGACTTGTCAGGATCTCATCTTGGTCAGGTAGAATGCTATCCTTACCAGCCAGGTGTTTTTGCTGTGAAGAACTGGGCATTCCTCAAGGCTGCATTCCTAAAACATGCCCTCACCTGAACTCTTCTGTTATATTCTACCGAGGATGATGCGTATGCGTTCATATCCTTACTACAGTAGACTGGAATTTCTGTATACAGTGTACCAGTAGGTCTCATAGTGCTTTTTTGAGACCATAAAAATTCATTTCTTAAATTAATGAACATGGAGCCTAATCCTTTATCTGTAGCATCAAAGCTCCCAAGCATTTCAACACCTGCCTGATTTTGAAAACTTTATTGCTAGAGGTAATGTTTTAATATTATACAGTAAGTTGACTTCAAAGAGAACATTTAACTTCAGCTCTGAATAATAAACATTGTCTGAAATGATGCATTAAAGATCTCTATTATTATAGAAAAATGTGGATGATCTTTTTTTTGAACACTTACCAAGAGAAGGAGAAAAATGAGTGATGATCTTAAGTTTGAGATTTACTAGAAGTAGAAAGAGAACTTAGCCACATTAGAGTTTAAAATTTTTATTATAATTTGCATGCAGGGAAGTAACATGTTGGCCATGCATGATATACACCTTAAAATGGTAGAGGATTGGGATTTACAGCAATGAGTAATCAAGATAGAACTGCCCTCTCAAACACTTTTCTATCTTGGTTTTGAAATTTTTAATTCAGTGGTGATTGGTTTTCATGTAGTAAACTGATCATGTCCATCTACTACTCTGCCTGTCCCAAATCCCTTTAAGCTCGGAGGAGGGAGGCAAATGAGATCAGGGAGGCATACACAGAACACTCAGATGCTACTTGTGATATATTCTTTCTCAACCTGGGTGGTAGGCACATAGGTGTTTATTGTATTAGAATCTATATTATGTGCATGAAACAGTTCATATATTTTATTAGAAGAGTAAATCCTGAAGTATTCCACCCTGAAGGGTGCCATTAATGAACAAATGTGGAGGAACTTTTTAAAAGATGGAAAACTAATTGGATTAAGTTGTTAGAGAAACAAGGACAAGAAAACCCATATCCCAGATTAGGACAGGAGAAAACTAAAGACGTAAGAATAATTCGAGAGATAATTTAGGACAAATCCAGTGAGTATAGGAGATCATGGGGAAGCCATGTAAAGAATGAGTTGGAAACAGCTAAGCCCTACTCCCTTTCTTGGAGTTGAGGCTCAGCAGAAAGAGTAGAAGTGTAAGAGTTGGAGAGAGAAAGAATAGAACCTGAAATAATGTCATATCCACTAAGAGTATCAGAATTTCAAAAAAAGGGGGCAGCTGATTGTGGCACTGATCTTTAGCTAAAGACAAGAGCTTAGACCTCATTAGAAAGAATTCTGACTGGGCAGGGCCCTAAATTTAGTACACTTTCCTCCTGCTGGGGAAAGACACCCTAATTAGAACTTAATTCACTGTCAGGGGAACAGGGAATCATAAATGAAAAAAACAGACACTCAAGCATTAAACATTTGAGGGGTGCTTAACACCACCAAATCCAGCAAACAAGAATGAACCCTAGGGATTAAAATAAGCAAAAGAAACTTTTAAAGTAATATTCTCTGAGAGACTGGTGAGGGAATTGCATCTATTACAACAACAACAGGTTGTTATAACAAAGATCTTATAAATTAAAAGTAGAGATTAAAAAAATTTTTTTATTGTTTAAAGTTTTACATATGTCTCCTTTTTCCCCAATTGACCACCTCCCCCACCACCACCACCACTCCCACCCTCTTAAGTAGAGATTTCTTATGGTTAATTGATGGTTAAATAGCAGAATGGATACTACTAAAGACTGAAAAACAGAAAGAAGCTGAGGGAATTTTCCCAGAATGTAGCTTAATTGGGCAAGGTCTGGGATGGTTGTGGGAAGAGGCTAAGTAACAGCCACACTGTAGGCTGTGCTGTCCACTGAGAACAGGGGTGAGGAACCTTTTTTCTGCCAAGGGTATTTGTATATTTATAACATCATTCAAGGGCCATACAAAATTCTCAACTTAAAAATTAGCCAGCTATACTTGGTCAGATATTTAATTAAGCCACCTCTAATGCCTTGGCAGGGCCAGACCAAATGATTTAGAGGGCCTACACAGCCCGCAGGCTGAACATTCCCCACCCCTGACCTTCCCAGAAGAAGGAGACTTTGGATGAGCTTTCATAAAGGACACAGAATTCCTTGCATTTACGGCCTATTCTGTGATGTCCATTCACATACTATCCTGAAGCTTCTAGTTCCCATGTTTTTTGTCTGTTTTCAAGTCTCTAATCCTCCAATCAACCAATTAGCCAGTATTTTTATGCAAACTGGACAACTGGAAATGCTGCTCTCAGTTCTGTTCCCTGGGGTCATTTCCCTTGCCCCCTGCAGGTTAGGCATGCACAGCAGCATGCCATTGTCCAGTGGAAGTGGCACATACAAGTTTGGACTCAGGTTGGACAAGTCAATTGCATGAGCTCACCCATAGAGAAGTTGGTGCACTGTTTACCTTTCCTTCAACTCACATCTGTGACCTCATGGAGGTTCCCTAGTACCAAAGAGAAATAATTCAAACCGGGCTTTTAGGTAGTTCTGCATGATATGGTTGGCACTGGCCAGAAGTGGAGTGCTGGCATTAATCAAATATTGAATTATACTCCTGTGAGGGAATCATTTGGGCAACCAAGAGTTGCCTAATAGTGTCATTGATATCAGAGTTAAGGGACAGAGTTGCAGCTACAACACCTGGTTTTTATGTTCAAAAATCTTTCTAGCACGCAAGCAGTTGCATAGTAAAAGCACCCCAAAATCCACTTGTGGAGAGTACAGGGAGGAAAGATTTCCAGAAAAAAAAAAGGATCTCAAGAATGGTTTTCAATCTTGAATATTATGTATACAAATTATATGTGAGAAGAGTTTTGTCTCAACATTTATTTCTTTGAGTTAGAAAATCTTTTATTTACCTGGATAGTAGCTAATAATGTGAATAATATAAGAAATTCAAGCATTCTTAAGCTCTATGAATCAGGCTGTGAATTCCCATGGTAATTTACTGGATATTCTATCAGGAGGTAAGCTTTACAGTGACAGGAGCTGGATTTTATTTATACAGGGAAAAAAATACTTTACATATAACGAGTCTCTCAAATTGGGAATTCTACTTAAGCCTAATAACTGTAATTTGTGGAGCTGTCACTAGGTGGAGTGGCACCTCTTGGTTAGTATTTTCTCTAGGAATTAATGCCTCAACTTACAAAAATCATTCCGTAGAAGACAATTCCTTTTTGTAAACAAGATTAATCGAATAGTAGTATATATGTTGATGAAAATAAGCTTCATTAGGAAATGTTACAGGAAATGTCATTCAATTTAAATAATAATAAAGCATTTCAAGCATTGCTGAGCAACTCTAACTTCTAGTAATTCTATTTTTAAATTGGATTTTGCCTTAATCAAAGTCATTTACTTGCTAAAATTTTCCTTTCTGAACCCAAATAGGTCACTAGTAAATCCAGGTCTCTGATTCCAGAGCCCATTCTCTCATTGTCTACCATACCACATGCTCTCCCTCGTGCCTCTGATATTTCTGGTCCAGTCTTATAAGTGCAATCTCTGCATGTGTATTTTTATTCTAGACGCAGTGGTTCTCAACCTTCCTAATGCCGTGACCCTTTAATACAGTTCCTCATGTTGTGGTGACCCCCAATTTCATTGTTACAAATTGAACATAATTAAAGCATAGTGATTAATCACAAAAACAGTATGTAATTATATGTGTTTTCCGATGGTCTTGGGCAACCCCTGTGAAAGGGTCGTTTGAACCCCAAAGGGGTCGTAACCCACAGGTTGAGAACCGCTGTTCTAGAGAGTAAAAAACAAAACTGAGGCTCAGAGGGAAGATATTTACTTAAGGTTATATATAATCTTCTAATCATCAGATCCAATGGCATGGTAATATACACTTCCAGCCATTCATAGTAATAAGGAGGAATCCCCCACCAGACTTACACACAACAATAAAAAGGAAACCCCAAGTACCTCCCTCCAATTAAGAGGAAGGGAGGGAGGGATAGAAAGAGGGAAGGAGAGAGGAAAGAAGAAAGCCATAAAATACTCTATAGACTAAAGAAGTAGTAGAGAATGCAAAATCATGGTTTTAGATATTCATGAATTTTAAATTTATGGCTTTTAAAATCTACTTTCTTAGTCTTACACTATTTAGATGATTCAGTGTTTAAGTAATAGCAGCCCAAGGGGATAGCTTAAAAGTTATATATGCTAAGGAAAGTGCATGTTTTTCAATCTTGAATATTATGTATATAAATTATATGTGAGAAGAGTTTTGTCTCAACATTTATTTCTTTGAGTTAGAAAACCAAAGTTAGAAAATCAGGTATGAAATGTCCTTTTCTGTGGGAAAATCAACCTAAAGATAGTATATGTACCAGATCTCTAGTAGCACATTTAACACAATCTTCAGCAGCATGATAATTAAGTACATCAGCATACATGAACTTAACCTATATTCCCTTTTAAAATTAAAAACTTCCCTCACATTTTTAAAAAAGATTTCTCTTTGCAACGTTCAACTATATAATTAAGTATTATTAATTATAGTTGCCATGCTGTACATCCCAGGACTCATTTACTGTATAACTGGAAGTTTGTACCTTTTGACCACTTTCCTTGACATTTTATGCACGATTACATTTACAATGCTTGGAGGCTATACTGTCCCTGAGGTGTCAGTGTGGTAGTTTGAGGAAACACCTGAGATTTGTTTACATTTACAAATTGTAGTTTTCTGCCACAGAAATGTTAATGCAAAGCTTCCAGATAGTTTTGAAACTCCTAAATTTCTATCTTTGTTTCAAAGAGATGCGGGGGTTATTAGTAATCTCAAGAGCCAACTGGTGAAGAAACTGAGTTGTCCTTTCCTTGTGTTTTTCAGATTCCTTGTATGTCAGGCGTTGGCAAAATGTGAAGCCTTAAAAAAAAAAAAAATGACAATAGGAGAAGCAAGTTAAAAACAAAACAAAAAACAATAACAAAAAAAATGTATTTACCGAAACTGGCTTTATTCTAGACTTATTTTTCCCCTAAAATATTGTAGATAATTGTACTTACTATACTCAATTTTTTTTTTTTATAAGAGAAAGTTTATTTAGAAAGTCACAGAGGTAGGAGAAGTGAGTGGTAGAAGAAATGGGCTCAGGAAACAAGTTACAGAGGCCAAAGAAGGGCCCTTGGAGCTTAGGAGAGAGAAGGTAAAGGTAAGGCGCCTTGGGGGTGGGGGAAGGAGGAGGGAGATGGGAAAGGCGGGGTGTAGAAAGCTCAATATACTCATATTTTGCTTCAGAGTAATAACACTGAATCTTCACAAGTGCTCTATATTTAGCAAAAACACTATTTTATTTTACATACATTATTTTATTTGATCTCCAAAAAAACCCCATGTAGTATAAGAAGCAGTGAGGAACTACTCCCCCAGTTTCTAGAGGAATATAAGGAATTTAAGTGGCATGGCTAATGAATTGGAAGTGTTGGGTAGAAAAAAATGTTTTCCTCTTTGGGCCCCTGGCTGGGCCTGAAAAGTAAACTGACAAAGACAGATTAGCAGGAGAAAAGCATACAAGTCTGTTTAAAAATACAAGTTACTAACTCAGCTCTTACTCATTGGCTCCATATGTGGCAGTCCTACCTTTCCACCACCTTAAAATCACCACCTCACCACCTTAAAATCACCACCTTAAAATCACCACCTTAAAATGCAATCCTTCTTAAAATCATGAATTTCCTTGGCTTAATGAGTACAACTTCACCTAATTCCCCTCCTAACATTTCATTTCTGTCTCATTGATAGATTCCTATTAACTTACCCCTTGCCATTAGTGTTCCTTAATGTTTTATCCTTGGATCTCTTATTTTACTCAATATACTCTAAACAGCCTCAATTTTCACATGCTCCCAGACGTTTAATTTTAGCTATTTCTTCCCTGAGCTTCAAAATTGCACATACAGCTTCTCTGCTGAAAATCTTGACCAATATGTCCTACACATATCAAAAGACCAAAACGGATTCAGTCATCTCCCTAAATGTGTTCCTTTTCCTGTTTTCTATCTGAATCGGTGGCAGTCACCCCACCTGGAAACTTGAGAGTTATTTGTGAGTCACCTATATCTCTCAGACCTGTTCCCTCCTCTTCATCCCCCTTGCCTCTGCCACAGTACAGGCCTATGTCATTTCTCACTTGGAGCACTGTAGCCTCCTAATTAAGAACCCTGCCTCCAGTGCCCCTGGCCAGCTTTTCTCCAACCTGCAGCTATGCGTACTCAATCTAAAATACAAATCTAGCCATATCACTTTCTTAAAAATAACTTTCGACATCTCCCAAATGCCTAGTGAATTCCATGGTTGCTAAATAAGGTCCTTCATAATCTGACATCTGCCTGTTTCTCTAGTTTCAATTCTTGGCAACCCCTGCCGTTTCTAGCACTTACTTATTTTTGCTCACAATGTTCCTTCTGTCCAGAATATCCTTCACTGCTTTTTTGGTTTAGCTCATATTTACTAATTCTTTAAGATTCCTAGTAGGCATTGTCGCTTCCACAAGCCTAGCCTGATCCCCTCAAATGAGATCAGGTAAATTCTCCTCCTCCAGTTTTCCATAACCTCCTCTGGCTCGAACATATCCCTATTATGACTAGAGGCCTGGTGCACGAAATTTGTGCATGAGTAGGGTCCCTAGGCCTGGCCAGCGATCAGGGCCGATCAGGTTCCCCACCTTTCCTTGCCACCCATGCGCCTCCACCACGCAGTCCCCCACCCCCACCTCCCTGCCTCCTCCTTCCCTCACTCCCTCAGCACCCCACCACCACTGCTGGTTGCCCGCCATGTTCCACGCTGCCCCCTGGTGGTCAGCGCACGTCATAACAAGTGATCGAACTGTTCTCCCTGTTGAACTCCCAAGGGGACACTTTGCATATTAACCTTTTATATATATAGATTGCTTTATAATGGTTGTCTCTCTCATACATGAATTCTTCCACTGACAATTTATTCACCAAATATCTATTAAACGTCTGTGCTAGTCACTTAGAGCATTGGAACATGAGCTTATTGTAAGCAGAGGCATTATCTTACACATCTTAGTATTTTTTGGTGCTTATACAAAGTCTGACACGTAGTAAATATTAAAAAAATATTTGGTGAATAATTGAATGGGTAAATATTTGATAGCAGGAGCATTTTACATCAACAGATGAATTTCAAGTAATCAATTACTTGGTAAGAAACTCTAATATGGGGAAAAGAGCATACATTATAGAACATACAGATGGTTTTTTAAAAATTCATTTAGTTGCATATTGATATAGTCTGACAATTTTACTGAGTGAGGGGTAAACTTCAAGAAGAGACAAAATAGTTAAGCTATTTAGGAAAAATATCAGATACCTCTTCACTTTCCAAGTGCTTATAGCACTTGGCACTGTGCAAAGCACTTATATTCATTCTCTCCCTTTAAAGCATATTGTTGAATGAATGTTGAATGGAAATAGATATTAAAATGCCTACAATTTCTCCATTTTCCTCAAAAGCCAAAAGCAATGAAGAATTGAATGTGAAAAGCTAATATAGTAATGGCAGCCAAATGAGGTTTGTTTTGAAGTTAGATGAGATCAAATTAATCTGAAAAGATTCCTGATGTTAGGTTCAGAATACTTAGCATCATTGTTTAATTGCATCAAAACAGATAGAATACAGGTGGTAACATATCTGTTGCCATATGCCCTGTGTTCAAAGAAGGACATGAGAGAAAATAGCTGAGAAATTAGCTGAGAAATCCCAGCAACTCAGGCAAATAAATGTATGCCCTACTCCATGAATGTTTTTTTCTCTAAAAATTAGTAATGCCTTAGAAACCATCTTTTAAAAGGAAAAAATGTTAACTACTTTTCTAGTTGGCCAAGTTACTTAACCTCTCTAAGCTTCAGTTATCTTATTTATAAAAATGGGATAATAATAATACCTACATAGATTATTGTATAGAATAAATAATTTCATAAATCCATGTTAGTGCCTGACACATAGTAGGCTCAACATTAGTGTCAACTAATATTAAACATTAGCAGTATTTAATATTTATAGTTTATAATATATTATTAATTTAAATATTAAGTATTTTATTTTATTTTATTTTTTTAAGGTTTTTTTTTTTTTTATTAGTTAAGGTATTACAAATGTGTCCTCATCCCTCCCATTAACCCCCAACCTCCCCCCCACACACACTCATGTAGTTATAAAACAATGAAGTAGTTGCTATTATTTTTCCCATTTCATAGGCGAGGAAGCTGAGGCATAAAGAGGTTAAATGACTTGCCCAGGCAATTTGGCCCTGATAACCCACTTATGGCAATTATGCTACTTTGTCTCTCACATGACAGTCTTTGGAAATTTGCACTAAAACTATTTTTTAGTTTAAAGAAATCCTAAATGAGGGAATCAGCTGAACTGCCAGAGGACACTGACTGAAAAATCTTGGAGCCTATTCAACTGCTGGCCAGGCTCCTCTGTAAAATTAGGTCATTTCCTAAAAGAGAGGAGGGAGGGGGAGAGAGAATGAAAAACAATAGGAAGACTCAGGGCCAGAAAAAGAGACAACAGAGAGGGCAGGAGCATGAAAGCGGCAGTGGGTGATATGCTGAAGGGGAGGCGAGACTTGGGAGCAGAATGAGAGAAAACGTTCACCTTTTTAGAAGAAAGGTAACCAAAGAGCTTCCAAAAGAAAAACTAGAGAACTTGCTCTGGAGATATTAACAAGTAGCCTGAATGTAACCACCGTGTGTAACATTATATATGTATTACATAATCGGTCCCACCCAACTTACTTGGCTATAACTATCATTGATAAAAAGGAACAAGTCTGAATCAATACCTGATACGGCATCTGGATCTTTTCCATGCAAAAGTTTCTTCAGTTTCTTACTAACCGGGTCCAATAAAGTAACTGCTGTCTGCATAAAAAGGGATGTTAAAATATTTAATACTAGTGGCCCGGTGCACAAAATTCATGCACTCGGGGTGTGTGTGGGGGTCCCCCAGCCTGGCCTGTACCCTGTCACAGTATGGGAGCCCCGTGATCCATTGCCCCAAAGAGGTAGGCCCCGCCCACCCATTTGGGGCTCCTTGATGGATTGCCCCAAAAAGGTAGGCCGGAGCCTGGGGAGGCCTGCGGATCCCCGGGCTGGGCCATGCCATAGGGGCCTCTCTGCACACCTATGGACCCTCGGCCGGGGCTGCGGCGGAGCGGCCTCTCTGCCACGGCCCCAACCTTGTCCCTGATGCTGCAAGTCCCTGCCCACCCAAGCCTGCTGCGTACGCAGCCTGCTGACTGGTCGTTATTGTGACGGAGTCCTGACCAATTTGCATGTTACCCTATTATTAGTATAGATGATTTTTTTTTTCCTATCCAGAAACATAGATAAAAAACTTAATGGTTTTGACCACTGAGTCGGGGAAAACATTCCAGCTGGGGAGAAGGGATGGGCAGCAGACCTCTGAATTATAAAAAGTATGAATTCTTGAAATTTTTTTAGAATTCTTACAATTGTCTACTTTCATGTGTGAACTACATCTGAAACTAGGTTAAGCAGTCATTAGTGTAATGTTCTATAAAAAATTATGGTTCTAAAGTAGCCCTGATCTAAATAATCTTACATTGTAATTACATGGTAAGTATGTAAATAGTAGCTCTAAAATACATGAAAACATTATTATCTTAAAATGGATAAATGCTCCTTTTCCAGGTTTTGGTTACACAAAGGTAGTCCCAGACTACAACATGTATCCCTCAGCTAATATTGCTCCAGAGGGCATCCCTACACCTACCAATGCTGAACCTCCTGTCTACACAGCTTCTTCATCCTGCACCCCAGGCTGCCTTTACTTTAGCTTCTATACTCTTGCCAATTTCAAGTCATGAAGCTGTCTCCATTAATTCATTCTGTCATTCTGGAAAAATTTAGTGAGTGATTGCTATGTTCTAGGTGACCAACAGATCAAGTTTCTGAACTCTTGGAGCTTACATTCTCGTTGAAGAGAAAGACAATTAAAAAAAAACACAACAAAACCCTGCAAATAAATAAATAAGTAAACAAAACCACAAAAAAATTAAAAATCAGCAAATACATCATCTATTTTCAAGTAGTGTTAGTGCCATTGAGTAAGCATGAAGCAGGGTAACAAGCTAGAGTGAAGACAATGGGTAGCCATCCTACTTGAGAAGGGCTTCTGCTGAGAGTAACATTGTAAGCAGAGGCCTGAACAGATGGGAAGGAGTGAGCCATAAGAAGATTTGGGAGAAAAATGTTCCAGACAGATAGTAGACAGCATAGAAAAAGCTCCATAACAGGAAAAAGCTTGGCACGTTTGAGAGCCTCCATTATAAATGCTGCCATCTCAGCCTCCCTGAAATACCTTCTGCCCTAATCTCCAGAAAGCAGTCAAGAGAGGGCTTCTCCCCGCTTCCTGAATCCCCCATTTGCACTTCCTTCAGCCCACGTCAATTCCTTTTCTCCTTTGTGGCCTGCTGCAAAATTTAAGCCAGTATGTTTCATTATAACACTGCTCACTCTGACATGAAGGGAAGGTCATAAAATGAAAAAATCCTTTCTAATTTCTTGCCTGTATGTAGGAAAGAGAATTCATTTACCCAGGGGAGGAGGCTGGATGAGAAAAAAGAAAGTGGAGAGGCTAAGTGCTAAGGAAGAGGGAGAGGAAATGTTATTTCTAAATTCCTAGTTGAAATCTGGGACTCAATTTACAAGTAAACTATAGACATGAGTTTTGATTTAGTGACTGTAGAATTAAACATTTATGTAAACTGGGCTCCCCAACCTCCATTTATTTTATATATATATATATATATATATATATATATATATATATATAGATATATGAAATATATAATATTTTTATTGATTTCAGAGAGGAAGGGACAGGGAGAGAGAGAAACATCAATGATGACAGAATCATTGATCCACTGCCTCCTGCACACGGTCTATTGGGAATCACAACCTGGGTATGTGCACTGACCGGAATTAAACATGATCTCCTGGTTCATAGGTCAACGCTCAACCCCTGAGCCACACCAGCCAGGCCATTTATTATATACTAGAGGCCCAGTGCATGACATTCATGCACTGGGTGGGGTTGGGGGGTGTCCCTCAGCACAGCCTGCACCCTCTTGCAGGGGAATGGGCCTAAGCCAGCTGGCAGACATCCCCTGAGGGGTCCTTAGTGCTGCCACCGAGGTGGGAGAGGCTACTGCCACTGCCGCTGCACTGCTGAGCTCATTAGCCCTGAGCCCGGCTCATGTTTCTGGCTGAGCGGCACTCCCCCTGTGGGAGAGCACTGACCACCAAGGGGCAGCTCCTGTGCTGAGCGTCTGCCCCCTGGTAGTCAGTGTGTATCATAGCAACCGGTCATTCCACCGTTTGGTCGATTTGCAAATTAGCCTTTTATTATATGGGATTTTGATAAAAACAAAAACAACTATGTATAGAACATAACAACTGACTTACAAATGAGTTTCCAGAATATATTTCATTCAAAATTCATAATATGGGGACTGCCTCTTGTATATTCTAATTACCACCTTTTTCTCTGAAATAATGGAAAAGAAACTTCAGTTAAGGTTGACAGAACTACAAAATTTGAACCAATATTTATTTCTTATGACATGAGACAACTTTTTTAAGCAAAAAAAAAGGGAAGGAAACAATTTTTTTGTACAGGCTTTGGAGAAATACCACTAAAAGTACCACTCTCAGTACTAAAATATAGTAGCGAGGCTAAAAAACAATCATTTAATCATTTTCTTGATATATTTTGTAAATCTGACCACATTTTACTAATTCTATTGTTACCCCTCTGTTTCAAGTCACTATATTTCTTGCCTAGATTATTACAACAGCCTCCTAAAGGTGTTCCTGCTTTTGCCCTTGCCCCTCAACAATCTATTCTCAACACAAAAGACACATCTATCTTTATAAGTGTCAGTCGTATCAGGCCACTGTTTTGCTCAAACCCTCCAGTGATTCCCCATTTTATTCCAAGGAGGAGCAAAGTCTCTCCGATGGCCTACAAGGGCCCCCACATCTCTGACCTCATCTCCTACTACTTTCCATTCTGCTCACCACTTCAGCACTCAAAAATGGGTTGGGTCACCCCCAGGGCCTCTGCTCTAGGACCCAATCTCTCTCCCCCAAACCATGATTCCCACCCCCACAGTCATTTGGTTGACTCTCTTTCAGTTTTTGCTGAAATTTTACTCTCTCATTGAGCCCAATCTTGGCCACCCTGTTTAATACTGTATGTTCCCAGTCATCCCCACTCTGGCACCCATAAATCCTCTGAACCTGCTCTTTTTCCATTGCATTTATTGCCCCCTATCAAACTATATGAATTGACTTGATGATTGTGTGTATTATTTTATTGTCTGTCATGCTCACCTGGATATAAGCTCCTCAAGGATCTACATCTTCGTGTTTTGTTTGCTGATGTATTCTAAATGCCTAAATAAAACTGTGCCTGGCACATAGTAATGCACCAGAAATGGGTTGAAGGAATCAATATATTTTCAAATATTGACATTAAGTCTGCTTCCTTCTCTTTAGTGGGTAGGGGAAGACAGCATTCCTTCAAACTTTGCACAATACAGGCACTTAATAGATTATTTATTAAGTGAATTACTTGCCTTTTTGCTGAACAAGAATAGCTTGGCACTAAATGTGCCCAGGCAAAATGCCAGAGATACCTTGAAGAGCTCAGAGTGATATTCCAGTAGAAACCAGATGAGTTGTTCTGCCTGTACTTTTGATAATGATTTGGTTTGAAAAACTGCTTTGGCAAGAGTTTTCAGGACAACCATTTTGTTAACATACTGTAAACAGAAAATTTACATTAGCTTGAACAATTTTTCTTTTCTTTTTATTGAATTTATTGGGATGACATTGGTTAACAAAGTTATACATGTTTCAGGCTCACAATTCCACAACACATCATCTGTACACTGTTCTGTGTTTACCACCCAGTCAAGTCTCCATCGCCTCCATCCATGACCATTTATCTCTCCTTTACCTTCCCCCATCACCTCTCTCCCTTCTCCCCCCAGCAATCGCCACATTGTTGTCTGTCTGAACAGTTTTTAAAAATAATAGCGGAAAATTGTTATTGTAATATTTTGTTGCCTGTTTTTGTAACTTGCAGGCATTAGGCTCTGATGCGATAGCCATAAAAGTAAGTAGCCGTCCTAATTCTTCTCTAATGTTGGGCAATAGCAATCTTAGAGTTGTGTTGCCTCCAGTGCTTCTGTTCTTTTCTCACTTTCTGTTACATGGATTACCAAGATGACAAAGCATGGGACAAAAAATGGAGATTATAGAACTTAGTAGCCAATTAATATGCTATGCTGCTGTATTTGGCTTGTGGATTCTTTCTTTTACCACTTAGAAGTTCTTGATATGAAATATTTAAAACACACAGGAAATTATTTATATAATTCTATATATGCCAAACACCTGTGTAATTACATCTACCATTATCAAACAGTATTTTGTTTTCAACATGGAATTATATGGTCACCTATATAGCTAAAAAAGTTGTGATACTATATAACTCAATTTTTATTTTGCTAAAAGGTCACTAAATACCAGTTTTCTAATCCTGTATTATATCAAAATATGTTTCTTAGAATGTCCCTGTGATGTAATTACCTTTGATATAATGTTCTATAGTTAGTTATATTGGATAGTACAATTTACATGGCAGGCAACATTAGTGAAGTGAAAAAAGACTCCATGCAGTACCCTGACACCATAGAAGAAAATATTAAAATGTTACACTCATATAATATATAACATTTCTTCAATTTGTACCTTTGAAAAGTTTTATTATGCTAGCCAATCGCAAAAGACTGTGAGCCTAAGCTCCACTCAAGAGTAAGGGACAGGTCACATGTGTCAGGATTAAAAAGCCAAGTCGACTGCCCACTCAGCGTGTGAGTGCGTCGTGCGTAGGCCCCCTCCTGCAAGAGTAGAGATATTTGCCTTGCTGAAAAAAAAGTTTTATTATGCAAAAAATTAAAATTTAAACATCATTTCTTACCTAAAAGTTCAATAATTCCTGAACGAATATCAAAATACTCATCAGTTAACAGGCAATATCTCTCTTGATTATAATATTTTACTATGACATCAAAGAGTATCTTCTGTTTATTCAGTCTTATCTCTTCACTTCTGTTTTGCATGAACTGCTGACTAACTGAAACGACGAACTGGTCAGGGAAATACTCCACGCATTCAATTGCTGCATTAAGCCAGTTGTCAATCCTGAAGGAAAAATACAAAAGAAAATAAATCAATGGTTAACATTTCCATTTAATTACCTAAAGCACTGTTTGATAAAACATCATCATACCTATTTTATATTTAACTAAATCTAAGGAAGAAACTATTTTTCAGAGAATCATTTTAATAAATTTTGCAGGATGAATGACATAATAAGGAGAAAACCACAAGTAGGTGAAGTATATAGTCAAGAGGAGTAAAGCAAGAGGTAGCTTAGCTAGTTTGTTTTGAAAGGCAAATGGCAGGGAGATGCTTAGGAGGGGCTTACACAGTGGACAGAGGATACACTCATTAGAAGATGGCATTGGATTAAAAAGAATAAGGACTGGTAGTGTAGAATACAGCACCTCCAGTTAATCTGATCATGGTTGCAAAAAATAAACTAATTGTTATTGGATCTAAGTTGCCTCACTTGTCTTGTTTGACGTAATTGCTATGTAGAAGGAAACTTTTACAGGGAAGTGAATAGTGAGTCAATACGCCAAACACACTACTTTTATTATATCTGAAAAGTCAGTTCTTGGAGACAGTAAAAAGAGCAGTGGTTGCCAGGGGTTAGGGGGAAGGGAGGGATGGATAGGTGAAGCAGAGAGGATTTTTAGGGCAGTGAAACTATTCTGTATGATACTATAATGGTAGATATATGTCATTATACATTTGTTAAAGCCCCAGGAATACACACCACCAAGAGTGAACATTAATGTAAACTATGGGCTTGACATTGACCTATCACTATAGGTCCATGGATTATAACAACCATTCTGGTGCAGGATGTTGACAGTGAGGAAGGCTGTGTGCCTGTGGGGCAGGAGTATATGGGAACTCTCTATACATTCTGCTCAGTTTTTCTGTGAACCTAAAACTCTTCTAAAAAATAAAGTCTATTTTTTTAAAAGTCAGTTTTTCCTTACAAACCTCTGAAAAAAATAATGAAAACAAATTACCTTCTTCTGAAAGCGGGAGAACAGGTTTGTCAACTGTGTTATTTGGAGGTAAAGCCAGATTCCCACTCTTTGCGTGAATAAGTTCCTTAATTCTTTTCTCATCAATTTCTGTGCTAGAGGATTTCAAATTATTTCATATTCTGGTTTGTTAAGAAATAATATGTAAATTTCCCCATTATATACAGGACCAAATTTTCAAATAACAATTTATTAAACTTACTCATATATTCCCTAGTTCCAAAAAAGATCTCAGGCAGCTTACAATAAAAGACACAAGTAATAAAATCTGTATATATAAAAGCCAGCCACCTGAACACTGTAACGACCAGAATGACCAGTTGCTATGATGCCCACTGCGGCCAGGGAACCTACCTGATGGGGGGGTGGGGTGGGGTGGGGCCGGCTGGCCAACCTCCTGTGGCCCCTCCCCTCAGCTGGCCCCACCCCTGATTGCACTCCCCACCCCAATAGGGGGCAGCGCCAGCTGGCCAACCTCCTGCAGCTCCTCCCCTTGGCTGACCCCACCCCAGATGGGCCCCCACCACCCCAGCTGGTCCACAGCCCCTCCCCACAGCCAGCTCTGCCCCCTGTTGCCCCCCCCCCCCACTCCAATCAGGGGCAGGGCCGGCCTGCCAACCACCCATGGCCCCTCCCACAGGCTACAGGCCTCCAATTGGCCCCCCCAACTCCATTCTGGGGCATGGCCAGCTGGCCCACTGCCCAGAGCCCCTCCCCATGGCCAGCCCCACTCCCAATCAGCCCCCACCACCCTGATTGGCCCGTGGCCCCTCTCCCCAGCCGGCCTCCCCTCATGGGGCTCCAATCAGGGCAGGCTGGCCAGCCAACCTCCCACCATCTCCTCCTCTTGACAGGCCCGGCCCTGATCTGCCCTGATTGGGGCCAGGCTGGCTGGACCCCACCCATGCACAAATTCGTGCACTGGGCCTCTAGTTATTAGATAGTAGAATATCACCAAAAGAGGACAGATTAGGGTTGTAAATAAAGAGAAGAATATATTATAAATAATAATTATAAGGTGATCACTGTTGCTATGATAGAAAATTTTTGCACAGTTTCCTGAAACCTTGCCATTTTTTTTTTTTTACTTTGGGTAAGTGATTTTTCAAAATTAGGAAATATACAATTCATCATTGGATATAAAGTTTTTCCTGGTATAAATTCTGCAAAGTTTGTGTTAATGTCCTCCACCACAATTTTAGAGCAAATGCTGAAATGCTGATTTTTTACATGGTTATTTCTTTTATTGACTTCTGAAAAAAAACTGAAAGCATAATAATCAATTTTAGCTCAATGACAACTGTTGTGCCATAACCTAAATACAATACAGTATTTTGATTAACACTAACTTTAAAGATTCCTTTGCATTTATTTTATCTGTTAATCCATTCTCAGCATCTTTTTTTCGTTCGCAAAAAAATAAGTTGATTTATTGCCTAGAAACCTATAGAGTCTATTTTTTGAATCTTCAAATTCCAATTCGTTCTCATTTTTGAATAGCTTCACTCCTACTGGTTGAAATACCTTATGGTTCATTAGAACTTGGCAAAGACGAACTCCTTTAAGATGAGAGAGATCATTACTACTTAGGCACATATTTTGCATAAGATGACAATACTACATCAACAGCATCAGAACCAGTAAAACAGTCTTTGTATGTTCATAAATGATGCCTCCTCCTTTTTATTTCCACTTGAGCCTGAAGGGAGTGAATAATACCCATCCCATAGCTGAGTAGCTTGAAAAGACCAGAACATCCTGAAAATTAAAACAAAAAAACCAAACACATACTTACACAAAATTATTAAAATATTTAAGTTCTTCAGTTTTGACACCTATGCTTTTTTAAAATCCTCACCTGAGGATATGATTTTATTGACTTTAGAGAGAAAGGAAGGGAGAGAGAGAAAGAGGAGGGAGAGAAAGAAACATTGACCGGTTGCCTCCTATATTTGCCGGGACCGGTGATGGAACCCACAACTTAGGTGTGTGCCCTGACTGGGAATGGAACCTACAATCTTCTGGTGTACCGGGATAATGCTCCAACCAACTAAACCACCAGGCCAGGGCAACCTTATGCTTTTTTGTTGTTGTTAATCCTCACCTAAGGGTATTCTTCTGCTTCCCCTGATCCAGGGAATTTTTTCCATTGATTTTAGATTGAGTGGAAGGGAGGCGGGGAGAGAGAGAGAAACATCCATGTGCCAGAGACACATCCACTGGTTGCCTCCCCCATGATCCGGATGGAGCCTGCAACCGAGGTACATGCTCATGATCCTTCAGTCCCTGGGCTGATGCTCTAACTATTGAGAAACTGGCTAGGACAACCTTACGCTTTTTTAATGGCATATCTGCTGCCATTGTTAAGTTTCTACTCCTCCAGTCTTATCTATAATTATAAAAGGGTAATATGCTAATTAGACCGGACGTCCCTCCTGAGAAAGCTGGGCGAGGGAATCAGCCTGGGTCCTGGATGCCAGAGGGAAGCAGGTGCCGGAGGGAAGGTGGTTCCAGCTGGGGGGAAGGTAGGCCTATGCTTGCCCAAATTTTTGTGCCTCGGGCCTCTAGTGTAAACTATAAAATATTTACTAAGATTGCACCCAGTTTGTCTGGGCGTGATGGGTGGGGTAGGGCTGGAGTGGGGTGGAGAAGGTTAAGAGTCTTTGAGTGGTGGAGACAATATTTTCCAATGGGCCATCTGCCATTAACCTTCATTAAACAAGTGGGCTAGAAGAAATAGAAACTTGTGCTCAAGAAACTTGCCATCTCGTACGTCAACCCCTTGTAGTTCTAAGTGTAGCCTGTGGACCAACAGCATTGGCATCTGGGCATTGACAAGAAACGCAGATTACCAGGCTATTCCTGAATCCACAGACTGCGTTTCAACAAAATCCCCAAATGACTCGTGTGCATATTAAAGTTTGAAAATCACTGCTTTCCTGGACTTTCCAAGAGAGTCGTTCGGAAAGCCCAATCACGGATCTCGGTCCAGACCAGAGAGGGCAGGTGCACAGGGAAGGGGCGGGCCCAGAAAGGGGGGACCCCAGAAACCTGAGGTGCCAGGGCCAAACCCACCGCTCCACTCAGCCGCCCGCCCGCAGATCCTAATATTCGGTTAGGTTACCTGTCCTCCTTTTCCGGCAGAAGCCACTTCTACGGCTTACGAAACTCGACCCGCTCCGCCCTGGGCCGGGAAGCTCGCTCCGGCTGCCGAGGCTGCGAAACCGCGGAGCCAAAAGAACCGCCATTCGCTCGCGCGCCGGCCCCGCCCCCGGCCCGAAGCCCCGCCCCCACCCGATCCTCGGGGGCGGAGACCAAGGCAGCCCCCGCCCCTTCCGAACCAGTGGGAAGTGACGTCATGCCCTGGCCGGCTGGTCTCTGGGTCTCCTTCCCTCTCCCTTACTTTCTCCCCAGTCCCTCCCCTCCCCTCCCCCTTCCCTCCTCCGGCTCCAGCCTGTGAGGCCGCGCGGGTGGAGGAGGCTATGGAGTGAGCTGGCTGCTTCCGCCGAAGCCGAGCCGGAGCAACCTGGAGGCGCTCGTCAGGGCCGGGGAGACGAGCCCCGCACCGCCCCTCCCGGGAGGAGAGGGGAAGAGGTGAGTGACCGCCCCCCGGGCACCGAGTGACCTCCCTCACCGGCCGCGCTCGGCTGGGGCTTCCAAGGACCGCGACGGGGAAATGGGGGAGGACCCGCGCCCGGGCTAGGCCTCCCCAGACCCCCGGTGCTGGCGACTGTTGCTAGGTGACGGCCTGCGGGCCGAGGGCCGGGCTGGCCGGGCGGTGGGCGCCCGCTCTCAGTCGAGCTCGGGGAGCGGGTCCGAGAGGCCCGAGCCCCCGGACGAGGCCTGGAAGCGCCGGGAGACCGCGGCTGGAGCCGTCTGCCGCCGGGAGAGCTCCCCGCTCCGGCTCGGGAGCTCGGGTTTCCGTCGGCGAACTCTGGGTTCCCTTTTGGGAAATTGGACTCTCCTCTGGGACTGAGTGAGACAGCTCCCCTCGGTCCTGGGGTCCGCCTCCGATACCCTGGGTCACCCCCCAGGGCCCCAGCGCCCGGCGCCCTTTTCTGACAGTGGCTCTAGTTCTGGAACGGAAGGTTATTGTGCTCGAGGTGGGTGGGGCAGGTGTTTTGTTCAGACTAAAAATCCCCGTCCACTCGAGTTTTTCGCAGCGGGACAGAAAGGATGGAGGACGGTTGAGACCGATAAAGCTTGCAAAAACTTCGTGCGATCCGAATGAATACGTACCTATGGTTAGTAATTACGGCGACCAGCGCTGTCAAGTCAGCTCCTGTAACAGTTTTCACGAGTCTCCAGACAAGCGACTTAAAGTAAAGGCAGTAGTGACTTACAGTTGTAAATTGCAAGCTGTTTTTTTTTTGTAAGTTGCAAGCTATTTTTGTTTATTTTTTTTTGTAAATCAAATTCAGGTATTGTCTGTGTGATGGTTTGTTTTACAAATTGGATTCACGGTGCCTCTCCATTATGGAAAATTAACATAGTTTTACAGCCTGTCCCTGTAAAATCCCCTCCTGCTCTGGTTAATGGTTTGAAAGTCAGGTGCTTGAAGCTACGTTTTGAACTTTGCAGGTGCTTTTGTTGGCTTCCTGTCTTATTCTTTAGTATGAATATTAATTTTTTTTAAAATTTAAAAATGATTTATCAGCTGAGTATAGGTAAAATTCTTGTCACTATTAAACTGTACTCTTAAAAGACGCTTTTGGCCCTAACTGGTTTGGCTTAGTGGATAGAGCGTCGGCCTGCGGACTCAAGGGTCCCAGGTTCCATTCTGATCAAGGGCATGTACCTTGGTTGTGGGCATATACCCAGTAGGGAGTGTACAGGAGGCAGCTGATCGATGTTTCTAACTCTCTATCCCTCTCCCTTCCTCTCTGTAAAAAATCAATAAAATATATTAAAAAAAGACGCTTTTGGGGGAGTATGTAAAAGAAAGGAACCTAAGAAAGGTAAGGACCTTAATTCTTTCAGATCCACTTTACACACATGCAGAAGCCTCAGAAACCTATTTTTTTTTTTGTCTCTAACATCCACAAACAACCAATAAAATAAATACAAGCACATTGTACTTCCATACATTTCTGTGCAAATAACCCTATTATTGTGAATATAGTCATGCTCACATGTTTGAAACTCATGATTATTTAACCCCTTCCCCCCAAAATAGGCCCTTTTATTGTGTTTAACTCAAGTGACTGGCTTCATCATCTATCGTCCTATATAATAAAATGGTAATATGCAAATTGACCCATCTGAAGAATGACTGGTCGCTATGATGCACACTGACCACCAGGGGGCAAATGCTCAACGAGCGCGCTCAGCCACAAGCTGGGCTGATGGGCTGATGGCTGGCGAGCACAGCAGCGGCAGGCCTCCGTGGCAGCGTGCTAAGGATGTCTGACTGATGGCTTAGGCCCGCTCCCGGCTCTCCCGAGGGCTCCCAGACTGTGAAAGGTGCAGGCCGGCTGGGCTGAGGGAACCCTCCCTCCTCCCCCAGTGCATGAATGTTGTGCAACAGGCCTCTAGTTTTCTATTCTATAGGAGAAGTGTGATAGCTTCCTCTTTCTTGTGCCTCATTATCAATCTCTCATTAAGTCCTGTTGATTGTGCTTCTTGAATATCTCGTCTGCCTTCATCGTCGCCACTAGTTCCAGCCACGATCATCTCTCATCTGAAGTATCACTAGCCACCTAATTATGGCCTAGCTGCATTTACTGTGCCTCCTTCTAGGTTTCCACCCCAGACTGAGTGACATTTTAAACATACAGATCTAATCATACTGTTTCCAATATGTCTCCTTCAGTGACTTCATTGTTTATAAAAGGAACTAAAGTTCTTAACTGCCTGTCTCGGTCCCCTGATTGACTTTCCAACCTCATCTCCACAGTGCTTTCTGGCATTCCTTTCTTCCCTAGTCACTCTGTTCTGTTTCAGGTACATGGCTTTTGGTGATGAAGCTTCCTCTGCTTGGAAATGCATTTCCTTTCCTTTTCATCCAGTTAATGCCTACTCATCATGTGGCTCACTTCAGGAAGACTTTCCTGATTAGGATAGATTCTTCTAATTATGTGTTCTCATAACACCATTACAGAGTTGCCATATTTATTAATACTTAATAATTTAATGAGATGTTCCTCATCTTCTGATACTGTGTAAGTGCTTAATAAATGTTTGTTAAATGAATGAATTCATTGAATGCTTCCTAAATATTCCAGGAATTGTACTAAACATTTTACATGCCTCATCACCTTTAACCCTGAGAAATCACTTGAAGAATGCGTGATATTTCCCCCCCTTTTTTAAAAAAAAGAAGCTTAGAAATACTGTTAGGAAGTTTAGTTGGTGGTCACAGTGTATTAAGTATTAGAACTGGGATTTGGCCCTAGCTGGTTTGGCTCAGTGGATAGAGCATCAGCCTGTCTACTGAAGGGTCCCAGGTTCCACTCGGTCAAGGGCACATGCTCGGGTTGCAGGCTCAATCCCCAGTAGGGGGCATGCAGGAGGCAGCCAGTCAATGATTCTCTCTCATCATTGATATTTCTCTCTCTCCTCCCTTCTTCTGAAATCAATACAAATATATTTTTTTAAAAAAAGAGCTGGCATTTGAACTCAGGCTTTCTTGCCACTGAAGGTTGTGTACTGAATCATATAACACTTAATTCTCACACTGCACATCAGAATCACCTGGGGGAGCTGCTTAGAATACAAATGCCCTGACTGCACATTTATGGATTCTGAAGCGAAAGGTTTGAGATACTACATAAGCATCTATATAGTTTAACAAGATACTCAGTCATTAGATGTTATTAGATGTTCAGTAGAGTTTGAAAACCATTGTCTTAGACAACACTTCAGTATTTTATGAATGCCAGTTTTCACATACTATACTACCACATATTTCAGATTTTATATGTTCTTAAATCAAGAAAGAACTGTAGACCCAAGGAAGTGACCTTAGGTCACTTAGTCAGATTTCCTACCCAGTTATTCCTTTCCACCTTTTCTAGCTGAAGACTCTGCAACTCCAGTGCTTCTACATTAAAAAACAAATTACAATAATTTAAACAATCTGATTGATTTCCTGTAGTAAAAACTAAACCAGGTACATGGGCTGGAAGTACCTTCAGAAGAGTTGGATATAATCTCTCCTCCGATCTTACTTTTTGTTCACATTACTAATTTGATATTTAAGCATATGTTTCCTTATAATCTCTCATGTTGCTTTTTAAACTTTATTGCACAGTGGTCTTAAGTTTGTAAGCAGTGATGGAAGCAATGTTTTACTTCTTTCTCCTACTGTATCTAACTAACATGGCGCTTTCTACTAGGTAGGTACCCAGTGATAGTTGAATGAATGTGTACTTCATAATACGTTGCTAAGTCTCTTTAGTGATTTTTATTTGTTTCTTAAAATCAGGTTTGACTTCTGTAAGTAATCTGTCCTAGCTCAACTGATAATATTAGATACTTTCTGTGGTTGTAAAGAGAATGATTGTACTCAGCTGGTATAATCTTTGTTTTATGAGTAATATTAAGCATGACCTCTGTATAGGCCAAAGAATGGTAGTAGCCATTTTTAAAAAACATCTCATTAAATTATTAAGTATCTTTTTAAAACTTCTACTAATCTCTGAGTGCTCCCACAGGAAAAAGAAAACATGTATTTCAAGACTGTTCTCAGGATCATCTTACTTTAGGTATAAACAGATAGTGCTGCATATGGGAGGAGTATAGGTACAAAAATTTCCCCCGAATTTTATGAAGCTTTTTACCAAAAGTATGTCATGTTAATGTAATTCTTATTTCAAATTATAAAATTTCATTTATGAATGCTTAACTATTTAAATAACTATAGAAGTGGTAGTCTTTTATTTTTAATTTTTATTATTTTCTAATTTTATTGATTTTAGAGAGAGGAAGAGGGGGAGAGAGAGAGAGAACATCGATGTACGAGAGAAACATCGGTTGGTTGCCTTCTGTCCCCTCCAAGACCAGGGATCGAACCTGCAACTTGGGTATGTGCCCTGACCAGGAATTGAACCCACCACCTTTTGGTGTATGGGACAATCCTTCAACCAATTGAGCCACACCGGCCAGGGTGAAATTTTTAGACATTTACATAGAAAGAAATCTTAGACCATGGTACCTCTTCAAGGAACAAAAACTATTTTGAGCTCATTTGTATTCATTTTATTGTTCTTTGTAGTGAATGTGTAATATTTTGTGCTTATTGAAAGTCTAGTCTAGTGATGGCGAACCTTTTGAGCTCGGCGTGTCAGCATTTTGAAAAACCCTAACTTAACTCTGGTGCCGTGTCACATATAGAAATTTTTTTATATTTGCAACCATAGTAAAACAAAGATTTATATTTTTGATATTTATTTTATATATTTAAATGCCATTTAACAAAGAAAAATCAACCAAAAAAAATGAGTTCGCGTGTCACTTCTGACACGCGTGTCATGGGTTCGCTATCACTGGTCTAGTCTCTGCTAGGTGCCATGAGACGAACAGTTACTAAACATCATTTCATCATCAGATATAATCACAGTAACCTTTTTATTTGCATTACAATATTTCTAATAAAAAATGCAAGTTCTACTTTTCAGTATTTTCTTATTGGCGAATTAAGAGACTCTTTTTGTACGTGTGTTAATTGAAAATTCAGGACATTTTTTAGCCTGTATATAATTTTAACTACTGTATTCTTGCTATGTCTAGAGTTTATGAGTAGGCAGAACTGAAAGAATTGCCAATTCCTTTACACTACCTGCCATTAGATACTATAATACTCAACCCACCTTTCTCCAGGTGCATGTAAAATGTAGTAATACAACAGATTCACCTACTGGTTCTACTAAAAGCCAAGTGATGGCTGAGCCAGATGGTAGAAAGGTATAATTTTGGGATCATACTGAAGCTGTCTCAAATCTTATTTTGGCTGAGATTTAGGAGGGGAAGAATTTCAAGTGAATTCTTGTGGTGTAAAAAGGGGAAATGGCTTATATGAATAAATATTCCTGTCATTTATAACTTTATCTTTGGAAAACATATGCTTATTTCTTTATTCATTAATTAAGTGAAAATCTGAAAAGGTATCAGTTTAAGAAAAGATATTTAGACTGTAGGTTTTTTTTTTTTATATATATATTTTATTGATTTTTTTTTACAGAGAGGAAGGGAGAGGGATAGAGAGTTAGAAACATCGATGAGAGAGAAACATCGATCAGCTGCCTCCTGCACATCTCCTACTGGGGATGTGCCCGCAATCCAGGTACATGCCCTTGACCGGAATCGAACCTGGGACCCTTCAGTCCGCAGGCCGACGCTCTATCCACTGAGCCAAACCGGTTTCAGCTAGACTGTAGGTTTTTTATATGTTAAAAGGTTATTACTAATAATTCAAAATGTTGTTTTGCAAACTCATTCAGTTTATCTGTCCTTAACCTTCTGTTGCTGTCATGATATTCTTCTTAGGTCTCCTTGGGTTACCATTTTCAAGCTCACAGTCTTAATTACTGCACTGCTTATAAGGTCATGGTGTCTGAATTTTGATCTTCAATCAAGAAGTTTTTCCTAAGTTTTTGGCCCACATATTTGAAAACCTATTAGATATCTCCATAGGAAAGTCATTAAGGCAACTCAAATTCAATATATCCAAAATTGAGTTCTTCCTCCCATAAAAGTTGCCTCCTTTAAGTCCTGTCTTGGTAAATGGTTTCACTCTCCACCTAGACTCTGAAATTAGACACCTGATGGGATTCCTAGTTTTGTCCCTTCCCTTTAATTGGCCAGTAAGTTTTCTTAATTCTAACTCATACTCGTTTCTTAATTTTTCCTTTCTTCCCCTTCCTTATAGCTATTTTCTTAATTCAGCAATTTCTCCCTCTTTAAAAATTTTGAGATATAACATTAAAGGACATAATGAAATTTAATAAAGTAAATATCCACTTAACTAGCACCCCGTCCACTGACCATCGCTTTCCTATCTTCTTTGTCCCTATTTCCTAGTGTCTTTTCTCTTTGTGTTCTTGCTTTGTATTCTCTCTCTCCTCCTCCTCTTTCCTGAAATACATATTGGTGTTCTCTTTAGTCTTGCCATATTCCTTACTTTCACCCCTAGTATATCATTCACTCTCCTTAATGATTGGTCATCTCACCTCATGCCTGAAATCCGTCTTTGGCTTATTATAGCTTGATTTCTTACTACTTTTATACCCATGGTGATCTCACTTTTCTAAGTCTCCTTTCCCATAATTTCTTATACTCCAGCTTTTGTCTGAACTGCTTTATTACTCCAATACTTCTACCATTCACTATCTAGTTCACTCCTACTCACCTTTAAAGACATCTCTAGTATTACTGTTTGGGGGAAACTTGCTTCCATCTGTTCCTCTTCTTTTTTTTTTTTTAAATTAAATCTTTATTGTTCAGATTATTACATTTGTTCCTCTTTTTCCCCCCCCATAACTCCCCTCCTCCCAGTTCCCGCCCCACCCTCCGCCCTCACTCCCCACCCACTGTCCTCATCCATAGGTGCACGATATTTGTCCAGTCTCTTCCCGCATCTCCCACACCCCTTTCCCCCCCAAGAATAGTCAGTCCATTCCCTTTCTATGTCCCTGATTCTATTATGATCACCAGATTATTTATTCACTTGATTCTTAGATTCACTTGTTGATAGATGCATGTTTGTTAAGATAATTTGTATCTTTACCTTTTTCTTCTTCTTCCTCTTCTTAAAAGATACCTTTCAGCATTTCATATAATACTGGTTTGGTGGTGATGAACTCCTTTAGCTTTTCCTTATCTGTGAAGCTCTTTATCTGACCTTCAGTTCTGAATGATAGCTTTGCTGGATAAAGTAATCTTGGTTGTAGGTTCTTGGTATTCATCACTTTGAATATTTCTTGCCATTCCCTTCTGGCCTGCAAAGTTTCTGTTGAGAAATCAGCTGACAGTCGTATGGGTATTCCCTTGTAGGTAACTGAGTTTCTTTCTCTTGCTGCTTTTAAGATTCTCTCTTTGTCTTTTGCTCTTGGCATTTTAATTATGATGTGTCTTGGTGTGGTCCTCTTTGGATTCCTTTTGTTTGGGGTTCTCTGCGCTTCCTGGACCTGTAAGTCTATTTCTTTCACCAGGTGGGGGAAGTTTTCTGTCATTATTTCTTCAAATAGGTTTTCCATATCTTGCTCTCTCTCATCTTCTGGCACCCCTATAATTCTGATGTTGGTACGCTTGAAGCTGTCCCAGAGGCTCCTTACACTATCTTCGTATTTTCGGATTCTTTTTTCATTTTGCTTTTCTGGTTGGGTGTTTTTTGCTTCTTTGCATTTCAAATCTTTGCCTTGATTCTTGCGCTCCTCTAGTCTGCTGTTGGGAGTCTGTATAGTATTCGTTATTTCAGTCCGTGTATGCTTAATTTCTAGTTGGTTCTTTATCATAACATCGAGGGTCTCATTAGATTTCTTGAGGATCTCACTACATTTATCAGCGGCTTCTAGACAGTTCTTAAGAGACCTTAAAAGTGTGGTTCTGAACTCAGTATCCTCCATTGACAGTTTTGTCCTGTTTCTTTGTCTCCGCATTTTTTATGCTTTCTTGGTGCACCCCCTAGTGTTCTTTGTACGCAGTCTTGTTGTAGTTAAGCCTTAATTGTTGTCGGCAATACCGGGGGTGATTTGACCTCCAGGCTGACTGGCTATGAGAGTCCACTGTGTCTGCAGTGGAAGAGCTTCTGTGCTGGATCTCTAGGGCAGTGCTAATCTAGCGTTTGCCTGAGGCTATCCGGCAAATGCCTCTGGGCAGGGCTTGGGCGGGGCGGGTCCCTGGGGATCTACAGGGCGGGCCGGAGTGAGCAGTTATGGCTGCTCTCAGTTCCGTCCCCAGGGTCTCTACCTCACAGAGTCCCAGCAACTTCTGCAAACCTCCGAGAGAAAGCTGCCTTCGAGTTCCGACCGAAGCCAGACAGTCCCACTTCTCCCGTTTGAGTCTGGATCCGTAGAGACTTGCCTGGATCTGGAGCTCAGAGTCTGAAACTCCCTCCCGATTAAAAACAACAACCGTGCCCTCTGCCTCCAGCCCGCTCCGCGTGCACTCCGCACCTTAGTATTTCACTTCAGCACTGTGCCTCCTCTGAGTCTGGGTATGATACTCTCTTTCCTCCTAGTTGTAGAATTTCCACTCAGCCAGCCTTCCTGTGGTTCTGGATGATGTCCGTTCCGTCTTTTAGTTGTTTTTTGAAGTGGTTGTTCGAGGCAGCAATCTCCGGCGTTAACCTATGCCCCGTCTTGGTTTCTTTGCCCATCTGTTCCTCTTCTTTTTGTTCCTATAACACTGTGCATGTATATTCCTTAGCATTTTATCACTGTAGGCTAATGCTATGGTTGGCTTACTTCTCTCTCTCTTGCCCCTTGGATGGTAAGATCTTTCATGACTTATTTTTCTTTTATTTATTTCTTCCCAGTTTCTTATATTGTGTCAAGTACATAGTGGGTACTCAATAAGTATTAAATAATTCATCAGATGAACTTCCACGTCTATTCCTACCTTGAGTACTAGTGTTGATTCTGTTTAGATTATGAATAGGCATCTCAGATTTGAATATAAACTCTGAAAATAATGTTTGTTTTCATATTGGACTATTTGTAGTTTTCAGATCACATCATAGTCTTTCTCTCCTTTATGGCTTGGCACATCCTTTCTGAAATGCTCCGTCCCATTTTTTCTATCTGAAAAACTCTTCATTTTTAAGCCCATTTTTGCGTTCCCATAACATGGTACATTCATACCTCTAGTGAGTTGCTGTAAAATTTTGGAGATCTGAGTCTGCTATTGGATTGAGTCCCTATAGAGCAGATACGTTTCCATTTACATCTATATTCCCAATGTCTAACAAGTATATGTTGAGATGTGTTTTATGGCCCAGCATATAGTCTGTCTTAGTGAATGTTCCATGTATACAAGAAAAGAAAATGTATTCTGCTGTTGTAGAGTGTTTTAGATCAGATTGTTTAATAGTGTTGTTCAGGTCTTCTATATCTTTACTGATTTCTGTCTACTTGGTCTCTCTGTCCATCTGTTACTGAGTGAGGACCCTTCTAGTCCAACTATAATTGTGGATTTGTCTTTTTATTCTTTCAGTTCTGTCACTTTTTGCTGCATTTATTTTGAAGCTCTCATTGAGTGTGTGCACAGTTAGGTTTGTTATGTCTTCTTGACGAATTAACTTTACCATTATGAAATGTCCTTTGTCTTCAAGCCTATTCTGTTTATTAATATAGCCACAGCAGCTTGGTATATTTTCACATTCTTTTACTTTTAAGTCATCTTGTAAAGTGGTTTTAAAGTGGGTTTCTTGTAAGCAGCATAAGTTGGGTCTCCTTTTTAAAAAATCTAGTTGACAATCTGTGCTTTTTAATTTGAATTTAAAATGATTTATACTTAATGTTATTATTTATATGGTTGTACTTAAATCTACTGTTTTTATCTCCTTTCAAGTTTTACATGGTTGTTTTTAGTATGAAGGAAGATTCAGACCCTTTACACCACTGTATGTCTTAAAAGGTCCAAGTTATATAGTTGAGCAACATTCATATCAGTGTCAAGTGTAAATATGTGTTTTTCTTCCTGTTCTGTGACAGTTGAGGTTGCAGAGAACAGGTTGGTTCCTAGACTTAAATTTGCACGAAAGTTACATTGGGTTCTTAGAAGACCAAACCATCATGTAGCTTTTATCTCTATAGGATTGTTTTGCTCAATGTTTAGATATATTAAGCTTTTCATACTAAGTAATGAATGTTAAGTGATTAAATAAGAATAAAGAAATGATCAGAGCTCCCCTATACCCCGTGTTTCTAGGTAATTATAATTGCCCAATATTGCAGCCATGGAGTCCATGCTTAATAAGTTGAAGAGTACTGTTACAAAAGTAACAGCCGACGTCACTAGTGCTGTAATGGGAAATCCTGTCACTAGAGAATTCGATGTTGGTCGACACATTGCCAGTGGTGGGAATGGTCTAGCTTGGAAGATTTTTAATGGCACAAAAAAGTCAACAAAACAGGTAAGTTTTCATTGAATCCAATTGGAAAAAACACATGCTAATAAGGATCATAACATGCATGTATGCATTTTTATGTTAAGAAATGCCAAAAATGATTGGTTCTTTAGTTCTCATTTTGTCTGATGAAGTCATACAAAAACAAATGCTTTTAAACGTGCCTTGAATCTCTTGGTTTTAAGTATATTGTTTGATATATCATCTCATCTTATAATTTAATTTTGTTTAGTTAATAAAATATCAGCTGTGCAAATGATTATGTAGTATTATATTTTAATATTTAGCAAAGTATATGTTTTAGAATAAAAATTGTCATGTTCCTTTTCATATTTGTCAATAAGTTATTGGGAAAATAAACAGTTAAATTTTTTCAGAATTAAATGCATTCTTATGTAGTGTATTCTTATTCCCTCTTTAATTCTATAGCCTTCTTGAAAATTAACTCCTATAATATTCTTTTGCATTTAACCTGAATAAGTTTTACCATTGGAAAGGGCTATATTTGTGGGCTACAATCAGTACTAACGTGTCTTGCTGTATACTGATTTTAAAGTTATTTTAAAACTAACTGACCTTTTAGTGAGTAGTAGTTTGAATGAGTTGTAGTATTATTTTCTAAATTTGATTTAGGAGATCCAACAGATTGTTCTTAGAAATGTGGAGGATCATTAGTGTTAAATTTTACTGCAGCTGTCTGTTGGAATTGTTAAAGAATTGAAAAACCTTCCCATTTAAGGCCTCTGTAGAAGAATGTTCTTTAAAAGGAAAAATCACCATTTCTAAAAGTAGTGTACTTCCCTAAAAGTGAAACATTTGGATTGTAAGACTTATGGGATTTATTATATGAATTTTCCGGTCACTATCACAGTCATATAATTGTGGATATGTATTATTTGTCACTTTTCCCAAATCAGCTTCTTTCCCAAACAAGTATTAAAGACTAAATTGGCTTTGATAATACTTTTATGAAAAGTATTGCTGGTATGTGGTTTCTACCTGACCTGCAAATCTTGTTTTTATTGCCATTTGGAGGGAGTCTTTAAGTCCAAAATTGATCTGTATCTTCAATGCTGACTGATTTGTCATTTTTTTTGAACATTGTTTTCCCTTTAAATTCAACAAAATTTCATCCACAAAGTAAGTGGTTACTTGAGTATTGACTACTTAAAAAGCTCATGAAGTTTGAAGGCATGAGGCCTGTAAATGACCAACCTCCCACAATAGCACAAATTGCTTTTACAAGTAGTTATATAAGGGGAAAGTGAAAAAACACCAAATTTACAGAATTTTACATTACTTTTTAAGGATGTGGTAACATAATAGTGTCTTTGTGCTTAACCAAAAGTGTCCTCGGTATTTGTGTTTATATTAGTAGTTCATACATACGCTGACATTCTCTGATACTGTTGGAGCTGCTGCTCATAGAACATGAGAACAAGGCACAGATAATAGATCATTGATTAACTACTGTACAGTAATACAGAAGTTCTTAATTGCTGACTGCCAGAACTGGGTTCTCTTAGGAAACTTTACCATATTTCTTGTTCCCTCACCCCAAAATTTATTGCTTTGAGGAAAAAATATAGTTTTGAAATATTTCATTGTTCTCTGTGGATGTGGTTTTGAAATGTTTTTCTTTGCCTCTTTCACTTCTTATGGGTCAGAACTGATGATCCTATCTGGACTACTGGCTCATTCTTGAAGGAATAGCTAAGTCTCTACCCACCTGGGCATTGAATTGGCAATCACAGAAAATAATCTAGAGTTTTGCTATTCAGTATATTTAGCATGGTAGCCCCAAGCTTTATATAGCTATTTTAGTTAATTGAAATTCTGTAAAATTAAATTCAGTTCTTTAGTTGCACTGGTCACATTTCAAATGTTCCATAGCCACATGTGGCTGGTTTTACCATACAGGACAAAATATAGAACTTTCTGTGAACTTATAGAAACTGGAAGGAAAAAACAAAGGAAAATGGTATTTTTCTTAGTCCTCCCCCTCCTTACTTCCCCCTATAAAGGGACATTGAGATTGAGGGCATCTTTCTTGATGTAGCATGCAGTGTACTTGATTGCAGTTGTGTTTTATAGCAGAATATATGATCTTAAATTTGACTTTGAGGTAAACACCAGATTAGGGACTTTGGGCTAAGAGATTCGAATACCTAGTTTTAATAGTTAAAAATAAATAAGGGTGTATCTTATCTCTCAGTCTTCTCAAAACTACCTTATTTTTAACTTAATCTAAATAAAATTTTAGATTTTGCTTTATGGTTTTGAGAAAGAAACATTGTTCCAAAATCACATGAAAAATGAAGAGTATGATGTTTGGTAGTCATCACTGGCCAGTCATGAAAGATCCATAAAATAGAGATCACAGGGAACCGCTGTGTTTAAAAAACCATTTCTGGTGGCTTGAGGGATAGGTTAGTGGAGGTCCTGATTGCTGTTAGGAAACCCTAGACCAGCCGTGGGCAAACTACGGCCCGCAGGCCGGATCTGGCCCGTTTGAAATGAATAAAAAAAAAAAAAAAAAAAAAGACCGTACCTTTTATGTAATGATGTTTACTTTGAATTTATATTAGTTCACACAAACACTCCATCCATGCTTTAGTTCCGGCCCTCCGGTCCAGTTTAAGAACCCATTGTGGCCCTCGAGTCAAAAAGTTTGCCCATCCCTGCCCTAGACACATTGGTCTACATTAACTTAGATTTTATTACTTAAACTATCTTGTTTTCAGCAAGTGTTCAACTTTGTAGTAAGCAAAGTAGATTTTAAAAATTATAAATTAGGCCTATATCAAAAGATATATACAGTCCTAGCTGGTTTGGCTCAGTGGATAGAGTGTCAGCCTGTGGACTGAAGGGTCTCAGGCTCCATTCAGTCAAGGGCACATTTTTGGGTTGTGGGCTTACTCCCCAGTAGGGGGCGGTGCAGGAGACCTCTGATCAATGATTTACTCTCATCATTGATGTTTCTCTCTCTCTCCCTCTCCCTTTCTCTTTGAAATCAGTAAAAATATATTTTATTTTATTTTATTTTTTAAATATATTTTACTGATTTTTCACAGAGAAGAAGGGAGAGGGACAGAAAGCCAGAAACATCGATGAGAGAGATCGATCAGCTGCCTCCTGCACGCCCCCCAGTGGGGACGTGCCCGCAACCACGGCACATGCCCCCGACCGGAATCGAACCCGGGACCCCTGAGTCCGCAGGCCGACGCTCCATCCACTGAGCCAAACCGGTCCGGCAGAAATCAGTAAAAATATATTTTAAAAAAGATATATACAGCTTCCATTTTGAAAAACATTTGTTTTTACAATAAATAATTTATTTCATAGCCTTTTTAAAATTTAAAGATAGGCTATTTAGGAAAAATACTTTTTTAAAAAAATATTTTTTATTCACCTGACATTTAAGATTTATTTACCATAGTTCTGATCCAGTTGGCATTTTTTTTTTTTAAATCCTCACCCGAGGCTATTTTTCCATTGATATTTAGGGAGAGTGGGAGAGAAAGGGAAAGACAGAGAAACATCAATGTGAGAGAAACACATCGATTGGTTGCAAGTACGAGCCTGCAACCACAGTATGTGCCCTTCACCAGAATCAAACCCAGGACTCTCTCTCTGGTCTGCAGGCTGACGCTCTTTTCACTGAGCCAAACGGCGAGGGAGGCAGGAAAAATACTTTTTAGTGGTAACTTTCTTTGCTAATGTATTTTAAAGAATATGAAGTAAATAAATAGTAGAGTGCTAAATATAGCTTATGTTTTTTTAAGTAATTTTTTTAATAAAAGAATTTTTATTTAGAGTTAATAGTTGTTGAATCTTAAGTGGAAGATATATTGGATGGTGACACTATATTATCTTTTTGTATGTTTGAAAATTTTCATAATGAAAGGTTGATAAAGATTTTAATTCAAGACAGTAATGAAAAGCTTCATGTAACTGCTTTATTCACTACCAGTAGGCAATAAACATCTGTCTTTTAGGTGTAGATCCTGTGGTGGGTACAGAGATACGTAAGGCATGGTTTCTTTCTTCAAGAAACTTGTAAACATATAAGGTGGCAGGAGTTTTACACAAGTGATATTTGTTAGCAGAGGTTAGTATAGTGAAATACTAGAAGGAAAACACAAATTAGAAATTAGATAATAGTCTTCTGATGAAAGAGTTTTCTCTTAGGATGTAGGTATGAGGCCTAAAGCGTTAGTTAATTAGTAACAACTTTGTTGAAAGTGGTTTACTTTATTTTTTTATTTTATTTTATTTTTTAAATATTTTTATTGATTTCAGAGAGGAAGGGAGAGGGAGAGAGAGATAGAAACATCAAGATGAGAGAGAATCATTGATGGGCTGCCTCCTACACACCCCACACTGGGATTGAGCCCGAAACCCAAGCACGTGCCCTGACTGGGAATCGAACCGTGACCTTCTGGTTCATAGGTCGGTAGGTCGATGCTCAACCACTGAGCCACGCAGGCTGGGCAGAAGTGGTTTACTTTAATTAACTAATTGAAACAAAGAAAATAACCTATTCTGACCTATGTAGGAATTTTTCGTATTTGACCTAAAAGAAGACTGTCTGAGAGAGTTCCATGTTTTTCTTCTTTATGAACTGTAGTGTTCCTCCTTAAGGTGTGAAACTGCAAGAGTCAAGAGCCATTTCACATCACCTGTTTTTAAAGACGTAAAATATCTTGAAAAAAATAAACAGATTTAAGTTGGATGCATTTATAAAATGTGTTATAGCAGAACACTTACTAAAATAAGGTTATCACATGAATAGTGAGATAGGAACTTGAACTTCTAGGTCATTTGTTTTTAGTTCAAATTCATAGTACGTGATGCTCTTAGCTCCAGATTGTCTTGTGTCTCATAATGAGCAAAAGAGGTAAAATAATGTATTTACCAGTATATATCAATGTTGTTTAAAGCTCTCACTTAAATGATTGTTTTCCTGAAGGCATATGTCATGTTTTACTGGGGTGCTCGATATATATTGGCCAAGTGTTATTTCTGGGGAGACAAAACGGTGTATTGTCTAAGAATGTGGGCCCTAGGATTAGACTGACTAAGTTCGAATCTAGATTTTTTCATCTTACCAGTTGTGAAATCTTAGATATATTTATCTTCACAATGCCCTCATCTGTGAATTGAGGATAATAACTTGTCTCATAGGATTGCTATTAGGAATGAAAGAATTCCTAAAAAGTCTACGGAAGCTTGGGGAATAGGATGTTAAAATTCAGTACTAAACAGTCCCTGTATGTTACCACTTCTCAGAGATTTAAGTTAAGGATATCCTCTAATATCCTTAACTCACTTGTACATATATAAGGAACCTCTAAGTTGTATTTGAGAAATTTATTGGCTTGGAATTCTGCAGTGAAATCTCTGTTATGTGGTTAGGTTGCTAGGCTAACTTGTGAAAGCAGTCATAATGTGGCAAAAATAATTAGAAGAGAACAGCAATAAAATGGAAAGATACTGTTTTGGATATTGAAGTTTAATAGTAAAAAATTTAATTAGAAGTTTTTGAAAGAGAGTTATATAGAAATTCTGGAAGAGCCATTCAAAAATCTTTCATGACAGGGAGGGGGATGGGAGGAGCTGAAGGAGGGCATAAGGGGTATAAATGGTGATGGACGGAGACTTGGCTTGGGGTGGTGAACACACAAAACAATTACAGATGATTGTTGTAGAATTGCGCACCTGAAAACTGTATAATTTTGTTAACCAGTGTCATCCAATAAATTCAATAAAAAGGAAAAAAAATCTTTCAAAGAGTTTTGGAAGGCTAGCATTGATTCCTGCTAATTTTGCTTCCAGCTTCATCAGTTTTCTTTGTATTTATGAAGGAGATATAACAATGGTTATTCATCAACTATCAAAATGGCTAGTTTTTGATTTGTTAAGTTTGGGTAAATGGATGGGAACTATTTTTCCTGGGTAACTGAGAGAGAATGAAAGCAAGATGACAGTTAAGGAAGATGTGTGATCTTGGTAGTATAAAATAAGCTGTGAATGATCTCAAAGAGAGGTGATGGGGGAACATCTTTCTGTACTTTTAACCATTCCCATTACTACCCCATAACAAGATAGGGATAGGGTAGAAGGAGAGAGAGAAATTATATTCATATGTAAAAGATGCTTATATTGTTTTGTGTATAAACAACCACTCCCTGACATGTTCAATCTTTCTTTTAAAAAGGATTTCAAAATTTTGTAATATACTCCAGTGTTATCATTATGAATAATAGCATTTTGAATTTTTTTTTTTTTTAAATATATTTTATTGATTTTTTACAGAGAGGAAGGGAGAGAGATAGAGAGTTAGAAACATCGATGAGAGAGAATCATCGATCAGCTGCCTCCTGCACATCTCCCACTGGGGATGTGCCCGCAACCCAGGTACATGCCCTTGACCGGAATCGAACCTGGGACCTCTCAGTCCGCAGGCCGACGCTCTATCCACTGAGCCAAACCGGTTTCGGCAGCATTTTGAATTTTTAAACATTTTAACTTTTATTTGAATTCTGGTTACATAAGAGACTATTAACTGTGGGACAACACATTACACACAGTTTATGTGTACCTCTGATACCAGAGTTCAGATATGGAGATCTTCCTGTGTTCTTAGATGAGGCTGTGGGTCTTATACCTTTAAAAATATTTAGATTTACTAATCATGAAGAAACAAGCTTTTTGATATTAGAAAAATATTACAATGGTGCTAAAATTTCCAGGCTATTAGTTTTTATTTATTTGAAGACTGTTGTGACACTTAAATAAAATTTTAATACACATATATTCTTGATTAAAATTAGTTTCACAATTCTTTTTTAGGAAGTAGCTGTTTTTGTCTTTGATAAAAAGCTGATTGACAAATATCAAAAATTTGAAAAGGATCAAATCATCGATTCTCTAAAACGAGGAGTCCAACAGTTAACTCGGCTACGGCACCCTCGACTTCTTACTGTCCAGCATCCTTTAGAAGAATCCAGGTAAATTTTTATAAAAACTTATGTAAGAAACTTCCTGAACAAATAGTTTATAATAACTTTATTTATGAAATCTGTCTATACAGTATCCTGTCAGTAAAAAAATTTTTATAAACTGAGTGTTGAGTTCTTAAGGATTAGTTATTTCCCTAAAATTTATTTGCATATTCTGTGTATATGTCTGTTTTTGAAATATTAACTGAAGCTTTCTTCACATTTGCCATGAGTCTGTTTGCTTATTCTGTGCTCAACACTGCAATAGTCAAAGTGGGAGATGCAAGAGAAGTATAGAATACAGTCCCTGTCTGAAAGTTGCTGTCCTTGTTAATTTACTAGAATTTCCTGTCCTCTCTTCATTGATTCACTCTTTGGGGGCTATTTTTATGTGTGTTCCAGGTACTGCTCTATACATTTAACCTTCTGTTGTGCCTAGTTTGTTAGTCCATAGCCCTAAGTTACTCTACCATCTATTTTTCTCAAGGATGAGCTTGGGATCTGTTGCTGAGAATGACAAAAAAATGAAATTTATGTTGTGTCATCTTTTAAAAAATATACATTTTTATTGATTTCAGAGAGGAAGGGAGAGGGAAAGAGATAGAAATGTCAATAATGAGAGAGAATCATTGATCAGCTGCCTCCTGTATACCTCCCAAACTAGGGCACGTGCCCTGACTAGGAATCAAATCCTGACCTCCTGGTTCATAGGTTGATGTTCAACCACTGAGCCACGCCAGTTGGGCAAAGAGCAGTAATTTTAAAAATTTAAAAATCTGACACCTTTCAAAGTGGTATATAAAATACATAAAAAACAAAGCTGCTCCCATGGAATTGGTTATAGGGACCTGGACCTATGCCCTGTCCCTCTTTCTGATTCCTCTTGCTCCAGAGGCCTTTATGGGAAATCTGTAGCTTCCTTTGCACATAGTCTGAAAATTATAGCCTTAGAAATAAAGTTAATGTTTTAAGGTATAATGTAACAATATTTTAAATTAGTTCATTGGTTTTCCATAAAGAATATCAATCATCAAAAAGCACAGTTGAAATAATGTTTTATTTCCTGACTTTTTTAAGTTTTAAAAAATGTATCACAACAGTTATAACACTTAGTTTAAAAGACTGTTGAATGATTTACCAGTATAATTCCTATGCAAAGCTTCTTGACATTGTTCTATTGGTTTGAGTTATTAAGTTAATACTGAAGAGAAATCTAAAATAGATTATGTTTTTGTTAATAGAACCAATAATGTTTTATGTATATGTAATTTTGTTAGTGTGGAAAAAATGATAGTGAATAACCCTTTTTCCTTTTTAAAACAGGGATTGCTTGGCATTTTGTACAGAACCAGTTTTTGCCAGTTTAGCCAATGTTCTAGGTAACTGGGAAAATTTGCCTTCTACTGTTTCTCCAGATATTAAGGATTATAAACTTTATGATGTAGAAACTAAATATGGTTTGCTTCAGGTATGTATTTTTATTCATCTTGTGAAAAGAATTTTTTCCTTCAAAATTGTTTTTGGCTATTTCAGATTTATTAGCCATGTAGACTAATGTAAACCATTGTATTTTTTTTTTTAGTAATTTAAAAATTATTTCTTTGTTCTAGAATTTTCTGTAGTTTATTTCTATACTTAAGTTATATTTAAATTGTTAGAAACATAATATGGGTAACTTTTTTTTTTCTTTTAAATATATTTTTATTGATCTCAGAGAGGCCCGGAGAGGGAGAGAGAGATAGAAATATCCACGATGAGAGAGAATCATGAATTGGCTGCCTCCTGCAAGTCCCCTATTGGGGATCGAGCCCATAGCCTGGGCATGTGCCCTTGACTGGAATCGTACCTGGAACCCTTCAGTGTGTAGGCCAATGCTCTAGCCCCTGAGCCAAACCGGCTAGGGCAATATGGGTAACCTTTGGGTAAGGGCACTCATTAACTGGTGCATAGGGTGGTTCCCTTTTGATTTTCTTGAGTTTTAAACCTTGTGAATTCATTTTGTAAATATTAAATTGAAATAATAAAGTAGTTAATGAAAAGAAATTATATCTTTAAAGGAATTAATAGGTATTAGGAGATATAGTAAGCCATTTCATATATGTCCATATTTTCTGATTTTTCTTTATCTGCTTAGCAAAATATCTTTAGCTCTATAGAATAAATTGCAGTAGATTCTTAGTTCCTTGAGGACAGAGATCATTCCGTTTATTATTTTTAACATCTTTATTAAGGTATAATTAACTGGCATACAAAAAACTTCCATATTTAAAATATACAGTTTTATAAGTTCATAAATCACCATCACTACAATAAAAATAATGCATATATCCTGCATATATCCATTATTTCCCCCCCCGGTTTCCTCATACTGGTTATAATCCCTCTCCCCTGCTCTTTCTTATTTTCTATCTCTCGCCCTAGGAAATCACTGAACTGCTTTCTGTCCCTATGAATTGGTTTGTACTTTCTAGCATTTTATAAATGGCATTATACAGTATGTACTCCCTTTTTTGGTCTGGCTTCTTTCAGTAAACCTAAATGTTTTGAGAATGAGAGAACATTAGTTAATATTTGAAAACTGAGCACAACGCTATTCAGAAAAATTAAATTTCAATATGAAGTGTAAGTATAAAAAATACTAAGAATTAGAATTAAATTGACAAAGGTATCTCAATATTTACTATCTGTAACTCAGGAACCAAAGATTTCCTCAGTTTTCAAAATCAGGAATTGAGTAAATTTGGATAGTAAAGTGCTTTTATATTATCTTTTTGCTTATAGAAAAGAACTTAATGGCCCTGACTGGGTAGTTCAGTTGGTTAGAGCACCTTCCAGATATGCCAAAGTTGCAGGTTCCACCCCCTGTCAGGGCACATACTAGAAACAATCAAATGAATGCATAAATAAGTGGAACAACAAATCTCTCTCTCTCTCTTTCTCTCTCTCTCCCTCCCTCTCCCTCACTCTCCCCCTCTCTCCCTCTCTCTCTCAAAACAAACACACAAAATTTAAGAAAAGAACTTAATACTTGTACTCTGGTTGTTGTTGCGTTTATCCTAGCAACTGCGATTATCTGCACTTTTGCATTTGTGATGAAATTTAATTGTTATCTGAAAAATAAAAAATCTTTTATTGGGAGAGGCAGCAATTATGATTTATGAGACACTTTATTATTATAATTGAAAGGAGTTTTATTTAATGTAAAAATGTCTGGTTATTTTTACATTTACAGGTTTCTGAAGGATTGTCATTTTTGCATAGCAGTGTGAAAATGGTTCATGGAAATATTACACCTGAAAATATAATTTTGAATAAAAGTGGAGCCTGGAAAATAATGGGCTTTGATTTTTGTGTATCATCGACCAATCCTTCTGAACAAGAGGTAATGAAGGTGTTAGTGTTCTAATTTTTTAAAGCTATGGAAATTTGTGACGGCGTCTGGAATGGTCAAGAGAATTTATAAGCCTGATAAATGTCTAGAAATAGGCTGCATGGTACAATGGTATGCTTAAATTTATAGAAAAATTTTACAGTTCATTGTACCTAAGAGTATTGTTCAGCTTGTTAATTCCACAATAGTTAATGTTGCTTGAGAAAAAGATGCTAGATTTAAATAAATTTTGAGGGCTGTTGGGTTAAGGCATTCTTTTCCTCACCATGTCAAATGCACTAACCAACATTGTGACCCTCCAGCAATATTACCCCAACTTATTGGAGCATGGTAACAACAATATCAATGATGACATTTGCTGAAGCACTTTCCTCAACACTTCTTATAGATTTACTTATTTAATCCTCATAACAACTCAGTGAGGTATAGGAAAAATACAGCCTAGGTGGTTAGGTTTATAGAATAAAATAACCTGCCAAGTTTAGGCTGGTGGCAAATGGTAAAGCTAGGATGAATCCAGTCTTTCTGGTTCTAAAGCACTTTTACTTCGTGATTATACCTGCCTATTTACGCTTGGAAAACACTGCAGCATTTCAAGTTTTTACTATATATAGTTGTTAAGGGGACCTTGATTTGTCCTAAGATAGATTTGTAATTTAAGTAAACATTTTAAAGGGAAGCAGAAAGAATTCGTATTGATTATGTGCTGTGAGTGAAGCACTGCATGAAGTCTGTTTTCCATACATTTGTTTAATCTTTCCACTTTTTGAACCTATTAACTAAATCACATAGTAAAAGAACAGGTTTCAAACAATAATCTATTTGAGCCCATAAAACTTGAAACCTGTGTATCATAAAACATAGTGTATCATATAGTCTTCTGGAAGAGAACTCCAGTAATCTCAATATAAGAGATCTTTTTATTATCTCTTAAATTTGTTCCTTGCACTTTCCAGACTTGGAAATTAGAGAATTGTATGATTTAAGGTGGGGATGACAATTTTTACTTACATGGCTAACTGAATTTAAAACTAGATCATTGTTACTTGATAGAGGTTTGTTTTAATTTGAAATATGTAAGCTATAAAATCTCTTTTCTGTCTTCTTATAGCCCAAGTTTTCATGTAAAGAATGGGACCCAAATTTACCATCATTGTGTCTTCCAAATCCTGAATATTTGGCTCCTGAATACATACTTTCTGTGAGCTGTGAAACAGCCAGTGATATGTACTCTTTAGGAACTGTCATTTATGCTGTATTTAACAAAGGGAAACCTGTATTTGAAATTAACAAGCAAGATATTTATAAGAGTTTCAGTAGGCAGTTGGATCAGGTATTTATCTTTAAATATTTGCTTGCATTAAAAATGTATTAAATGCTGCTTTGATTTTTTTTCCTAAAAATGTATTCAGAAAATTCTGAGATGAATGTCTTATATATAGTTTGTTTGCATAAAATCAGCTTAGCAAAAGTAATTATCTAATCAGTGAGGATTAGTTAAAGTCTGTTACTACAACTGTAATCGTGACATGTATTTACTAGACTGAATTTTAAAATATGGTCTAAAAAACTGGGCATTTTGTTTTAGGAATAGAAATAATCAGCTAATAAAGATAAGTGTTTTAATTATCTTGCAGTAATAGAATTAGCAATTTGTTTGAATCTAAAAAAATATTTTTAAGTAAATTTTAAGTTTCTTAAATGGACTTGACAACATAAATGCATATCTCTGAATATTTTATATTCATATTTAATATTATCACTCTTTTGAATAGTTGAGTCGTTTAGGATCTAGTTCACTTACAAATATACCTGAGGAAGTCCGTGAACATGTAAAACTACTGTTAAATGTAACTCCGACTGTAAGACCAGATGCAGATCAAATGACGAAGGTAAGTGAGGACACATGAAGTTCTGCCTTAGGTGGAGGAACAGAAAATCTGTGAAAGTAGATAAACTGCTTCTAAAACAAGATTTAATCATATATAGTCCCCAGATAATATCTGTATTCTTGAATGTATTAAATATTCAGCTTCTTTTACTCTTAAACATTTAAATAATTTATGCATATACCTGCTCTGATAGAAAATTAAGATTTCAAAGAAACAACAGTTGTAACATAGTTATACTTGCAAAAGTTTTGGACACTCCAACTCTTGTTCACTCAGTATTTTACTAGTTATGTAAAAAAAAAAAAAGTTATTCCAGCCAACTCAAAGGTACTGCTTCTGAAAATTTGAACTTGGAAAGAAAAATAATTTGATACTTCCTTATTCTGATTTTCTAAATTAGAATTTTTATGAAATAATCTCTTAACATTTTGTTAAATATTCTGAATATTTTTCATCAAATTGTGGCAGTTGCAGATACGAGAAGTACCTTAATATTTATCAAAATAATTTCATTTCCTGTTTTTAGATTCCTTTCTTTGATGATGTTGGTGCAGTAACACTGCAGTATTTTGATACCTTATTCCAAAGAGATAACCTTCAGAAATCACAGTTTTTCAAAGGACTGCCAAAGGTTCTACCAAAATTGCCCAAGGTTTGTTGTTGGTCAGATTCTTATTATAGCCAGGATTTTAGAATTTAAAGTTTACTTTAACTTGCTATAATAACTCTTCCAAAGAAATAAATGTAACTTTGTGACTGTAAAAGACTTCAAACTGAAGCCAGAAGTTTAGTGGACCTTCTTTTGCATTGTTCGAAAATGAAATAGCATAAAAAAATTAGAAAGATAAATGTCAGAAAAGAAACCCATAATCTGTTATTGTGGAACTCATTGTATTACCAACACTTAAGGGGATACATTTGTATTGATGCTAGGCCTCTCCAGTTCCTCAACTCTCCCTCTCTGGCTTATTAAACAATGAATGTAATCCTATATAATAAAAGCCTAATATGCTTCGACCAGTCGCTATGACGCTCACTGACCACCAGGGGACAGATGCTCCGACCAGTAGGTTAGCTTGCTGCTGGGGTCTGACCGATCGGGACTAGGCGAGACAGGCCGGACATGCCCTGGAGCCCTCCCGCAGTCCCTCCATGGCCTTGATCATGCACCAGTGGGGTCCCTCTGCCTGGCCTGCACCCTCTCGCAATCTGGGACCTCTCGGGGGATGTCGGAGAGCCCGTTTTGGCCCAATCCCCGCAGGCCAGGCCGAGGGACTCCACCGGTGAATCTGCACCGAGCCTCTAGTATAGTATAAACACTATGAATGCTAAAGAAACCACTGGAAAAATAATAATTTCGGGTTCCAAAATAATGTCCCATGTTTAATCTGTCAGAATTAATTGGTATGTACTGCTAGCCCTTTTCTTGTTAGATGCTATGGAGAATAAAGAGGAAACAAAAAATTTATTCTTGCTCTCAAGGCCTTTATAGTAAGTGTAAATAGGATTAATATGCGTGAAGCAATAATTAACAGTATAGGACAGTGTTTAAATTGTGTGGTATGAATCATAAGCAGTGAAGGAATTAAGAGGAAAAACATATTCGTGAAGCCTAATTGAGGGAAGTTTTCCTAAAGGAAGAGTGATTATGTATCCCTTGTTATCTGTCACGTTACCAAGTTATGTCTTTATCCTGCCATAATTGTCAATAGCACCCTATTTTACTTTTAAAAGTGTCCTAATTTCAACCATAAATTATATGGTCACCTTACCCAAAGGGATTGGAGATTTTAAACTATAATTTCAATGTTAGCACTAAAGACGTGAAATAAAATTTAGTTTTATGAAACATTTTTTTCCTTTCAGCGTGTCATTGTGCAGAGAATTTTGCCTTGCTTGACTTCAGAATTTGTAAACCCTGACATGGTACCTTTTGTTTTGCCCAATGTTCTAATGATTGCTGAAGAATGCACCAAAGAAGAATATGTCAAATTAATTCTACCTGACCTTGGCCCTGTCTTTAAACAGCAGGAGCCAATACAGGTATGTATTTAGATAATTTTCCTATTTATCAGCTGTTATTCAGTAATATTGGTCAACAGTGACTACCATTGAAAACAGAATGGATATGTGACTTTTAAAAAACAGGTAAATATAAGAGACTTCTTTTCCATTGGTCAGCTATTTTGCATGTTTGAAGTGACCCATTCCTAAAATTATAATTGAACTCTCCAAGTAAATGTCTGCAGTTCTCTATAAGTTAACATCTCAGAAAATTAATTGTATTGAGATTGTGCATGTGTTATACTGTTCCCATTGGTCTTATTAAAAGTTACAGGTTTGGAAAAAGAAGTATATCTTACACTTCTAAGTGTTTTTATTTGTTTTTTTGTTTGTTCTGTTAACCAGGGTCTTTCATTTACACAGGTTTATGCCAGTATTTTCTCTTTTATTTTTTTGTTAATGAAGAGTTTCATCAGAAAAGGGAAAATGCTTATAGCACCCAAAAATAATATATGTGTGTATTGTAAATGAAAAGCATAGTGTCTGATGTAAACTCTATTACAGTATTTATTTGCCAGATTCAAGATGGTCTTGGATTTCAGAGCAGTAGGGTCATATACCTGGGTTGGAATCTGTCCATTACCTCCTTACTTGAACAAGTCCTTAATCTTTTAAAGTTTCCATTTTGCTCGTTTCCAAAATGAAAGAGGCTGTTGAGAGTAAATGAAATTTTCTGGCACATAGTAAATTATTACTTGCTTTTGCCACTACATGGCAATCGCTTATTAATAAACCATCAGCTACCTGATTTAATGGTTTTGTGGCAGGCTGTTTGCAATCCTTCCCTTGAAAGGAGGGGAACAGAAGGAGGTCCTTGTGGTAAGGCAGGAGTTCCTGTGGCTAAGGAAAGGGCAGATGAGGGAACTGGGGGCTTTGAGGCAGACTCCTGCAAACACTGTTAAGATATCAGGAGGGAAAGTAGCAGAGCCACATGTCCACTAAGCTATGCATTAGTCAATATAGTATCCCAAAGATACCATTTGAATTCTTATTTGCCTCCATTCTTTGGTACTCTTTTTCTCCTTAGTAGTCTAGCTAAAAATTCCTTTTGAAAAAATTTTAACCGAGCCTTGGCAAGACTAAGTATTCTTCATGAATAGAAGAGGCAGTTTGTTCCTTATTATTTAGGTACGTGGTGGCAGCTAGGTCAAAAAATGAACTGAAACATTTCTTTCTAGAATTTTTCCTGACAGTCTTTTTTATTCCTGTACCTTTTATTCTCTTGAGCTTCATAGAAACCAAGTGACAGAACTTACTGTTGGGGGCCATGTGATTTTGTTGCCCTCAGGCTTTTACTTCTTTACCCAGTTGCTTTCCAGATAGTTGATACTTGTGGGTAAGAGACATATTACTGAAGATTTGTGAGAGTTAGGAAATTAGTCTTTATTTAAATGCCTAAACTGAGAGCAGATGTTAAATATTGTGCTTCCAGAAATGTAAGAGACTTGATTTGTATGTTTTTGTCTTCCATGCCCTCAGGCTAGCAACATGGTGAGTGTGAAAATATATAACTTATTCTTTAGAATTTTATTCTTTAGAATATTCTTTTAATTTTGGGATATATAAAATCATGTAAAAATTCTGGAATTTAATGCATTCCCTTTTTCTACACAGATTTTGTTAATTTTCTTACAAAAAATGGATTTGCTATTAACCAAAACTCCTCCTGATGAAATAAAGAACAGTGTCCTACCAATGGTTTACAGAGCACTAGAAGCTCCTTCCATTCAGATACAGGTATAATATTTGATTTCTTCCCCCCTTTAGTGATGATTTTGATTCTTAAAGCAAAAGAAAAAAGTAAAGTACACTTTGGGTTTGAGTCAAATCTTTCATATAAATAACTCAGTAGTTTATATTAATCCATTGAATTGCATCATACACTGTTACTAAAATGTACCCACTCTTAACTAATTTATTTTATTTTTCTTTGAACACTGCCTTTGAATAGCATAAGGGTTGTCACATGGAAGAATTGGCTTGCCCTGCACAACTCAAAAGTAGACCAAAGACCAATTAGTAGCTTCTTCAGAGAGTTACATCTGTCCAGTGTGAGGACAAGTTTATGACTCACAACTGTTTCTTCCAGATCAAGTGTACAATCCTTCATTTCTGTGACTTGTGATATCTCCACTGGACCTTGGTGATGCTCATAACTGTGATCCTTATAAAGTTGTTATCTGCATAAGCCAGTTTCATAGTGCCATGTTCCAGAAACAGTTCAGCCAACAAACAGTCCCATGAGTTCTTCATTAACATGCTTACATGCTTCATAGCAATAACCCCCCTTTTCTTTCCTACCCATGTCTCTTAATCCCTCAGTTACTTCTGCACCAAAAACTTCTCAGCCCCAGTTGTTTCCCTTTTTTTTTTTTTAAATCTTATTTCTTTGTCACCGAAGTCCTAATAGATTTGGTTTTTGGTGGGTTTGGGGGCATTTTGGTATGGAGGGCCTTATGGGAACCTAGTGAATTTGTCCATTTTGTATGACAGACCATCTTTCTTTCTTTGGGCAGAAGTGAGAGGTTCCTCTTTCTCCTTCACTCCACATCTAATCCAGTCATCTAATGTAAATGCAATGCTTGAGGCTAGAGATGACACGGAGCCAACCAACCAGTTAGAATAGATTCTACCATCTAACTTTTCTGGAACCTGCCCCTGCTCTCTTCCACACTATCACAGCCCTAGTTTAGGATTAGGATGCCTTCGAGTCTTACAAGAATTTCTTCAATTCTCCTTTCAGGTCTTAGAGTTTTGCCACTTTATATTACAGCTAAATACAGATCTTTCTAAAATTGTTCTAGAAGTCAGATCTGAGCACTTCTCAGCTTAAAGTATTTATGGTTTTCCAGCTGTCCTCAAGTCAATCCAAGCCCCTATTCCTAGCATGTGAGCCCTCCCTGGGTGGCTCTGTGACCCTCTAGCTTCATCCATTTTTACAAACACCTTAACTATAGGTAGTTCCCCACCATGCCCCCCCTGAGCCTTTGCTCAGGCTGTGCTGTCTGCTGGGGATGCCTTTTCTTCTTCAACTACCTGACAGATACCCACATATCTTTGAGAACTCGAATTAGGAATCACTACTCTAGGGAACCTTCTGACTCCCACCCTCCAATGAGTGCTCCCTTCTTTGTGAATCTCTGTTCCCCCAATGGACTTTTACCTGCAAAATCCCTGCATCCATTCCATCTTCTTCTCTCCTAGGCTGGGCTCTGGTTATGACTGGGTTCCTTTCTATCACTGGCAGGCTGTACTGGGCTGGATCCACCACAAACCCCAGTAAATGTTAAAGGAATGAAAGCACTCTCGTCACACTCTGTAGGAAGACCTGGTGCATTGGAGTTAGATGAACTTGAGTTAAACTACAAACACTCCAAGAGCTGTGTGCTCATGGGCAAGTCATTGGAATTCTGAACCTCAATTTCCTCAGCTCTGCCTACCTCTCAGTATTCTGTGAAGTAACATGTGAGGTGCCTGGTACAGTGCCTGGCTTACTATAAGGGGTCAAATATGTATCACTCTGGCAGCCAAGAAGCAGAGAAGGAAAAGGTGTCCAGTTAGTGAGCAGGGGGTCAGGAGTGGGATGTAAGGAGGTAGGAATACAAACCTCTGAGACCCCAGTGTGCTTGGGTTTCTAAAACTGCTGGTCACCCGCTTTGTTGTGAGCAGTCAAGTTAGGGGATGGGAGTGAGGGTGACAGATCACAGGTGCGAAGGCCAAGCCAACCCCTGCTGCTGGAATGGACCAGCACCCAGTGACATCACAATCCTGAGTAGTTGCCCTGGCACTGCTGGAGGGGGACCCTCATTTCTCTCCACGGAGCTCTAGGATGTGGATGTGAGCAAGGTGAGGACGAAGGCAGATGGCGACAAGGGACAGCCTGAGCTCCATACCCACGGGCAAGGCTCATGGTGACACTGGAGAGGCAGGAACGTTGTCAGCTCCTGATACTGGCATTCGGGACACAAGTTCAGCCAATCAGCTGAAGATGAAGCCCAAGAATGTGCACAAGATTAAGGCGCTTATTGTCGACCTGGGCTCGCAGTACTGTAAGTGTGGCTATGCAGGAGAGCCAAGGCCCACCTACTTCATCTCCTCCACGGTGGGCAAGCCCTGCGAGGCAGCTGATGTGGGTGATGCCCACAAGGAGATCTATGTGGGCCACGAGCTGCTCAACATTGAGGCACCCCTGAAGCTGGTTAATCCTCTAAAACATGGCATTGTGGTGGACTGGGACTGTGTCCAGAACATCTGGGAGTACATCTTCCACAAAGCGATGAAGATCCTCCCCGAGGAGCATGCAGTGCTGGTCTCCGACCCCCCACTTAGCCCCAGCAGCAACAGGGAGAAGTATGCGGAGCTCCTGTTTGAGACCTTTGGCATCCCTGCCATGCACGTGACGTCCCAGTCACTGCTGTCCATCTATTCCTACGGCAAGACCACAGGGCTGGTGGTGGAGAGCGGGCACAGTGTCTCACATGTGGTCCCCATCTCAGAAGGCAATGTGCTGCCAGGCCTGACTGGCCGTGTTGACTATGCGGGGAGCGACCTCACTAACTACCTGCTGCAGCTGCTCATCAAGGCCGGCCACAGTTTCACCAAGGACGACCACCTGCACATCCTCGACCACATCAAGAAGATGTGCTGCTACTCGGCTTTCCAGCCTGAGGAGGAGCTTGGCCTGGACCTGGAGGAGCTGCGTGTGGACTACGAGCTCCCAGATGGCAAGGTCATCACCATTGGCCATGAGCGCTTCCAGTGTGCCGAGATGCTCTTCAAGCCCACCCTGGTGGGAAGCAGCCAGCCCGGCCTCCCTGCACTCACAGCCACTTGCCTGAGCCACTGCCAGGAGGCGGGCTTCAAAGAGGAGATGGCCGCAAATGTGCTGCTGTGTGGTGGCTGCACCATGCTAGAGGGCTTCCCTGAGCGCTTCCAGAGGGAGCTGAGTCTCTTGTGCCCTCGGGACAGCCCTGCAGTGGCTGCAGCTTCCGAGAGGAAGACCTCCGTGTGGACCGGTGGCTCCATCCTGGCCTCCCTGCAGGCCTTCCAGCAGCTCTGGGTCAGCAAGGAAGAGTTTGAGGAGAAGGGCAGTACAGCTATCCATACCAAGTGCTGAGCGTGAGCTGACAGGCCAGGCCTCGTGGGCAGGCGAACTCAGGCCACACTCTACATTTACAGAATTTCACATAAAAATTTTAACACAATGGCTCTTGTCTAGTCCGGATTTCTTGCTTTAGCCTGATAGCAGAAGGTTCTGGGGAGTTGGATTTAGAGGTATCAGCACCTTTTGCTCTGTTGCATCTGGAGCAGCAGGGGTGGGAGGTGGGTGGGAGGGCTCCTTACTGGCCCCTCCCCTCCTGGAGGTGACATCTCAGAGCCCAGAGTTTGTTTTCCTGTTCCATTAGCTCCTCAGGGTTCAAAACCCAATTCAGCAGACACATTGATAGCTCATCCATGGACCAAGAGGGAAATGAAAGCTCAGATTGAGGACTAGCGTGGGTCATGTAGCTAAGTGGTGGGGGGACACTCAAAACCAGGTGTCTGACTTCCTTCTCCTGTTTCTGCCAGATGTGTGTCTGCCCATAGCTTCATCATTGCTTGATTGCCCTGCTCCCTCACTAAACTCCCCTCACTGCCTGCCACCTTCAGAGGTGCAGCCCACAGGTGTGCCTCTCCTGAGTGTGAGGGGCCTTTCCACTTCAGCCAAAATTGCAACTTTTTTTGCAGTCACAAAGTAGAGCCACTGAATCCAGAGGATGTCGGAGGAACCAGAAGGTCTCTTGGAAATCATGTGGTTCTCTACCTCCTGTAGAGGTGGGGAAACTGAAGACCAGGAGGGAGGGGGCCATGTCAGTGGATGAGTCCAGGTCTTCTGTCCCAGGTCATGATTATTTCCAGAAGGGCAAAGTGGTTGTTTTAGTTTGGGCTGCTATAACAAAATATCACAGACCAGGTGGCTTATAAACAATAGAACTTTTATTTCTTACAGTTCTGCAGACAAAGTCTAAGATTAGAGTGCCAGCAGGGCCAGGTTTTAGTGAAGGCCCTCTTCTGGGTTGCAAACTGCTGACCTCTTGCTGAGTTCTCACATGATGGAAGGGATCTTTTAACTAATTTAAAGAATCAATTTACAAATACCTGTATTAGTGAAGTAAAATGAGTCATTGCTTTTATTTATGAGAAATGTACTATTCTGGAAGGTTTGATTATAGTTTAGATTATTTACAAGTAAATGAAAATGTCAAATATGTATGTGCCCTTTTCTTATGAAAACATCAAGTAGTTCTTCCCATACTCACAATTTTATTTCATGCTTGGTAACTTAATTTTCTATTCAGAAATGTTCCTTCTGCATTGAAGCTAATTTGTGTAGCAGGCAGGTAGAAAAGCAAACAGTAATTTAGGGTAATCATTTCTAATTTACTTATAGTCATGCTTTTGTGTCACAAAAGTGATGTTAAAATATCATGTGCTTTGCCAAACTTAGTTTTGCTATTAAAATTTTGATCCTATGGCTGGCTACCTGGAAAGAAATTTTGGATTACTATTAAAAGTATAGTTTTTTTTACTTCGAAAAATATATACTTAACTAGGGCTCCTGCGAAATTCGTGCACTCGGAGGCAGGGGTGTCCCTCAGTTCGGCCTGCTCCCTCTCACAGTCCAAGAGCCCTCAGAGGAGTGGGCCTACGTCGTCAGTTGGACAGCCTTAGCGCTGCCATGGAGGTGGAAGAGACTCCTGACACTGCCACTGTGCTCGCCAGCAATGAGCCTGGCTTTTGGCTGAGTGGCGCCTCCCCTGTGGGAGCGCACTGACCACCAGGAGGAAGCTCCTGCATTGAGCGGGATCAGGCCGAAACCGGCTCTCTGACATTCTCCGAGGAGTCCTGGATTGCGAGAGGGCACAGGCCAGGCCAAGGGATCCCACTGGTGCACAATCGGGACCTGGAGGGACACGGGAGGTTGGCCAGCCAGGGATGGACCATGGGAGGGCTCCAGGGCGTGTCCGGCCTGTCTTGCTCAGTCCCGATCGGCTGGACCCCAGCAGCAAGCTAACCCCTACCAGTCAGAGCGTCTGCCCCCTGGTGGTCAGTGCACTTCATAGCGACTGGTTGACTGTCTGCCCCCTGGTGGTCAGTACACATTGTAGCAAGCGGTTGAGCGGCCTTAGTATATCATTAGCATATTACGCTTTGATTGGTTGAACAGATGACCAGACAACCGGACACTTAGCATATTGGGCTTTTATTATATAGGATGTTAAGAACATTCCCCTATAAAAATGGTTCCAAAAGTTTTTCATTTCTTGGCTACTATAAAAATTCTGTATAGATTATAATAAAGAAAAACATAGAATTTTAATTTTTAAAAGTTATTGACCATAGTTGTTTTTTTTCTTAATGTGAACCTAATACCACATGTAAAGGTCACTTTTTGACTCATTTCAATCCTTTTCTGCTAAGTTCTTTTGTTTAAAGTTGTGAAGTTTAAAAAAAATTTTTTATAAGGGCATGCTTTATAAAAGGCAAGGATATGTTGCCTTTGTCCAAATGACATGGGATGATTGGAGAAGGTGTACTTCTACTTTTTAGCCCTTTCCAAAGGAGTTGTCACTTAAAGCTTCTTGAAAACATTCCACAGGCCTTGTGTAGCCAACCTGGTTTTATATTCAGTGAGATTAGGAAGGAGAGGAAAGGTTAAGTGACCTAAAAAGGCCATTTTTTCTTAATAAGGGGTTAGTTTTGCCAATAGGTATCAGCTGGTATTTTATTGAAATAGTTCAACAAACATGTATGATATTATTCAATACTAATGGCCCGGTGCACGAAATTCGTGCATGGGTAGGGTCCTTAGGCCTGGCCGGTGATAAGGGCTGATCTTTGGGCCTACTGGCAGGGCGACTTGGGGGGGCTCCCCACTTTCTGGCCCTGCCCCCGTCCACTTACTAGCCCTGCCCCCTGCCACTGGTTGCCTCCTTCTGTGAGGCTACTGGTGGGCAATTGGGGGGCCCCCGCTGGCACCCACCTTGGCTGGCCTGGTGCTGCCCACTCACTGGCTCTGGTCCCCACTGCTGCCGCTGGTCGCCTCCCTCTGTAGGGCGACTGGCAGGGCGATTGTGGGGGGGCCCGTGGCACCCGCCTTGGCCGGCCTGGTGCCGCCCACTCACTGGCCCTGCCGCTGCCACCAGTCACCTCCCTCTGTAGGGCAACCAATGGGGCGATCAGGGGCCCCCCTCTGGTACCTGCCTTGGCTGGCCTGGGGCCTGCGGGCTGAGGGCAGCTCCTGTGTTGAGCGTCTGCTTCCTGGTGGTTATTGTGCATCATAACAACCGGTCATTCTGCTTTTGGTCGATTTGTATATTAGGCTTTTATTATATAGGATAAGTGTTTAGTCACCAGTCCAATTAACTTGCATCAAACCTTGCTTGGGAAGAGTCTGATAAAGTTAAAGCCTGTCTAAGCTTTGGGAGGTTCCTAGAGCAACAGCAAGAAACAAAAATCTTTTCCTCAAGCTTTATGAAGGTACACAGCTGGAAAGGAACTTCTGAAATTCATTCTTGGAGTGATATTTTTAAAGTAGAAGTTTGATGTATTTAACAGACTAGAGAGAGATTAGAAATACATTTGGAAAAGTAGGAGATGGTTAACAAAAGTTAGGGTCCTTAGAGGCATTAATAGAAATCTTTATCTGTACCAGTTTTCTTACATTATTTACCTTAACATTAAACATAGAAGCTATGTTCATTCTCCTCTCCCCACCACCAATTACAGAAAAAGTATAAATACAAGGCAGAAGTTCCTGAGAATGTGCTAATCCTGTTCTTGGGTTCTTCATCCTGTCTCCTCCTATGGAGAGAGCTCTCCTCTCCTTTTGCTAAGTGATTATAATTCAAGATTGGCCTCTTTGTAACCTACTGCTAGATTAACATCATAGTTCTCTTTTTTCTCCCCTCCCTTTATCAGTTAAAGACTGATCTTCCTTAAGAAGGTACCCTTTGATAATGGGCACAGTTTCTCACCGACTACTCACCCTTGTTAATTGTCTCCCACCTGTAGAAAATGGGTCCTTAAATGTAACTTGTATTTCTTATCCTCAGTGATGCCACCCATGTAATTATTATAGTTCTGAGTGGATATAAACATATAACTCTATTTGCCTTTTGAAAATCTGGGAATAAGTTAAAGTACATAAAGTGCTTCCCAGTATTTTGATAACAGATTCTTAGTAGTTAACTTGTTTCTATCTGCTAACTACAAATGAATGTGTTTGTTTAACAAGTATTGTCAAAAACTCCTCTGATATACATTTATACTTCCATTTTCTTTAGTAATCCCTCTGCTATGCTTTGCTACAAGGATCATTCTGGCCCTTCTAAGGTATCTGAGATCTTCTTCAGCCAGTTAGTTCTCAGCCATTTTTGTTCTTTTCCTTATCTCACTTAGTCCAGTTATCCTCAGTCATCTTCCTTTTTCCCATTATCCTCAGAGTTCCCAGTTCCAATTATTTACACTGTGGCATGGCATTAGTTAACAAGAATGTTTTAAATAACTCTTACTTGTTTCTATGAGTTATACTTGCTAACATTTTAGAATTTGAAAGTACTTAAAAATATAAAGAAAATTAAAGTCTCTCAGAGATGCCTACAGTTAACATTTCTAGGTATTCTTCCACGCTTTTATCCTAAGCCTGTAGACAGACACGTGTACATACACATTTTAAAAATTGGGACTATATAATAGTGTCTTATTGCATTTTCTCCCCAATATTATTAAACAATCTTTTAAAATATATTTTAGAAAATGTTTATATTTCATTCCATCATATGGATATATGTAGCAGCTAATGAATTCTTTATTTAAGAGGAATAGTTTTACATGACTTTGTTTTTAATTTCTTGTCTTTGTGAAAGATAGCAAAACTTAGGTATTCCGAAGTTTTCTTTTTTAAAAAATAAATGAAGAATTCTGTTATCAGGGAAAGAAATTAGGAATGAGACCAGGGAATTGTGGTATCAGATGCTAGTTTTAGGACCTAGTATAATTTTGAGTAAGGTCTTCTGAGCCTGTTTTCTCATCTGCAAAATTGAAAACTGAAAATAACTATTCTTTCAAATAGTTACTGAAAGGACAAAATGATGTAATGTACATAAAAGTTTATTTCAAACTATGTGACAAATTAGCCATGCAAATGCAAAATATTTTCTAATATGTGAGAAAAAAGATGAGTCCTTAAGACTGATCCAATTAATTTTCTTAATAGGAACTCTGTCTAAACATCATTCCAACCTTTGCAAATCTTATAGACTACCCATCCATGAAAAATGCTTTGATACCAAGAATTAAAAATGCATGTCTACAAACATCTTCCCTTGCTGTAAGTAATTGCGTATTAATTTTTGATTTTCTTTTCTTATTTGTTTAAATGATTTTAGTATTGTATAATAACCCTTTTATAGTGTTCATGTATTTTGTCTTGGCTATAGGTAATTGCTAAAGTACTATAAAAGTGAGCAGTAGCTATAATTTCCCCTGATGTATAATTTTACAGTAGTACGTCCCTGATCTTATTCATTATCTTCTAATTTTGAGTGCTTTAATATGAAATTTGAGTACTTTTTTTTTCTTAATCTTTTTCTGCTTTAATCCACTATTTTGATGGTAGTTTTAAAGTAGTCATGAGAGTTTAACTTGGTGTATAAGCCTAAACATTTTTTGAATGACTTTTATAAACTGCCTTTATTTTTAGTCATCTATTCTAAATATTTTTATGCCTCACTTTTGGCTTACTTTCAAAAAAGAGTAAAGGATACAATAAAATATAAATTAATAAGAGTATCAATGGGGAAAATAGTTGTGCTAAAAAGTCTAGACTAGAATAAGGGTGGTTGTCTCCTTGAATACAGAATTTTAATACCAAGTTATTTGGTAGTCAGGGTGGTAGGATAAATAACAAAGTTCTCGTGATCTCATATTGGAGGCAATAAATGTGCCCAACCTTTTCTCTAACTCTGAATCATAAGAATTATCTCATTGATATTTCTTTATAGAAGTAACATTAAATTCTCTTTTCGCCGCAAATACCAGCTTTAGAAAAAAGAGAGAAATGTTCTTCCTTCACCTGGTCAGTTCTTATTTTGATGTTTAATAATGGCCATAGCATTAAATTTGCATTTAGGAAAGATAGTTCTTTGGAGAGCTCATCAATTTTGGGGGGGGTGAAATGTGAATTTAAATAAAAGTAAATATTTATAGCTTAATAGATTTATAGGCAAAATAAGTTTAAATGGTAAATACTTTTACCTTACAGCCATCTAATCCATTTTGGTTCATGTATTTTTGTTTTATTTATTTTGTTTTTCTGTTTGGTAGAAAGACTCTGAGATGAAAAACAACACTAAAGTAGGAAAAAAATATAATTGTTTACTGAAATGAACTTGTATGAAATGAAGTAAAAAAACATGAGTTCTTATTCTGACTCTGCTACTAATTCTTGTACCCTTAGGCAAGTCACTGTACCTCTCTGAGTGTTTGTCTTCATCAACATTAAAAGAATTTGAAATGTAGTCCATTTCTCTGAAATTTTCTAATTTTAAGATTAAATTTTCAGACTACATAGTAGTAATATATGCTTAAAACTCAGTTTTCAAAATGCCCTTTTAAAAATCACATAGTATTTTATGGCAGCATACACTTTGTTAAAATAGATTTTCTAGTTGAGTTCTAACTACGTATGCAGTGAGGTGGGAAGCATGGGTACTTAAATAATCTGTAATGCCCGGGGATGTTTATATCCCCTTTAAACATGCCAGCTGAACCCTTAAAGGCATGCTGTTTATAAGGAATTATAATGAATGGATTTAGAACAGTAACTGAAATGGATTTGCATTTTATATTATCACATTCAGTGTTCTTACCTTCACAGTGGCAAATGTGAATGCTTGAATTGCATTCATAGACGTAGATCTCTAAGGTTTAATATGCTAGGAAATTCCTAAAATGTGAATCATGAGTTAAAATTATATTTTAATACAGTTTCCTGAAAGTAAAGAAGAAATAAATTCTATGCAGAGATAGATAAAATACTCCAAGAGCTCTATTTCTTCATGACTCACCTGACTAATATTTTATATATCATGAAAGAAAATAAAAGGAAACTTTTTTTAGTTCATATGTCTTTGTGTATATCTATACACATATGTACATATATTAAGAATGCAGCAATTCCTGTTATTAAACTAAGAGCAAGTTTAGCCTTTAGATATAATTTTGAATTTATAAAATCCCTTGTGTTTGGGTTTCAGAAAACAATTACACATTATTTTTCAGAAAAATATTTTCATCTTTCTTGCAGAAATAGTACTTTTTAAACTAAACTGTTTTCTGCTGTTCTTAGTTTACTTCTTTTTTATTTTTAATAAATGGAGTTTTATTGATAAGATCCTGGCTCAGAGTATTCTGTCTTTACAAATTCCAGCTAAAAAAATAGAGTGTGAAATATTTACCAAAATAATCAAGTGAATGATAGAATTTTTATAAAAGAGTTCCTGAATGTCAGATTTTAATAACTATTAAGAATATACTTAGAAACAGAAAATTTTATGTAGGACAAATATAGATTCTCTTTGCATATTAAAATATTTAGTTAAAGAATGAATTGAACCTGAGTTACAGAAAAATACTGGAAGCCCAGTAAAATTGATTACTTGGTGGGAGAATGTAGTCCTTTTTATGACTCAGATGCCCCAAAGAAATGGTCTTAGTACAGTAAACACATATACTAGTAGTAAAGCTTCTTAAGTCCTAATTCACTTTATTTAAAATGATACAAAACTGAAGTCAATCCATACCGTTAGCTAACTAGTATCCTGGTAAAGCCATCATAAATTTTTTCTGAAACAAGTCAGGGGAGTTAGTAAATATGTGAATTTCTTTTATTAATAAAGGATGAGAACTTTTAAACCTAGTTTTATTCTTGAGTTATTTTTAACATACCTATATGAAGATTAAATACTTAAATATTTTGTTCTATATCACAAAGACTTTAAATGACTAATTCAATTTACCTCTTTTAATAGGTTCGTGTAAATTCATTAGTATGCTTAGGAAAGATTTTGGAATACTTGGATAAGTGGTTTGTACTTGATGATATCCTGCCCTTCTTACAACAAATTCCATCCAAGGAACCTGCAGTCCTCATGGGGATTTTAGGTAGCTGAAAACTTACTGTCATTTGATACTACTTTATCATTTTACAGTCATGCAAATACATTTTTCACTCTATAGGACCATTGTACTCTACTTTCACATATATAGCATTCAGTAATTGGAGAATGATGGGATAAATGCCATGATATAACTTTTCTTTGTGTTAATTTTAGCAAAAGCAGTAGAACCTTTACATTTACAAAGGAATAAGACATTTGGGAATTCTAGCTTCACAAATACCATAATAACATATAGTTTGCCCTGTAAAATGGTACTAAAAAAGAGAGGCAAACAAAGCTACTTGAAATACTGATACTAGTCTTACTAGTCTTAATGTTTATTTGGTACCCAATTTGTAAGAGGCACTATGCTAACTATTTTCTCTGCATTATCATATTTTGTACTTTATCAAATCCAGTGAGATATAGATACTATTATTTCTGTTTTACAGTAGTAAACTGAGGCTCAGAAGTGAAGTAAGTTCTTAAAGAATACACAACTGATAAGTGATGGAACTGGTTTGGTTTTTTGTTTGTTTTAAATTCTCACCCGAGGATATTTTTTCCATTGATATTTAGAGAGTGTAGAAGGAAGGGAGGAGGGAGAGAGAGAGAAGAACATCTATGGGGAGACAACACATCAATGGGTTGCCTCACACACACCCCAACCGGGGCTGGGGATTGAACCTGGAACCCAGGTACATGTTTTTTTTTTGGTTGTTGTTTTTAAAATATATTTTATTGATTTTTTACAGAGAGGAAGGGAGAGGGATAGAGAGTTAGAAACATCGATGAGAGAGAAACACCATTCGGCTGCCTCCTGCACAGTCCCCACTGGGGATGTGCCTGCAACCAAGGTACATGCCCTTGACCGGAATCGAACCTGGGACCCTTGAGTCCGCAGGCCGACGCTCTATCCACTGAGCCAAACTGGTCAGGGCCAGGTATATGTTTTTGACTGGGAATCCAACCTGTGAACCTTCAGTGCTTCAGATGACACTCTAATCACTGAGCAACACCAGCCAGGGTTGGTTTTTAATTTAGATATGTTTAAATCTTAAGCACTGTTTCTCTGCTAAGTGATGTGCTGATAAAGCATATTAGCCTTATGGCATGTTTTATTCTATCAGCATAATTACAGATTACTATGTCAAGAACTCTGAAATTGTTTGTGAACAGTTAAAGTTATGAGAGTACAATCTGGAAATGCCGGAGGTCTACTCTACTAAGAGAAGCAGACATAATTATGAAATCACAAAAACAATTAAAAGTTCACTTGTTACTAAATTGAAGTTTGTCGTTAATTTTGAAGAAAAACTATATTACTCAGCCATGTATTTTTAACACCTGTAATAGTGTCTGGTCTATAGAAAGCCCTCAGTAAATATTTGCAGGAATGGTCAGCAAGTAATTTATTGTGGACCTCTGGAAACTTAGCACTTTTGGGATATGGCATGAAACTTGTGAACTCAAAGAAATTAGTCTTCTTGAGAAGGTGTTTGTAATAGTGGAAAGAGCCCTAGTCCCTATCTGTTTCTTCATCTATCAAATGAGGATGAAAATAACATCATTATAAGTGGAGTCCTGTGAGAATTCAGGGAGAAAACTGAAGAGAAAGTAATTAACATAGTGCCTAACAAACAAGCATTCAGTACGTTCACAATAAAGTTATTCTTCCAGTATATAAGTAAAGTGTACATTAACAGAATAATACGAGATGGTGTGCTACTAGTTTTGGATTATATGCGAAATGCTTACAACACAAAAACATTTAGAGAACGAGGAGTAAATGTGCTCTGTTGACCAAATGCAGGGTTAGTGAGTAGTTGTAACCAGTAGTCTTGAAGGTCCAGTAAATTGGTGAGACAATGGAGGAGGATTGTGTGGAGATGAATTAAATTATTAAGGTTCAAACATGTTGAGTGTCATTGGTTAAAGATGTGAATAAATGTGTAGGAGCTCTACCTATACACTTTGAAGTAGATGTCTCTACTTGAGTGAGAGGTCTGAAATATATACCTAAATGTTTTCAGGGTAGAGGGCATTCTGTAATATTCCTGCTGCACTGTAAGAACTGTACTTAGTTCAGATAGACTTTTAATGTTATGCTATTATTACATGTGCTCTTAAACCAAAGACTACAGGATAAATATGTCCTGGTGTTTAAATCTAAACCGATGACAAAGCTGAAATCATTCTATATGCCATATGTAAGAGCATCCTCATCCTAAGCACTGATAAGGAAACATTTGTAGCTAAACTTATTGTCAAGAGATTTCATGTAGATAAGCTGTTTTCCTGATTTCTATTAATTAGTGGTATTGAATTATAAAATTTTCTTATTCTTTTCTATCAGGCATTTACAAATGTACTTTTACTCATAAGAAGTTGGGAATCACCAAAGAGCAGCTGGCTGGAAAAGTATTGCCTCATCTGATTCCTCTGAGTATCGAAAATAATCTTAATCTCAACCAGGTAGGAGGAGTTTTGTGCTTCATTCACTTTATTCAGCTTACTGTTTTTTGGCATTGAATAGCCTACCTAATAAAAGAGTAATATGCAAATTGACCATCACTCCAACACACAAGATGGCCACCCCCATGTGGACACAAGATAGCTGCCACAAGATTGCTGGCAGGTGAGGGCAGTTGTGGGCCATCAGGCCTGCAGGGGAGGGCAGTTGGAGTAAACCCAGCCCTGCAGGGGAGGGCTGTTGGGGGAGACCCAGCCCTGTAAGGGAGGGCAGCTGGGGGGGATCCTGGTCTGCACGGGAGGGCAGCTGGGGGGACCCAGGCCTGCAGGGGAGGGCAGTTGGGGGCAACCAGGCCTGCAAGGGAGGGCAGTTGGGGGCAACCAGGCTGTCAGTGGAGGGCAGTTATGAGTGATCAGACTGGCAGGAGGGCAGTTAGGGGCAATTGGGCCAGCAGGGGAGCAGTTAGGTGTCGATCAGGCTGGCAGAGGAGTGGTTAGGGGCAATCAGGCAGGCAGGCAGGTGAGCAGTTGGGAGCCAGCAGTCCTGGATTGTGAAAGGGATGTCCGACTGCCCATTTAGGCCTGATCCCACTGGGCAGTCAGACATCCCTTGAGGAGTCCCAGATTAGAGATGGTGCAGGCTGGGCTGAGGGACATACCTCCCCACCCCTGTGCACGAATTTCGTGCACCGGGCCGTACATATTTGTATTAGTAAAACAAGGAAAACTGTGTCACAGAGTTAAGTGAAAGCTTGTGAGTTTGAAGTAAGGGGTATGTGAGGTGGAAGGCTGGATTATTGGAAGCTTCGTTGGGAGATAGTAAATGAGCAGAATGTTGAAAGATGTATAGGATTTGGGGCCACTTTACGTTTGGGGCTGGGAAGTAGACATGAACGAAGAAATATTAATATAATGTGTCTGGGGTATGTATTCATTATTGCTCCATAGCAAGTCACCATAAACTTGATGGTTTAAAACAACAGGCACTTATCTCAGAGTTTCTGTGGGTCGGCCAAACCAGAGCCTGGGTTCTCTGCTCAGATTCTCTTACTTCTGCCATCAAAGGCTAGGTCTCACCTGAAGGCTCGGCTGGTGTAAGGATCTGCCTCTAAGCTCATTACATGGCTGTTGATAGGATTCAGTTCCTTTTGGGCTGTTGGACTGAGGGCCTCAGTCGCTAGCTCTCTGTTAGATGGATGCAACTGTCAATTCCTTGCGTCATGGATCTCTGCAACATGGAAACTTGTTTTATCAAAGCCAGAAAGAGAGGGAATCTGCTAGGAAGATGGAAATTACAGTCTTATAAAGTAATCAAGGAAATGACATTCCATTACCTTTGCCGTGCTCTGTTGGTTACAGGCAGATCACAGGTCCTATCAATGTTCAAAGACGGAGGCCCGAAGGCATGAGTAGCAGAATGAAATGACAGGGAACAATTCTATCCTATCTGCCACTGGGAATGAAGAATTTAATTTGAACCTATAATACAATACCTATAATACAATAGGGGAGTAGTGATATGATAAATTAGTCTAGAATAGGTATGATTTAGATATTCAAACTTTCAAAGTATGATAAATGTTTGAGCAAAGGGGTAATGTGTTCAAAGAGTATTATAAAATTGCCTCTCTGCATACCTTTATCACTGTAGTTATCACAGTATGTACTTATGTGCCTGATTGTCCTGGAAGGCGGGTTTTTATAGCTTATTCTTCAATATATCTTCAGCAGTTAGTGCAGTGCCAGAAACAAAAATATTTATTAAGAGAAAATTTGAGATACAGAGTAATGGCATAGTTTGTTCACCACAGAACTAATGGTTAATGGAAAAGACTGGGAAATATTACTTACTGTTAAACTGAGTTCAGAAATGGATAGGCAGGCAAGATTCGGAATTAAGGACTGAAAGTGAATTAGAGCAAAGCTGGGAGTTAATCAGGAGAGCTTTGGGCATAAGGGGACAGTGCCGAGTGAATGGAATTTTGGAATTAGAAAAATATATGACATGAATCAGACCCCAAATTTCATTGAAGTGGTAGGGTAAGCCTCTGAAAGTTTGTGTTCCTAGATTTTAGTTTTGGGCTTTGTTACATGGCGAAGTGGGGGGTCCTTTTCCCCACTGGGTGCTGGGGGTGTAGTTCTTACAGTATCTTGAGAAAAGAATTTTCTAAGACTTGCACAGGAGAATGAGTGGTTTTTATTTGCCTGGAATTACATCTCTAGATTTCCAAGGTACCATTCCCCTTAGTCCAGTCATAGAAGATATATAGCTGGGGTTTCAGTAAAGCTAAAGGCAAAGCCAGTGTCCAGAGTTTCCTTTCCATGTTGGAGCTGGGTCCAGTTCAGCATCAGGCTAGTTGCGGTCCATTAGTCCATTGTGTGTGGGGTTTACATGGCCGTGGGCCATGTGGGTGAGTGCAAGGGAGCTCCACAAGCCCAGAGTCACATAAGTCCCAAGAGCATAAGAGAGCAAGCTTCTTTGTTCAGAGAATTAAGTATCCCAAATTTTTGCGCCCTTGCAGTGGCCACCCCCATTCTGGCCAGCCACCTCTGTCTCTTCTGATTGATAGCAAGCACCTTCGCTAGTCCCCCCAGCTTTACTGGGTATGTATATATCTTCCCTTTGTTGGACCCCTTGGAGGGTAAAGTTGTAGTTTCCTGGTAAAGCTGCCTAAATGACATGCTTGTAATATCTGGCTTCCACTTGCTCCTTTCCTATTATTAATAACTAGGTGAATTACAACCGTTTCAGCTTATTAAGTTTCTTTGTATCTTGGATGACACGGTTGAGGTTATGATTGTCAAAAAAGGGACAAAGTGAATGTTGAGGAAAAATTAAGATGCTCATATATCCAAAATAGTCTTCAACTTTGGGTTATTTCTGTTCTTATATTTATTATTTAAAATATTCCCAAATGCTTGTTTTAGGATATATAATTTCATTTGAAATGTGGTGTTAGATTTTTTCAGGTTTATGGGTGATTTTTTTAGGGGCCTATTTTCATCAACAGAAATATTTTGATTCATACCTTATGGCATTTTACAATAGTTAGTGGTCTAACTTAGAGTGCTCGCTTTTCTGTATATTTTATGGATAGAGTTCCTAATTCAAGACTCTTCTGTCAGTTCTGATGTAAAATAATCTAAGTATATTATGCATTATGTGAAAACGATAAAGTAACTTAGGAAAATACATATTTAGCATTTGATGGAAAAACAGGAAATTTCACACAGCAATTAAAACACAATCACAACCGTGTTTGGGAGGGTTTCAAAGACTGCTCCAGATTCAGTGATTCCCTAGGACAGCGGTTCTCAACCTGTGGGTCGCGACCCCTTTGGCGGTTGAAGGACCCTTTCACAGGGGTCGCCTAAGACCATCCTACATATCAGGTATTTACATTAAGATTCATAACAGTAGCAAAATTAAAGTTATGAAGTAGCAACGAAAATAATATTATGGTTGGGTCACAACATGAGGAACTGTATTTAAAGGGCCAGAAGGTTGAGAACCACTGCCCTAGGAAGGCCTCAGGCCTCAGCATAAAATTGTATTCATGGGTGATTCCTTTCTCTCTCTCTGATTCCTTTCTCTCTCTCTCTCCCCCCACCCCCTCCCTCCCTCTCTTTCTCTCTCTCTCTCTCTCTCTCTCTCTCTCTCTTCCTCCCTTTTCCTCTTTCTCTTTTAAATCCTCACCCAAGGAGTGAGGATATTTTCCCCATTGCTTTTCAGATCCAATGAAGGGAGGGAAGGAGAGAGAGAAATATCGATGTGAGAGAGAGATACATCGACTGGTTGCCTCCTGCATGTGCCCTGATTAGGGGCAAGGAGCAAACTGCCACCCACTGAGCCACTCTGGCCAGAGTGAATGGGTGATTTCTTATGGTAAAAGATTATAAAGCAAAATCAGCAAAGGGAGAAGGCAAAGTAGGGGCTGGGGGTCAGGCTCAAGCTTCCAGAGACATTTGCTGGAGCCACAAAGGATGCGCTTAATTTCCCCGGGTAATGAGTTGTGAAGGTATGTGTGAAATGTTGCCAACCAGAGAAGCTCATTCGACTCAGTGCCTGGATTTTTATTGGGAGCTGATCAATAACACCCTTTGCCTGTCATGTACTCAAGTTCAGACTCCCAGAAGAAAAGCAGGTGTTTAGCATGAAACATATTCTTTGTGCAGTTAGGCTCAGTTTGCCACTATCATCAGTTAATGGGGGGAACCTGCTAAGTTCCTGGACACCAGCCAAAGACCAACCTCGTAAGCAGGCCTTGCAAGGAGAGCAGTGCAGGCCTATGTTAACTCTTGCACCAACTACATGCAATGTGGATGACTGTCAGAACATAATGCTGAGCAAATGAAGGTAGACATAGAAGAGGATTGAAAAAACAGCCAAAACTACGTGCTAGAAGCCAGACTAGTGTTTACTCACAGGGTGTGTGTAGGCTGGGCAGTAAATGACTAGAAGAGAGCAGAAGGAATCTCTGGGGGGCTGCCAATGTTCTGTTTCTTCATATGGCTCCTGGTTAAGTTCAGTTTGTGAATTTTTTGAGATGTGCACTTATATGTATATTTTTCTGTTAGTATGTTATACTTCATTAAAAAGTTTTAAAAACTAATTAGCAGAGAGTCAGTCATAGTAAGGAAACATGCCTTTTGTTACTCTCCTGGTAAGACAAAGGATAAAGGAATGGTAGAGCATGATGAGAGGCAATGCAATGTAGAAAAGAGCTAAGCTTTGGAGACACAGTATGAACTCTACTTATGCCATGTAAGTTATTTAATATCTCTGAGTAAGTTACCTGAGGACATGCTTATTTGCCGGGAGCCGGTCCATGCTTGCTGTTTCAAGGGACCTGGCATATATGGCATACTGTTCTTAATAAGTTTGCTCACCTTCTTGGCACTATGTGTTTTAACCAAGGTCTCTGAGAAAGGTTGTTTCCCCAGGTAGGGATTTTCCCCTGAAGTTAGGGAGGGAATAAAACCTCTTAACTAAGTGCCAGGCGGGTAATTAATCACTTTAACTATGAACAATCATGCTTAAGCTACATAATCTTTACTCCCTGGAATGGAGATAAGAAACGCCCTAACCTTTGGAATAGAGATTGATAGGATTGAATCAACTGGTATAAATACAGATGTAACAAGGCAGAACTTAGAAGACAGAACCTACACAGAACCTAGAGACAGAAGAACTTCGCTGGAGAGAACATGGCAAAAGATCCTGGACTGAACCTGACTACAGAAATTGGCAAGAGAACCTGACTAGAACCGGGGGACAGAACCTGGCTGGAGGACCTAGCAAGGGAACATGGCTACAGAACCTGGCTGGAGAACCTGGAGAACCTAGCAAGAGAACATGGGCACAGAACCTGGCTGGAGATCCGAACCAGAACTTCAGTGGAGATCCTGAACAGAACTTGGCTAGAGACCCTGACAAGAGAACCAGGCTATGATGATCACCTGAACGCTGACTCTGTGTCATTCCTTCTTCGCCAACTCTGTCCACACCTTTGGGGACCCCTGGACCCGCTGGGGCTGGACCCCAGCACTTATTGATTTTAGAGAGAGGGGAAGCGAGAGAGACATCGATGTGAGAGGGAAACAGGATTGGTTACCTCCTGACTGTGCCCTGACCGGAGATTGGACCTGAAACCTTTTTAGTATAGGGGCCAATTATTATTTTATTTTTATTTTTATTTTTTAGAGAGGAAGGGAGAGGGATAAAGAGTTAGAAACATCGGTGAGAGAGAAACATCAATCAGCTGCCTCCTGCACACCTCCTACTGGGGATGTGCCCGCAACCAAGGTACATGCCCTTGACCGGAATCGAACCCTGGACCTCTAAGTCCGCAGGCCGACGCTCTATCCACTGAGCCAAACCGGTTTTGGCCAGTATAGGGGCCAATTCTCCAACCAGCTGAGCTACACCAGCCAGGGCATTTGGTTTCTCTCTTGCTGAGCCTGAGTTTCCTCATTTATAAAATAGAAATGTTAATAAGTCAACTTTGAAGGGTTGTGAGGATTAATGAAATAGTGTTCCAGTATGTATAAGCACTCAGCACAAAGATGTAGTTATGAGATTTGGAGAGGGGAAGAAAGCATCTAGATTTTTCCTATAATATATGGTATCCTCCTATATAATAAAAGGGTAATATGCAAATTGACCGAACGGTGGAACGACCAGTTGCTATGATGCACACTGACCACCAGGGGGCAGACACTCAATGCAGGAGCTGCCCCCTGGTGGTCAGTGTGCTCCCACAGGGGGAGTGCCACTCAGCCAGAAGCCAGGCCGATGGTTGGCAGCAGCAGCGGTGGTGCCTGGAGCCTCTCCTGCTTCCGTGGCAGCACTAACGATGCCCGACTGCCATCAGTCAGACATCCCCCAAGGGCTCCCAGACTGCGAAAGAGTGTAGGCCCGGCTAAGGGTGTTCCCCCCCCCGAATGTCGTGCACATGCACTGGGCCTCTGGTTATTTAAATAAATTGTTTATGATGATCCTGAAGGGATTATGTACATTTATTTAGGATTTCTTTTTTAAAATATATTTTTATTGATTTCAGAGAGAAAGGGAGAGGGAGAGAGAGAGAAACATCAATGATGAGAGAGAATCATTGATTGGCTGCTTCCTGCACGATCCCTACTGGGGATCAAGCCAACAACCCAGGCATGTGCCCTCAACTGAAATCAAACCTGGGACCCTTCAGTTCGCAGGCCGACGCTCTATCCACTGAGCCAAATCAGCTAGGGCATCTTAGTATTTCTAACTTTTTAGAAAACAAGGCTTACTTTGTCCAAACAGTTTTATAACAATCTGAATATATGGTAATATTTTTTCTTCATTATTAAGCAGATTGCTTCTAGATATGCACAAATTTTGATGTTCTATTTTGGATTCTAGGAAAATCAATATGTAATAACTGCTGGGGATGAATTTATATGAGACCCATGAATAATAGCTGTTAGACAGTCAGGATATAAAATTAATTGAGACATGTTTTCTGGAACTTAAAAGTCTCATCAACTATATACACCACCATACTAAGATATTGTGAAAACTTGCTATGATATGCTGAATTTAAATATACTTTTTGTGACATCAATACTATGAATAGGTCATATTCTGGTGAAAATAGGGGATATTATGTTTCACTTGCTGAATTATTTTATTGGATAACATTTGTTGCTAACTTGAAACATTATAACCATATCAACTTCTTGTTATACCAGTTCAATTCGTTCATTTCCGTCATTAAAGAGATGCTTAATAGATTGGAGTCTGAACATAAGACTAAACTGGAGCAACTTCATATAATGCAAGAACAGCAGAAGTAAGTAGGTGGCATGGGAATTTTGTGTGGTTAAGTGTGAGATTAAATTTATCTAATGATTAATTTTCTGAAATACGAACTAGAAAAAGTGATGGATTTTAGCTTGATTATATGTCAAACATTAAAAAAAAAAAAAATCCCAGCATATTAAATTGAACTAAGTTAGACTGTTGTTGAAAATCTAATGTTATTTCTGAGTACAAAAGTATAATAATATGATATAATCTTAGCATTTTCTCTACATAGAGAAAATTCTGTTTCTGAGAACATCTCTCATCAGCATTACCTGCTGGTGCTATAAACTCAGGGTGTCGGTCATCAAGAGCACCACTTATAAATGTTTTTCAAATCTATTAAACCTTGGTGTTCTAATTTCCCCTTCCTCTTTTCTCTGACCCCAGGAACATTTATTGAACATTCATTTTATGTTCAAAGGAAGAAGGGGAAGGTAAAAGTTATGCACTGGAGAATGCCAGTTTATTAAAATCAATTCTTTGCTATATTCTTTGCTCCAGGGGGAAAACACACACACACATGGTTTTAGGATACTTGTTAAACTTTGACCATAAGCCAAAGACATCTGACAATCAGTAAAATTGTTATCAGTTGTGAGCAAGGTTTCCAAATAGAAACTCCTTAGCTTCTACCCCAATGTAAGGTGAAGGCTTATGGAAGTAAATGCACAAGGTGTATTGTAGAATGATGTGAAATAGCCTTGTGTGCTCTAACTATTCTGTGATCTATAATAATAAAAGCGTAATATGCTAATTGGACTGGACGTCCTTCTGGACGAAGCCGGGGCAGCGAGGGAAGCCTGGGTCCAGGTGCCTGCTGGCGGCTGGAGGATAAGCCCGGGTTCCGGGTGCCAGAGGGAAGCCAGTGCTGGCAGCCGGGGAAGGAAGGCCTACTCTTGCACGATTTTCGTGCATTGGGCCTCTAGTATGTATATATTTATGATGCTTGATCGATTGACTATATAAACATAGAAACCCTGAAAAATAATTTTTAAAAATTTATAACAAATTTTTAATATCTAGCATTTATACTTAAGGTATAAATGAACCTTCTCTTTTTCTTATTTATTTATTTATTTTTATTTATTGATTAAAGTATTACCTATGTGTCCTTATCCCCCCATTACCCCCCCCACCCCACTCCCTCTTCTTTTTCCAATATAAATCCTATCTTTTTTTAAAAAAATATATTTTATTGATTTTCCACAGAGAGGAAGGGAGAGGGATAGAGAGCTAGAAACATCGATGAGAGAGAAACATCGATCAGCTGCCTCCCACACACCCCCCACTGGGTATGTGCCCACAACGGAGGTACATGAGGTACATGCCCTTGACCGGAATCAAACCCAGGACCCTTGAGACCGCAGGTCGACGCTGTGTCCACTGAGCCAAACGGGTCAGGGCTAAATCCTATCTTTTTTTCAAGGTCCACATCACAGTGATTATAGCATTTATTGTTAGAGTTACAGATTCTGAACTTTTCCTCATATTATATCTTATCTCTCAGTATATAAACTGATGGTAAGAACCATGCTTGCCTGGTTTTAATACATCCTGAGTAAATTTTGCAGTAAATCCCAAATGTTGAGTTAAAAAAAAGACTTGTATACAAATGTTCATTGGGGGGGGGCGGGGGTTGGGCAAGCAGACATTACTACTAGTAAATAGTGAAAAATATTTATGACTCTTCTTAAAGAATGAAGTTGCATTTTGTTCAGGTTCTAATAAACTCCATGTGGATGAATTAATTTCAGCATGCGTATTTAAAAAACATGCATTTCTTTTTATTGCTTTGTCATAATCATCAATTTTCCTGCAGATCTTTGGATATAGGAAATCAAAGGAATATTTCTGAAGAGGCAAAAGTTACAAATGTTGGATCTCAGGTATGAAGATATTTAGATTATTTAAGTTTTTGTAAAAAGTGCTTCACAGTGTGCTTCCTTTGGGGGCTTTTGATCTTTAAAAAGTAAAATCACAATATGTTTTTACGTCATTCAAGCAGTTGACTTTTTTCTATTTCATCAGATTGACAAAGTTTTTAACAACATTGGAGCAGACCTTCTGACTGGTGGTGAATCAGAAAATAAAGAGGATGTGTTACAGAATAAACATAAAAGAGTAAGTTTCTTTACTACTGTTCTTTTTATCATATATATATACACACACAAGTATATATATATTAGGGCTTCCTGTAAACCACAGACTTTTGTTGGGAAATAATGTTTAGCATCTTAACAAGAAACATTATTTATTTATTTTTATGAAATTTAAAAGTTATCAGTGGAACACGAGCTGACCCATGTTGAAGATAAACATGCTTATGATTTTTAGGTGCTTTATTACAGCCTGCCACATGTAACATTTCTAGATTGCCTCACTCCTTTGTTTTTTCTGCTGTACTTGGCCTGTTGGTAAATTCTATGTCTTTTTTCTGCTTCTGATTTTGAATAATAAACTATAAAATTCTACTTTCCAGTTGAAATATTGGTTAGCATCCAATATAAAATACTACTTCAATTTTGAATTTCTGCTGAGGGCAGTTTTCCTCTTTTCATTCAACAAATGAGAATACCTATGTGTTTAAAGTCATTGTGGCTTTTCACAATTGTAAGAGAACATATTGTGAGTTTATAGTTTAGCAAGGTTGGTAAAAGAAACAGACAAATGTTAAATTTGATGCAAGCATAGTGAAAGAAGCTGTTTACTTCTTTGCTTTTTTATGAATATTTTTGGAGTGAAATAGACTAAAGTTGAACAAAATCTCCTAATTTTGTAAAATGAAATCACCTAATCATATTCTCATTGTCTGTAAAAATATGATTTAATGAATGTTCTTAAAATAATATTTGTTTTCATACTAGAAATATTTTAGCACTGATTCTGTAACTTCTGCCTAAAAATTATTTTTTGCAGTTTGTTTAAAGTTAATTCGAAATGTAACTTACCTGTAGCAATCACCAATACATGAGTAGTTTGTAAACTATTTGTTATTGTCAAACATACCAAGACGTACTTTACAAGAAAAGAAATCTTCTGTTTTATAAATGGAATTATGAAGTTGCCAGTTAATTTTTTTGTTTTGTTTTGTTTTAAGGCATCACTTACACTTGAAGAAAAACAAAAATTAGCAAAAGAACAGGAGCAGGCACAGAAGTTGAAAAGTCAGCAGCCTCTTAAACCCCAAGTACATACACCTATTGCTCCAGTGAAACAGGTCAGAGTTCATTTGTTTTTTTTTAAGCATACACTACTCTTAAGGAGTAAGGTAATAGAATTTAACCTGCTTATTGGGGTTTGTATAAAAATGTATTGTAAAGAATACTTTATTTAACATGCAGTTTCTGAGAAGTATGGGCATAAAGGATTTTCCAACAACTCCTCAGTAGCCTGCCTGGTGGATAATGTTTTGTGATACTGCTTGTTACCAATAAAGAGGAAGCTAGATGAACAGGAGGTTATTTTTAAAAAAATATTAGGTCTTATGGTACTAATTCAACACTATTCACTTTGAAATGATCAGTAATATAATATGCATTTATGTATTTTTGACTAAAAAATAATTTTCAAATTTTGGTGTTTCAATTGTAGTTGGGCTTGTAACTTGGTTTAGGAATACTTTTTATGTATTTCCTGGTCAGGAATTATTTCCTGCTATTTTCTAGGCAGTGTTATATAGGTGCTGGTACTGTGGCAGTGATTAAAGTCCCTGCTTGTAGAGAGTGTACATTCCTTACTGGTTTCAGAAATAACTTTTTCTTCACAGGTTTCTTTAAATTATTTTTTGTTATCTTTTAATCTCTAAAATTCTGGAAAACATTTTTGTGCGTCAACATGCAAAATCCAGAATATTTTTTTTAAAAAAATACATTTTTATTGATCTCAGAGAGGAAGGGAGAAGAAGAGAGAGATAGAAACATCAGTGATGAGAGAGAATCAGTGATTGGCTGCCTCCTGCACTGCCCATAGTGGGGACCAAGTCCGCAACCCAGGCATGTGCCCTTGATCTGAATCGAACCTGGGACCCTTCAGTCTGCAGGCTGACGCTCTTTCCACTGAGCCAAACTGGCTAGAGCTAGAATATTTTTAAATTACTTATGTAATAACAAAGAAAACAAGTTTTCACAAAATTTTGATAGTGTTCACAATATAAAAATAATAAAGTACCATTTTTGTTATAAAGATTTACTAATGAGAAGAATACAGTTCTCTTTTGGGGAAGGTGGGGAAGACAACAATTCATTTGAGTTCAAAATTAGTGTTACCTATCAGCAAGTTAACTACAAATGTTCATCTGTGAGAAAACAAAAATATGTATTGATTGGTTGGATTTGGTCTGTGGCATGGTTTGCTAACTTGGTGTAGACTGTTGAGCTTAATTTTAACTTGTCCTTTATAATATAATCTATCAAATGATTATTAATTTAAAGTAATTTGTAATTCTTGGAGATGAAGTAATTCCCTCATATTTTTCAGACTAAGGACTTGACAGACACATTGATGGATAATATGTCATCTTTGACCAGCCTGTCTGTTACTGCCACTAAAAGTTCTGCTTCAAGTACCTTCACTTCTGTTCCTTCCATGGGCCTTGGCATGATGTTTTCTACACCAATTGATAATACAAAGAGAAATTTGACAAATGGCCTAAATGCTAACATGGGCTTTCAGACCTCAGGATTCAACATGCCGGTTAATACAAACCAGAACTTCTTCAGTAGTCCAAGCACACCTGGAGTGACCACGATGACAATGGGAACACCTTCCACTTTGCCAAACTTCAATGCTGTGGGGGTTCCTCCTGCTGGTGCAAAGCAGACTCAACAAAGACCCCCAGATATGTCTGCTCTTAATAATCTCTTTGGCCCTCAGAAACCCAAAGTTAGCATGAACCAGTTATCACAACAGAAACCAAATCAGTGGCTTAATCAGTTTGCACCTCCTCAAGGGTCTCCAGGAATGGGCAGTTCAGTAATGGGAACACAAATGAATGTGATGGGACAATCTGCCTTTGGTATGCAAGCCAATCCTTTCTTTAACCCACAGAACTTTGCACAGCCACCAACTACTATGACCAGTAGCAGTTCAGCTAGCAATGATTTAAAAGATCTATTTGGGTGAGGTGTATTGCTCCTATTTTTAAAGGATTCAATTTAATCATGTGTGAACTGATTTACATCTTTATATAATTGGCTTTGAGGCGCTATTTCTATGGGAAAATGAATGGTTCTAAGATAGAAAACACCTGTTTCTATGCCAGCATAGTGTAGTTGTTTGGACTCCTCTGACAGTAGAGTTTTTTAAAGCATTGAGGAATTTTTTCCCTCTTACCATATTCTCTCCGGGTTTTTAAAAGACCCAACCTGTACCAATCTCAAAGAGAAGATACCTGAGTACCTTGAATAGCAAAATTTTTTAATCAAATGTTTATTTTGCTTGTAAATCTTGTTGTTTAAAAAAACTGAGTTGATGGTAATTGCAAATTTTACCTATTAAATACTACATGGTACATAGTCTGCCTTCACAAGTCATTAGTCTTCATTTTAATATGTGAAAAATCTTGATGCTGTGTTGAATTGTTTGCATTTAGTATGACTGAGTGAGAAAATAATAAGCATAGAGAAAAAGATCATTACTTTTTCCAATCTTATTTACTTCTCAGATGAACTAATGTTTAGTACAAAAGACAGAGCAAATACTGCAAAATTTAACTTAACATTGATTTCATTGGTTCAAACTAAAGGCATTATTAACCATCTCAAATGCAAATTAATCATTGTAAATTATATTTTAGCATGGTCTGCCTCAAATAGTAATGTATTTTTCTGTATTTCGTTGGATATATTTAGAATCACTTTTTCCTATGGTGTCCAGACAGGAGAGGTATGTACTGATTTGTACATATATTTGACAAAGCTCCCTGATGTGATTTCCCGGAATACTGCCTTTATATTTCACTTGAATTCAAAATTCTGAGTTTGCAGTATATATGAATTGCATTTTCAAAAGGAGGTTTGTAAGAATTAAACTATATTTAATGAGTAAACATTTGAGATTTCTGCTGTATTGTTTCAACTGTAATAAACTTACTTCTATAAAAATGAGCAGTTGTATCTTCTGGCTACCAAGAGATTGATTTTGAGTTTACCATGATAAAGTGTGACCTCATCAATTACTACAACTGAAGTTTACTTCTTTTCTAGGAATTTCAGAAACCTTTTGTTTGAACGTTATAAATAGATATTTTTAGAAGGAAAGAATAAATTCTAACAGGAAACATACTTTATTTTTCAAAGCCTTTCTCTGATATTTTCTTTGATTATTCATTCAATCGCAGATGGAGCCTTATGTTATAAATGTGATTTTATTTTGTTAAATTATATGATGCCATTATATGATAACTTTAAAATCATCTTTCAGAGAAATATACATGTATTATAGTTGCTGCTGTAGAGTTTGTGGTTTTTTAAATATGAGACCAGCAATTCTTTAAAATAAATCATATGCCATTTAGTGTGCTGATACTAAGTTTTCATTGAAATACATATGTATACACACACTAAATGTATCGTTGACCAGACAGTACTTGATTATAAAGTGATGGTAGTATTGATAGCGGCATTCAGTAAGAGCATAATTTAAAAAATAAAAAGTCAGCACCTGGCCAGTGTTGCTCAGTGGTTGGGCATCCACCCATGAACCAGGAGGTCACCTTTCGATTCTCAGTCGGGCCACATGCCTGGATTGTGGGCACAGTTCCCAGTAGGGGGCGTGCAGGAGGCAGCCAATCAATGATTCATTGTCTCTCATCATTGATGTTTCTATCCCTCTGTCCCTCTCCCTTCTCTCTGAAATCAATAAAAACATACTAAAAAAATAAAAAGTCAGCTTTATATTGGGGTTCGGTATGAGCTGTATTTTGTTACATGGTTTTAGGAAAAGGACTCGAATGCTGAAGAAACAGCCAAGGAATAAAAAGCACTAGGAAGATCAAGTGTTTTGTCAAATACATTCACCTTGACCAGATTATGTCTTGTTTGTAACACAATATTTCCCTTGAGAAAAGTTTACATATGGAATAAAATTGCTTAATGTTAGAGTTTTTCTTTGGAACAATTTAGTAGTCACTGTTTATTAGGAAATTGCTTTTTATTTTGTAAAATACCTTGATGTCAGTGTGTTGAACTTTTAGTTAGAAGGAAAGCTTAATGTAATAACATACTTTGAACTTACAAGTATGAAATAAGTTATTTGGAAAAAAAATGTAATTCTCACATCTTGAAATTTGCTCATTTATTGAGGTAATGATGCTACATCTGTAGAAAAAATTTCCCTACACTTTATTTTCTTGAAGGTATTTTATTTAAATCAATTCTATCAATTGAACTGTTACCATTGCCTTTTTCTGTTGAGAAATTGCCTCTGAAAAAGTTCTATATTTAGACTTTTATTTCAGTGTGAACAGAATTTTCAAAGTACTAGATCACCTTAAAATTATTTCAGATATTGACAGCATTTAAGTTTCTCGTACTTAGAGTAGAACATTGGTAAGTTAAAAAACACCTGTAGATAAAAATTGCAAGGAAGATTCCCTTTTCTTTGAATTGGCTCTTCCAATGCTGAAGTGTGTGATATCTGTAGATGATGTACAAAGGAAATGGAAATAGACCATGTACTTGGTTGGGCTTGATTTGTTTGTTTTTGTTTTTATTTTGGAATGCTTATAACCCTTCTTTTCACCTGAATAAGTTAAGGGGAAGTAGTTTTTTGTTATGTTGTCTTTTTAACCTGTAAAATACCTCACATGATTGCTTTTACATATTAAAGGAAAAGATAAATGTGAAGGCACCTGAGAGCAAACACAGAGTATGCATCAAATAAATGTTAGCTTTGATAAAACTTTCTATATAAGTGGTGATTTCATGCTTCGTGATTTACTGGTCTTGAAATAATTTTAGAACAAAATAGATCAATAAGAATTCAAACTACAACATAGAAATTTAAAAGATTATATCAGTGGCTTTCAAACTAACTGTGACATTCACTAAGAAATATCTTATAATGCAAACCAGTATATAAAATATACTGGCCAGTGTTGCTCAGTGATTGAGCATCAACCTATGAACCAGGAGGTCACGGTTCAATTCCTGGTGAGGGCACATGCCTGGGTTGTGGGCTCAATCCCCAGTGGGGGGTGTGCAGGAGGCAGCCAATCAGTGATTCTCATCATTGATGTTTCTAGCTCTTCTTTCCTCTCTGAATATCTATCTATATATATACTAGAGGCCCAGTGCATGAAATTTGTGCAGGGGTGTGTGTGTCCCCTCAGCCCAGCCTGCACCCTCTCCAATCCGGGACCCCTTGGGGGATGTCCGACTGCTGATTTAGGCCAGTTCCCAGGGATTGGGCCTAAACCAGCAGTTGGACATCCCTCACAATCCTGGACCACTGGCTCCTAATCACTCACCTGCCTGCCTGCCTGGTCGCCCCTATCTGCCCCTGCTTCCCGCCAGCCTGATTGCCTCTCACTGCCTCTGCATGCTGGACTGATCATCCCTAACTGCCTGCCTGCCAGCCTGGTCGCTCCTAACTGCTCCCCCTTCCCCCCGCCGGCCTGGTCACCCCTCACTGCCCCCACTGCTGGCCTGGTTGCCCACAACTGCGCCCCTCTGCTAGTCTGATCGCCCCCAACTGCCCCCCTCTGCCAGCCTGGTCACCCCTAACTGCACCCCCCACTGGCCTGGTCATCCCCAACTGCCCCCCTGCTGGCCTGGTTGCCCCTAACTGCCCCCCTGCTGGCCTGGTTGCCCCAACTGCCCCCCCCTGCTGGCCTGGTCACCCCTCATGCCTCCCCCAACAGCCTGGTCGCCCCATGCAGCCTGCTGTTCAGTCATTTGGTCATCCCTCACTACCCCCCCTGCCAGCCTGGTCGCCCCACGCAGCCTACTTGTTCAGTTGTTTGGTCGTCCCTCACCCCCCTGCCGGCCTGGTCATAGGTAGCCATCATGTGAGGGTGTGAGGGTTTATTTGCATATTACCTCTATTATATAGGATATATATCTGAAACAAGTTTCAGAAAATGTCTTGACATTTTAATTCTGTCCTATTTATTAAAAAGAAAGAAAGCTGGTTACAATCAAAGAATTTCATGTTGTAGTTTGAATAAAAGTGAAATAATTCAGCCCCATCTTTCTCTAAGCAGATGTAGAAACAGGGCCAGAGATTTACATGTTTCCCAAGTTGGTCAGAGCCAGGAAGAGAAGCTAGATGGTTTCCTAATCTTCAGTCCCATGACTCTGCCATGTTGCATCCTTTATGTCCTTTACTGTATGAATTCTTCTGGAGTTGCTTTTGTTGAAACGTTTATGTGGCAAGTATGCGCTCAATGCTTATTGGGTGCCATAGATATATTTATATTGGAAAAATTGGCATTGAAGAGGGAAATGACAGAACAAATGTTTAGTCAAAATTAGCCTGTGGGCTGCTTCTCTGAATTGTAGATGAGGAGGGCTGGGGAGCCGGGTCAGCAGTGCTTGCAGTGTGCATCGGAATTAAAGCATGTAACCCTGAGGAGGGGTGCAGTACAAACAGCCATTTCACCAACGGGGGTTTGTTGGATACGAGAAACTTTGTCCAAAGCTACTCGGGGAGCATTTAATACTTGGGGTACAAGCCATACATGTAATTTCCTAGTGACTACATTAAAAAAAAATTAGGCAGAATTAATTTTAATAATATATTTTATTTAACTTGACTAGAGTCAAAATAGCACTTTAACATGGAATTGATATAAAATTTAATGAGATATTTGACATTTACCATATGCCTGGTCTTTGAGATATAGTATATATTTTCCACTTAGCGCATCTCAGTGCAGGCTAGTCGCAGTTTAAGTATTCAGTAGCCAACGAGTAGCTATTGCATTAGTGTAGGTTATATGGAAGCTAAGTAGCCAAAAGAGTGAACTATGGCCATTACCACTTACTGTCTCCCAGCTCCAAATCCCTCCCTCTTGGCCCTGCTTTGTAATACTGGAGCGGGACCCTAGAGAGGCGTCTGCTTTGCCAGCTTGCAGAGTGTTACCTCCTAGGTAGAGGGCCCTGAGGTGGCGCTGCCAAGCAGTAGCGGCCAGAAGACACTTCGCCCTAGGCTCCTCCCCATTTCCATTCATAGGAGCCCTGTGGCCCCAGCAGAGGAGCTCCAGCTAATTGCATCTCAGGGCACACCTGCCGCCAAGGTGCAGCTCCTCCCCATGGGCTACTGCCATGGCAACGTGGCCATCCCTCAGGAAGCTGTCTTCTGTGGGCCATTCCCTCTACAAGTTCCTTCAGCACTGGCAGGCTGTGTTCCTGTGAGGCCAACCCTAGCACCCAGCCTGGGGCTTGGTGAGGAGCCTCTCCTAGTCTTCAGTTCCTTCATTTTTTTCACGTTTGGCTTAGAGATAGAGCCGGGGTTATTGTTTGTTTTTGCAACTGTTCTGGACTCCTTAGAGTCCTCTTCTATATGTGGAAATCAAGCGGAAACGCCTGGTTTCCTCTGGGCAGGGTGCAAAGGTGATTTCTTTCCCAGGTCCTTGTCCAGATGGATTCGAAGAATGAAGCCACAGACAAAAGGTGGTATAGGAAAAGGTGGAAATTTATTGGGAAACTAGCACAGATTCCCAGTTGGGGAGGGGGTTCCAAAGGGGTAGCCCACTAAGCCCCTTTTTCCTAAGGTTTACAAAGGCTGCAGTTCTTTGTGTCCTGATATTCTCCTCTGGTCACTATAGTACACAAAGCTCAAACCCCATGTGGGCCCCTTGCTGGTTGGGCTTAGTGGATAGAGTGTGGGCCTGTGGACTGAAGGGTCCTGGGTTAGATTCCAGTCAAGGGCACATGGCTGGGTTGCAAGCTCGATCCCTAGTAGGGGACATGCAGGAGGCAACCGATCAATGATTCTCATCATTGATGTTTCTAACTCTCTCTCCCTCTCCGAAGTCAATAAAAACATATATTAAAAAACAACAACCCACGTGGGGCCCCTTCTTTTTCTCCTCCTCCTGTGGTAAAATTCTCCATTCCATGTGAAAATCTGTTTTCCTCTTTCTCCCTGTGGCTTTCCCCTT